CCTGCCATTTGTCCCTATTGAAATTCCTGTTAGTTTTTGACGAGTTCTCCAATCTGTTAAGATCATCTTGAATCCTGATTCTGTCTTCTGCAGCACTAGCTACCCGTCCCAGATGGGTGTTATCTGCAGATTGAATGAGAATCCTCTCAATTCTTTCATCCATGTCATTTATAAACAAAAATGGGCCCAGGATAGAACCTTGCGGTTCTTTTTCCAAGGATGAAGAGGAACTGTTAGTGAGCATTAGTGGGTTTGATCAGTCAACCAGCTACAAATTCACCTAACAGTTACCTTGTCCAACCCAAATTTCAGCAGTCCCTTTATCATGAGGGACTTTACCAAAAGCCTTAGTGAAATCAAGATACACAGCATTCCCCTTACCTACGAAGCTTGTAACTCCATAAAAAAAAAAAGAAATGATATTCGTCTGGCATGACTTATTTTTGAGAAACCCATGCTGGGTCTTAGTAATCACAGCATCTTTTTCTAAGTGCTCCCAGACCGACTGTTGAACTATCTGTTCTAAGACCTTTCCAGACACCAAAGTCAAGCTGACTGGTTGGTAGTTACCTAGGTCTCCCCGCCTCCACCCTGCTTTTGAAGATAGGGACATTGTCTGCCTCCAGTCTACAGGGACCTCACTTGTCCTAAAATTCTCAAAGGTTATAGACAGAGGTTCTGAGATTCCATCTGCAAGCTTCTTTAGAACCCTTGCTTGCAGCTCATCAGGCCCTGGAGATCTGAATTCTTTTAAAGTAGCACCTCTTTTCCTTTCTTGGGCTGCAGCTCCCTTTTTACACCTTTTATTCTCTTATCACCAGGTTGGGCATTGCTTTCCTTTGGAGTGAAGGCAGAGGCAACACAGGTGTTGAGCAGTTCCATCTTCTCTCTGTCACCCAATAGCATTTAAAACATAAACAGTTGTAAAAAATATCTGCACATTCACAAAAAATGGAATGTAATCATTGAAAAATACACAAAAGAACCCCCTCAATTTTAAAAAAAGTTTGTTTCTTTGTTGTTTTGTTGTCCATTCACTCAGTAAGAAGAGCTATTCATAGTTCATATGAGTTTTCACCATCCTAAATAAGTTGGTGTCATTTGCAAACCTACACAGTTCATATGACAGCATTATGGGGAATAACTTCGTGAATGTTGATTGTGGTGGAGGTGGGAGTTACCTGTTTGCTGTGGGAGTTACCGGTACCTGTTGCCATGTAGCTTTTGTTTCCAGTGACATTGTTTTTCTTTCTGCTTTGCTTCTGGGAGAGCTTAGGATCACAACAACCTCATGCTCACGCTGTGATTGCATAAAAGACCAGAAACAGACTCCAAACAAAAGGTTGGTTGCTGCACAGCTTCTAATACTCAAGCAAGAAATTTGAGTTTCAGCTTTCAAATACTGGCAGATACAGCCTACATGTCACCTGTGCAACATTTAGTTATGTATTTTATAAATATATGTGTATACCGCAAAAAAACAAAGCTGTTTACAAGAATAATACCATAAAACCTACAAAGAAATTAAAACAGATCACTGATTGGTTGTTCATCGGTTTGTAAAATCCAGGCCGATTCCCTTCCACCTGGCTTTTGAATCTTCCTTTCCTGAATAGTTTTCTTTCCCTTTATAAAAGAAGTAGGGAGTGCATGTCAAAGTTAAGACAGGACTAGTCAGTGCTTTTGACTGTATCCACTATGGGGGGCTAACAAAAGATAAGGCGTTCCCAAGAACCAGCAGATGTACTTCTGGAATGCTGCTTCGTGTACAAGGAATCCTGATTCTGTGCTGCACTTAACTGTCTGACAAGCCAGTCTGCTAAGGGAATTTTGCTTTGATGGCCAGCAGAAAGTAACACAGTTGCTCACGAAGTTAAACTCAAACTCTGAATTTTACCTGGGTAGAAACAAAAAATAAAAAAATGTCCAGTAGCACCTTAGGGACCAACTAAGTTTGTTCTGGGTATAAACTTTCATGTGCATTGTATAATTGCTCTGTTCAGGGGCACCAACTACTGGGGACAGAGCTGTTTTTGCCCCTCCTCATGTCCAAAGAAATCAGTGGGTGGAGAAGGAGGGTCAGAGCAGCCCCTGACAGTGTGGCAGCAGCAGCAGCAAGAGGAGGAGGAACAGCTGCCAGCCATTGAAACCACGCTGCCACGCTGCCACCGCTGCATTCAGCTCTGCCCAATGTCCTGACATCATGCGAGACGTTGCCCCCGCCATCGCCCTTTCAAGCTGGCGCCTCTGTCGCTGTTCAAGTGCTTTTCTAAAAGAAAAACAAAACTTAGTATGTGTGGGGAAAATAGAAACTTAGCTAGGGTTAAGAAATTAATTTAGCCTCCCTGCCTCCTGTGGGAGCGAATTCCAGTTTTAACCCTGCACTGTGTGAAGAAGCCCTTTCTTTTATCTGCCCTGAATCTCTGAACATTCAGCTTCATTGGATGTCCATGAGTTCTACTGTTATAGAGAAAAATCCTCTATCCACTTTCTCCATGCCATGCATACTTGTATAAACTTCTATCATGTCACTTCTTGGGCACCTTTTATCTATACTAAAAAGTCCCAAATGCTGCGAACGAACTTCATAGGGGAGCGGCTCCCTTGATGATTTTCATTGCCCTTTTCTGAACACTTTCCAACTCCTATAATGCCCCTTTTTAGGGGAGTTAACCAGAACTGTGCACAGGAAGCCTTGCCTGGATCCAAAGAAGTTTAATACCGTGTAATATGTGGTCGTACTTTATTGCCCTACGTGAAGACAGATGGGTGAAGCCTCCTGATCTCAGCCATTGTTTTGGATTGAGCTTGGCTATGCGGAGCAGAGAGTTGACTGGCCAGAGAACATGAAACTGAAAGAAAAGTATCCAAGGCTCTCTCTGCAATAACATGTGGAAGGATGCATGGTACAGGAAAGGAAGAATATAGCTTTGAGGTTTTGGGACGAACTTTTTGTTTCCATAAAAATGCTTGCCATTTCACTTGATACAGCTGAGCCCTGACTGCTCTAATGAACCCGTCTCCATGGGATAAATGCCCCACATGCAGACACTGCCTTCAGGAAAGCACACACACACACACACCATAGGTGTGTGCAGCGGGGGGCGGGGGGCGGCACACACTAATTAAAAAAAAAGGATCTTGGGAAGCAGAGAGGTGCAGACAGAATAAAAAGGATGCTGAGGAACTCCCTCGTCCACAAGGCATAGATCCATTCCAGCTTTTTTCTTCTGCCTCGGTCTGTTTCTATTTCATGGCTGTGTCTTCCACTGAGCTCCTCTGGCCATCCTCTGTGGGGATGAGGGGCTACTACTTTGTGGTGTGCAAGCAAAGAGGAACAGTCATTCTGCCACCAGCCTTTCAGATTTGCTCTGCCTCTGGCCAGCTTGGCACAAGTATTTTTCTCTGCAGGAAAAATCTCCTGTTTTGACTTCCCAACAACTCTTGGTTGTTTGATAACTTTTTGTCTCTTTACCTCTTCCTTGTCCTTATTTGTTTGTCTTGCTATTTTCTCCCTTCTCTCATTGACATAAATCGATCCATCCATGGGTGCACACCTCAACAAAATTTGATGGGCCACATCTATGATACACAAACAGAACACAAGATCCTGTCATTCATCTCATGACAGCATGTCTACTTTAGCCCTCATCAGGATGCTGGGAGGGGAGAAAATAGTTCAGCTGGTGGTGACTGTATATAAAGATGTATTTAATACTAGTGGTAAGGTTGAGCAGAGCTTGTGTCCATCAGATTGAGGGCAACCAGCTGCCCCCGCAGGATGCTTCATGGGAGCCAAGCAGCTATTAAGGGAAGGAACTCCAACACTCAAAGGACGAAGCTCTAACTTTTCTTTTTGTGGAGACAAGGTAAGACAAAAATGCTGAGCTTAAGTTACAGGAATTCCACCCAAAATCTGTTTTATGCTGGGTTACTTCAGCATGTAAGAACAACCAGCAGTGTAGCTGTTCTATTAACATACATATGGCAATGGAGGCAAGAGTCCCACTCTCCTTCCTTAGCCTCAACTTGTTCCTGTGCCAGCCAATGACATATTACTGATTCAGACAGAAGGGTTCAAAGGAGAGCAATAATGCTCTGATTCAGATGAGATAGGGAAGTGCTGAATCAGTGCTTGAGCACATTAACACACTGAATGAGAGCCAATAAAGTGAAACTCAATTCAGGCAAGATGGGTTCATGCGTTCAGGTTAGTAGTCCAGCCAGTGTTGGATGGAGCTGTACCCCCTTAAAGTTCACCATCGGGGTGCGTGTGTATACCTAGACCCAGGTATGTCACTAGGGGTGCATAGGGACTCTGGACATAGAATGCCTTCTATCAGTTTGCCACTGGGGAATTGCCCTATTCAGTGGTACAGCAGCTGCTCGGCATGCAGAAGGTTCCAGGTTCAGTCCCCCATGGCATCTTCAGGTAGGGCTGGTGGGAGAGAACCCTGCCTCCAATCCTGGAGAGCTGCTGCCGGTCAGTGTGAACAACAGCTGATAAGCTGACGTGGGATAAAACAGCTCCTGTCTTTCTGTATTCATTACTGGTCAGAGAGAGAGCTTAGCCCCATATCTCCATCTCTGGTAATCGCTAAGGGGCCGCCTTTGGAAACAACTGAATTCTAACTACCTGGGTATTTCGGGTATTTCCGTTAAACAACTACACTGGTTGGTACCCAGGTCATTTCTGAGCCCGCCGAGTTCAAAAGGCTGGTGCGAACTTGGAGGAGCTTCGCTTGCGTTTAAGCCAAGGGCCGTCGGCTTCGGGCGGGACGCTTCCTCGCGGCTAGGAAAGGGCAAGGCGTCGCTGGCGGAGCTTCGAGGGTGCGGCCCAGGCGGGCTGGCGGGCGGGGCCGGAGGCGCCCAGGCCAGGCAGGATCCTCTCCGCCAGCAGCTAGCAGCCAGTGCAAGGGCTCTCCGCTCGTAGCTGCCACCGCTGCCTCCGTCGGGGAGATCGAGTGCTCGCCCTCGCCGCCGCCGCCGCCGCCGCCGCCATGCCCAAGTGCCCCAAGTGCCAGAAGGAGGTGTACTTCGGTAAGACTGCCCGTCGGGGCGCCTAGAGAGGGGTGGCGGGAGGCTCTCTTGCCCTGGATCGGGGGCGCGCCTCTCGCGCGGGCAGCCCTGCTTCGGGGACTGGGCCAAGAGGGAGGGAGGGTCGCTTGGGCCGAGCTGCCGGCGGTCCTGGCGGCGGGAGGGTCGGGCAAATGCGCGTCTGGACGGGACGGGCTGGGCAACCGGCTTCCCCGGGGGAGAAACGGAGGTCCAATTGCAGGACCTGGACAGCTCTGTCCAGATTTGCGGGAGCCGAGCAGCCTCGGAGCCCGCGCTCCCGGGGATTCCTCGACGCCCAGCCCCTCGGCGGCAACAGTGATGGCGACACGGAGATCCGCAGGCTCGGGCTCTTTGCGACGACGACGTGGGCTGCTCCGCGGTGTGGCGAAGGCACAGAAGAGTAAAGTTCGAAGGCTTGGCCAAGCCTGTTGTCTGGCAGACCCAGAAAACTGGGAAGAACCAAGACTGTATTGTCAAGGAATCTGCTCCCGACAGCCCTGTTTGCAATGCAGGCCCAATAAAATAGCGCTAAGTTGGGGGGGGGGGGGGACAATAGGATAGAGGAAAATGAGTAGGAAGGAACCTGGAGAAAACAAGATGAGAGGATGGGGACTTCCAGACATAAGTTGCCATGTTGTTGCAGCAGGTCTGGTCCGGCATGGATGATGCAATGGTACCAGATGAGGAAATATAATAGACCATAGGAGGAATGTTCAGTTAAGACCAGGGGGCCATGGTTGCTTGGGCACCCACAGTAATACAATGGTGGAGGCTGGGCACCCACAAAGTCGAGGAGAAAGGCCGGCAGGCTGCGAGAGAAAGTTCAGCTTCGCCCTCTGCATCCAGCCAGTGAGGCGGCCTTTTGGGGAGCCTGGACATAGAAGCAGAGTCTGTGCCTCTGCGTCCAAGCCCCTCCCTGCGTGGCGTCACACGTCCTGAGGGTGAGTTGGCACCCCAATATTAAGTATCACTATGGACAAGTAAAGAAGTTGGGCAAACATTTTACAGAGGGGAGTCACATGTAATAAGCATATATAAAAATTTGACATCAATATGAACTGTTCTTATTCCTCAAACCCTCCCCATTGACTTCTCTACTAGAAGATATGAACAGTTCAATCTAAAAGGACAATTGGGAAATTTCCAGATATGGAAAGAAAATAAATAGAAAATCTTTCAAGATTGGAAAGATTTCCAGACCATTAAACAAGTATAAGCAAAATGGAAGGTGGACCCACTCAGAATTTGCAAATTGGGACTTTTCCGAACAGGCTGACAATTAGGAAATTTGGAAGGAGAAGACTGAGTCAAACAAACTGAAAGATATCTCAAATGTTCTCCAAGATACTTAAATTATTATTTTTTAAAAATAGGCAAATAATCCATAATTATATGATGAAACTGAATTACAATACAAATAGAGAAATTCCAAGGGAATAATTTTGAAAACTAGTTGAACAAAAAATCCAGTTTTTGTTTCAGAGGGACTCTAATTTTTCAATTTCCATATCTTATAAATAAAATTACATAAAAATGGCAGTTCAGTGGTACTGGAGGGAAAAAATCTGTAAATCAGGAGAGGGAAAGAGTTGGATTTGACAGGAACCAAAAGGTGATTTTTATTGGGGGGAAGCCTTGTAAGAATGCAGTAATATTGGCAAATGGTAATAGAAATATTTAAGGGAATGTTTCACATACAAATCTTTACGTTTGCTGAATTTTACACACCGACAAGAGCATTAAAAACATAAAATACAGATTTTGCAAATACCAATCCATTGCAAGGATACTGATCGTAGAAACAACAGAACAGAGGACCAAAAACTGAACTAATCAGGAAAGTTTGGGGGGGAATTAGAGGTCATAGAACTAACTGTGATGATGTGTCATTACAAAACGATTAGAGAGGAAATGGCTAAGTGAGTTCTGGCAGTCCCCAAAATAGAATTGAGTACAGTGGTACCTCAGGTTACATACGCTTCAGTTACATATGCTTCAGGTTACAGACTCCGCTAACCCAGAAATAGTGCTTCAGGTTAAGAACTTTGCTTCAGGATGAGAACAGAAATTGTGCTCCGGCGGCGTGGCAGCAGCAGGAGGCCCCATTAGCTAAAGTGGTGCTTCAGGTTAAGAACAGTTTCAGGTTAATAATGGACCCCCGGAACGAATTAAGTACTTAACCCGAGGTACCCCTGTATAATGGATATAGGGCTGCCAATAAGTTGGATTCATATGTTCATGTACAGATCAATATTTATGTGTATGTATGTTTATGATTGTGAATGATTATGTAAAATATTCTTGCTTTTCGCACACACACACACACATATTTAAAAAGGAACAATATCTAAGTGATACAACAGTCATGTAGAATGAACATACAGTCACAGCATATTGGTTTACACAGCTGGAAATACAAAACAGGCAGTCAGAACCATAAAAAGATTAAAAATGAATCTTTTTTTTTAAAAAATAATATTTATTGAATTTTAAAGGGTTACAAAAAGAAAAAATTAAAAAACAGCATATTTTAAAAATACAAAACATCACATCACAATAATAAAAAAAGAAACAAGAAAAAAAGAAAAGGAAAAAATACAATAAATCTTCCCATAGCTTATCTTTCATTTGCTTATTTCCTTGACCTCCTCACACCTCCCTTTTTTGTATTCTAGTTCAGTTAGCTATTTCAGCAAATCCTTTCCATCTTTTCCAGTTTTTGTCCTCTATTTTATCTTAATATAACGTAACTTTACTTTCCCTCCTTCACCATTTAGCAATCTATTTTTCCTTAATCCTTTATAGCATTTCTGCTAAAACGGCATTATTTCATTCCAGCATCCTTCTAACATTCCTTAATTTTACAATGTTTCTGTAAATAAACTTTAAATTTCTTTCAATCTTCTTCCACCAACTCTTCTCCCTGGTCTCGGATTCTGCCAGTCATTTCCGTCAGTTCCATGTAGTCCATCACCTTCATCTGCCATTCTTCCCGGGTGGGTAGATCTTGTGTCTTCCAATACTTCGTGATGCGTATTCTTGCTGCTGTTGTATAAAAAATGAATCTTAAAAGCTAAAGAACACCAATTAAGCCTCCTTTTTTCAAATAGGGAAAAGGTGTACAGTATTTGTGTTACAAGTTTGTATGGGACCCAGAGAATTAGTGTTCAAGCATCATCTGAGGGAGTCTGGACTGCCAAGCAGACACTGTGCTCACCTCTAAGCTGCGGTAATCAATTTCAGAGCTCCTGTGTACATGTGAGGACAAAATGTACAAATCCAACTATATGTGCAGTTATGTCTGATCTGCAGCAGGGCTCAGCCCTGGAGTCTTACAATATGGGAAGGGGAGCTCTGAGCATGTGCAGAGGCCAGGGCACACTTCCACAGGCAGCTTCCTCCTTAGATGAGTGAGGCTTCAAGTCAGATATTCATCCTGCCACTGCTGTATTTAGAAAAACCGTAACACTTTGTTCATGTCACTTTTCTTTTCATGTAGTAGGTGCTGTTGAACAAGAAATGGTTAACAGGAAATGGTTGCCTTTGACATTGATAGCTCCAGTTCATGGGGAAGTAGCTAGAAGTTTTCTGTAGACAGAGCTGGCTTGATGCCACTGACTTGAGTTGGCTCATATCACCTTTCATCCTGTGCTGCTTTTAGCATTTTCTTACCTATTTGCTTAAGGTTGATCAGGTGCAGGGCCTGATCAACAGAAATCCAGCAATGTAGCTCTTGCTTCAAAATGTACTTGCAAAGCCCTTTAAATCTCCCAGCCCTTATAAATTGTAAACAGCAGTGGTTTAGCCTTTTAAAAAAACTTTATTTTTAGAAGTGTGTCCAGCAAAGTCTTCTCTTTCTGCATGCAGTGGATATTTGCCTGATTTTGTTGAGTTTTTCCTTTAATTTGTGGTTTGTGATCTGGAGACTTTTGCTCTTAGATTTCTAAATGACAAAGAGCAGGACCACAGTATTCCGAAGCAGCAAAGCTATTACACTGCTGCAAAAGGAAATGAACTTGCAGGAGCACCTCAAGGCATGTTTGAAATTGGGTAGTGCTTGGAACAATGGATGTAGCACATCTTTAAGTGTGAACATAAAGCTAAACAATGTTGCTGTGAAAAATCTAAGCCTTGTCCCTTGGAAAATATTTGTGAGCTGCAGTAGTTGAAAGAGCTTATTAAAATGACACCCTTTGTAAATAGGACTAGGAGGGGAAGCAGATAGATTGTACTGGTGGTGGTTGAAATCTATGTGTTTGACTGAGCTGATGTGGCAAGTGAGTTCAAATGATACTTGCGGCAGGAGAGGCTGTCTGCCTGCAGTCCCTCAGAAGCTGAACAAGTAGGTGATCTATTTGGACAAACGTGTCACAGCAAATTCCCAAGTTATTGGTTTGGGGCTTGCAGCATTCAAAATTTGCCAGGCGCCAAGCACATTTTGCACCTGGCTTTCAGCCACTTGCAACCAGGTGAAGATGCCAGGATGGCGCCTGATGTCTCCCCCAACTGGAGGTGCATGTCTGGAGATCCTTGGATCTTGACTGTTTTCACACACCAGCAACACATCCTGTAGAATTCTATTTGTACTATTTTATCTGCACAATTAGAATGAATTTCAGGAACTGAAATGTTGTATGGAAAAATATGGCTTTCGAGACGTCTGCCCCCCAAATGGCAACTAGTCATTCCGTTTTGGTGACTGTAACCCTGGTGTAAGGAGCCACCAACACTGAATGCTTGTATACCGGGCTCTCACTTGTGGGGTGCCTCAGGGCTCTGTCCTCTCCCCCATGCTTTTTAACATCTACATGAAGCCGCTGGGAGAGATCATCAGGGGGTTTGGGCTGGGTGTTCATCAGTATGCGGATGATACCCAGCTCTATCGCTCTTTCAAATTGGAACCAGTGAAGGCGGTGAAGGTCCTGTGTGTCTGGAGGCAGTTGGAGGATGGATGGTGGATAACGGATTGAGGTTGAATCCTGACAAAACAGAAGTACTGTTTTTGGGTGATGGGGCGAGCAGGTGTGGAGGACTCCCTGGTCCTGAATGTGGTAACTGTGCACCTGAAGGACCAGGTGCGCAGCCTGGGAGTCATTTTGGACTCACAGCTGTCCATGGAGGCGCAGGTCAATTCTGTGTCCAGGGCAGCTGTCTACCAGCTCCACCTGGTACGCAGGCTGAGACCCTACCTGCCTGCGGACTGTCTTGCCACAGTGGTGCATGCTCTAGTTATCTCCCGCTTGGACTACTGCAATGCGCTCTATGTGGGGCTACCTTTGAAGGTGACCCAGAAACTGCAATTAATCCAGAATGCGGCAGCTAGACTGGTGACTGGGAGTGGCCGCTGGGACCACATAACACCAGTCCTGAGAGATCTGCATTGGTTCCCAGTACGTTTCCGAGCACAATTCAAAGTGTTGGTGCTGACCTTTAAAGCCCTAAACTGCCTTGGTCCTGTATACCTGAAGGAGCATCTCCACCCCCATTGTTCAGCCCAGACACTGAGGTCCAGCACCGAGGGCCTTCTGGCGGTTCCCTCATTGCGAGAAGTGAGGTTACAGGGAACCAGACAGAGGGCATTCTCGGTAGTAGCGCCTGCCCTGTGGAATGCCCTCCCTTCAGATGTGAAGGAAATAAGCAGCTATCTTCTCTTTAAAAGACATCTGAAGGCAGCCCTGTTTAGGGAGGTTTTTAATATTTAATGCTGTATTGTTTTTAATACTTGATTGGAAACCGCCTAGAGTGGCTGGGGAAACTCAGCCAGATGGGTGGGGTATAAATAAATTATTATTATTATTATTATTATTATTATTATCACCACTATTTCTTGTTTGTGTCCCTGCCACGGTAGCTGAGAAAGTCACTTCCCTGGGAAAAGACTGGCATCGGCCATGCTTGAAGTGTGAAAAATGCAGCAAGACCCTGACTGCAGGTGGCCATGCGGAGGTAAGTCGAGGTTTGAGGTGGCTGCTTCTTGCCTGCATGACAAACTTCCAGGTGGAGCCTGTTTGCAGAGTAACTGCATATGTCCATGTGGCTTTTTCTGACGTGATGCTTCTGAATAATTTGCTGCAAACATATGCATGTGCCTCTAAAGTGGGTTGAGCAACAGAAGCAGAATTGTGATGTGTGCTTGCTCTGACAGATTGTGCAGATAGCCTGCTAACTAAAGCCACTGGCTTCTTCGTCTTATTATTTATTACGTTTATATGCCATCTTTATCTCCCAAGGATATTGCAAGATACTTGCAGAATATCTATGTGAAATGGACTTTAGTCAATGATTTCTGGTCACCTGTTTCTTACTGTTTTTCACATGTCTCATTGGGGAGAACCATATATGATATCATCAATTATATTTATTTCTAAAAGCTACCTGTGCATGAAGATGTCCCCTTTTTAAAGTTCTACACAGGACCTATGGTTTACCCAATTTATTGGTGGGTTGTTGTTTCCCCCCCAGTTAAATTATTGGGGTTCCCATTGTTTCCCTTGCACATACATATGAGCAGGAGGAAAAGGGGATCACAAAAACATTTCTTTTGGCAGCTTATTAACTGGTCTCCCACCTTTCAGGAGTGAATGTATGCTCCCCCTCCCTCAAGTAGAAGAGGGAAATAATTCAGAAGGAACGCCGGATGACAGACAGCCTTATTGTTCAGATTAGTTGGCTGCAGGTCGTGTTTGTGCTGCCAGGGTGGCTGGTTTTCACACCACGGTAACCACCAGCTAACAAACAAATCCCTGGTTTGCAGTGCCGTTTCTCATGTTCATGGAAGGAGCAAAGCATTGACTGCAATGATTTGCCACTTGGATTGCCCAACACTGTGTGCGGCCCCTCCTGATTATTACAGAGTTACAATTTATTTTCTTTAGTTTAACTTTGGGGGGGGGGGAGAGAGTCCCATTACTAGTCCCATTACCAGCCATCCTGTTCCCTTCTCTCTGTGCAGATGCTGAGCAGCAAAGGAAGAGGGCGGTGCAGCTGGAACTTGCTTTGCAGCACACCCAGCCCAGCAGCCTCTTTTAAGAACAGGAAGAGGGGAGCGCATGGGGAAAGGGAGCTGGGGCTGCCTGGCGAGGGGCGGGGTGCCTGTTTGAATGGCTTGTGTGTTCTTCCTGAGTGGGTGTGGGTGTGTTGTGTTACCATGGTATCTTTGTGTGAGTTTATTGTGAGCTGTGGAATGAGTGAGTTTGGGTTTCTTCCTGGGTGGGGGAACTGAAGGTTTCTCTTTCTCTCTCTGTCTCTCTTTGTGTGTGTTTTAAAGGGAGTCAGAGGACATATTGCTGGGTAGGTGGGGGAATGTGGAGTGGGAGTTTTTGGAGGGGTTGGTTTGGGGTTTTGGAAAGGAGAGACTCTTGTGGGGATTGGGTTTGTCTGTTTGTGAGGGGACTGTCACAACGCTTTGTCAAAATTGGCCACCCCTGCTTTGCCATTATTTGTGGACTCCACTCCTCTGGCAGGGCAAACAGAGCTGCAGGCAGCTGCTCTGAGCAGCAGGCCTGGCTTTTGCCCCAAGAGCAGACAGGCAAGCGAGGCTCTGCCTTCTTAGCCTCCAGCAGGAATTGGTTGGTGGCTCTGGGTCTTTCCCGTCTTCCATACATACTACAATCCTTCCATCAACTGTCCCGTCTACCCTGCTTCCTCTGAGATGTTTGTATTCTCTCTGCAGCATGATGGGAAGCCTTATTGCAACCACCCTTGCTATGCTGCCTTGTTTGGACCAAAAGGTAAGATTCCTCCAGACAAGCACTTGTTGCTCCAAAGATTCCATCTTATGGAAATAGGATCACATGCCAGAGTATCCCCGTGTATATTGGAGTCTCTCTGGCTCACAGGAGGCAGAACTCTCTCTGTGACGTAGTTATAAACCGGATGCTGGCCGGGCTGCACATTAAGTGCCTCTGCTGTTTGCTGTTGTACATTAATGTGTGGCAGCCATATGGTGACAGACTTTACTGTCACATTTGAAGATTGCCTTGGAGCTTCCTAATCCAATTCCCACCCAATCACCTTTGCAACACGTCCGAGGCTCCATTTTCCATCTCTTCGCACCTTCTGTGCATGAAGACATGGGGAAACACTGGAAAAAAACAACACATTGTAAATGCTTATTGATATTTTTACGATTTCCATTCAGATAAAATGAGAGTATTTGGTCTGGTACAAAGTATGCAGCTATATGTTTAAACTATTTACAAAACTAGGGTGGGTCCCAACATTAAATGCTTTTATTTAAAAAAATAATGTAAGACAATCTACAGTATTAGAGAATAAATTCTTATACTGAACACTCAGATGCAATATATATTTCCGCACCAAGTCTATGAAACGAGCATACAGGTAAATTGCATGTGAATTCTTCTTGCCTTTTATATTCTAAGTTGTAAATGATACATTTTACATTGTTAAAACAGTAAAATAAGATTATTTGATATGCTTTTTTATTTGATATGTTTTTCTGAGAAACACCAGGCAGAATCTGTTTTTTAATGGCTTCAACATTTCCTGTAATCTGACATAGCTGGTACCAATGGCAAAAGGGTGTGGACATAGCCCCAAATCCCCAAACTAGGATTTCTGCACCCATTCACAAGTGGGTCTGGGAGATGATCTTCATTCTCTGTTTGAGAGGCTAATTGCCGCAGAAGAGCCAAATAGCCAAATGTACCCTTTGGAGGAGTATGTTGAAAGAACTGCCTTTCCATGTGGCAGGGATTGATGACGCAAGCTGCTTGGTGATCATGGTCCACCAAACTAGAGATGTACTGTCCTTTCATTAAATTAATATGACTTTTCAGATTCCTGGATAACTATGGATGATGAACTAATCTTGTCCCTTGAGGGAAAAACCCCTTTTCTGTATATGTCTGGGAGGCTACAACAGAGGGAATTGTCATTATCTTTAAAAAGTCCTGGCCTAGGCCCATTCAGAGCCTCATCTAGGGTGGCTCTTTTCATGGCTAGATAACCAGGTGTGGAAAATGCCACTAGTATTGATTTGCCTGGTTTCCTTTCAGGGTTTGGCCGTGGAGGGGCTGAAAGCCACACCTTCAAATGAAGTTCAGGTAAATTCCTGTTATTAAAGCTTCTTCTTGATAGACCCAGGATAGCTTTTGTAGCCCTGATGGCTTAGATCCATTTTGATCACAGTATTCTCTTTGCCTTCTTTTTAGGGCTGGAAGGATGGAATTGGCTGTGGATTCCAGCAGTTTCACAAATCATAATAGCTGCAATGTGCCTCCCCCCCACCCCAAACATGTAGCAAGCTAGCTTATTATGAAGGCTTTCAAAAGAAGCATCATGCTAGGTAACTGGGAGATTTCCTGCTCTGTATAAATGGAAACATACTTTGAGGTGGAGACCAGAATCTTTTTTCCTAATTTTAACACCGAGTTTCTTGGAAATGAATTCCTGCCCAAAGCCTAGCCCTGCTTTTAGACTCTGCTGTCCATGATGATGATTGTGTCTCAGTAATAAAATATTGATTTGAAGAGGTTTGCTGCAGCTCATCTTTGGAAGCGGGGGAGGCGTGATGTGCTTGTATTTGCTGCCCTGGAGGCTCTTGAGGAGACCCTTTGGAATCTTCTTTGGAATCCCAGATGGAATTGATACTAGCCATTGCTGTGGGGATGTTTAGGATAATAGGTAAGGAAATATTTGTTAAGTATTTGTTAAATCCTTCCTTCACTCATGCTAGTGAGTGACGTAGCAGAGCAAATCCCCTCTATATTCACAGAAGCTGGCTGGTAGATTCGTTTGAATCTCTATAAAATGACTAATCCAATCTCCCCTTTTCTCCCTCCTAAAATATAATAAAGACTCACAAGTCTGCATTTAAAAGTATAACAATAAGTTTACTTACAAGTTGTTCACAGTACACATCCTAGAAGGCAGGCTTTAAGCTTCAGTTTACAAACATATAACGTGGCTTACATCCTTTGTGAGGATGGGCCTAAGTGCTAACAAAATAGACTTAACTATGAGTTGAATCGAACAGGAACAAACAGGGCAGAGCATGAGTCACACTCATGGGCTGAGTCACTTAGAGCAGGAACAGGAAGTTACGCACCCCCTGTCTCTGTCCACTCTAGGAAGTAAAGCATGTTGTAATTGACTGTACTGATGTAAAAACATCCCACAACTGCACCCATGGAAAATTCCATTCAGGCGCTGAAACTGTTTAGCTGGTGACATCCATCATAGCCCAAAGTGATGCTCCACCCACCTCTGGCTGCTGTCTTGGCAGCCAATCAGCAACAGGCTCCACCCCCTCTGACTACTGTCTTGGCAGCCAATCAGCAAGAGGCTTCAGACCCCTGGTGGAATTCTGAGGGACTGCATCAGCAGACCCTACTTTGGCTCTGCTGTCCCCCCTTGCCTGTGGGGAGAGGTAGAGAAGAAGAGGGGAGAGGGATGTTGGGGATAGAAGGAGAGGGAAACACAGAAGACACTCCTCACTTTCACAGTTATTTTTACATCTCTCCTCATAGAACTGGGGGACTCTCAAAAAAAGAAGGGAAGTTGTTGGTGCTGGTGGGGTTTTTTAGTAGGGAAGGGTGTTACCAAAAAAACCCCAAACCCACAGGAGGGGGCAAACTTACACTTCCGGGCACACACACCATCAAGCTACTTTGCTATTTTCTTGCATTTCTCAAACCCTATGTGTAGAATTAAGGAACTGTTACTGAAGCTGGGGTGGATTTGGGGTTTTTTGGGGGTGGGATTTTAAGCAGATAAAAAGCAGTAGCAAGCAGTCGTCATACAGAAGCCTCAGATGCTACCTGAAAGGGGAAGGGCAAGGCACACAGGGAAGGAATCACAGCATAAATCCCCAGATACCTGCACATCAACAACATACAAGGACAGCCACCTGGGAACCTCCTCACCCAAATCCGTTGTCAGGGATGCTGCAGCAAGCAAACAAAGGGAAACTTCCTGCTTCCCCCAGATGTGCTTGTTATGTACTAAAGTTCTCACCCTGGGCCAGCAGGGGGATACTGTAGATAGTTATGCAAATAAGGGATCGAAAGTGACGTTCAGTGATTGGATAGTTACAGAAAATGGTTACTGTTGCGTTCTAGTGGAGCTCTATATAAGCAGGCTGGCTGAACCCTTCAGTTCAGTTCTGGCCTGTGAATAAACAAGAGCTGTTTGAAGAATCGCTGTGTCGTCTGATATGTTCACCCACAACTTAACAGTGCTTGTGCTCTTCCTCGCCCTGAGCCCATGAGAGGACCCTTGGCATAAAGTGTGGCAGAACTGGAGTGGGCAGAGGGGGAGACTGGGAATCTGGGAGGCAGCAAGCAGGAGGAGGAGGAAGAGGACTCCGGGAAAGATGGCCAAGGCTCACTGTTTGACAACAAATGTCCTACCGTGAAGATAGTCAACAGCGTCTTACACAAGCTACACATTCAAGGGGCTTCTCAAATATCCCTAAACCATGACACAATACACATACACAATTTACTATGTTATTTACATTTAAGTACATTTATATGTATTTTACTTATAATTTACTAGTTCACACTTTCTTTTTGAGGGGACACTTCTGCTGCAGAGGTTCTGTGTTATTGCTGCACTGAAAGAGCAATGTTTTGAACTGTAGTCACAAAATGACCCTTGAGAAACAACTAACCCTTCTCTTTGTACATGAGGCTCTAATATTTACAGAATAAGGTGACACCACTCTTGTTCTTTGAGCATCTGGGCTCCCCATCTCCTACTGCAGCAGCCATATACTTGGATTGTGGAAATTACTGTCTCTGCCAGAGCCTTTATGTAGACTTGAACTTAAGCAATCCTACTGAAGGGAGGAAAGGAAAACCTAAATGGAACCTTTCGCTTATTTTTAGAAGTAAAGGTCAAGGGCCACCCTTTCCTTTTGCCAGTTCTACTGCTGCTACAACTATAGCTCCTGCTAATCATTAGGTGAATGTGCAACAAAGAGGATTACAAAGGCATTGGCATTAAAATTCATTTGCCAGACTGCAAAGAGATAAATGTGACAAATGTCAGATCATGATAGGGTAGGAATAATATGCTTTCAAAAAAGCATGGATGAAATATGCTGCCTTTATTGTGGTTCACTGCAGGAAATTTTAAAGTTACTGCTGCATAATTGGTTGTTTAAATGGTAAAGCCATCTAACTAGCAACTTGGTCACTTCAAACTCCCAAAGCAGAAAGTTAAAAGTGCATTTATCTGTTCTTAAGGGTATTTTTGTTCATGTTTGCTGCTGCAATAGGAAATGAAAAATAAAATAATAAAGGTGATACTTCCTTCTGATAATAAGTGTGAGCGCCCACTTATTTTAAATGGAGTTTTTCCACTTCATTCCTAGATTGGTGTTTGGGTAATATTGGGTAAAATACAAATACATTGATATGATAAATTAATCTGTTACAAAGCAGGTGGCTGAGTATTCTTCAATAGATTGAGAAGCCTTAGATAACATGGGTGGTTTTTAAAAAGACCGAGGCCCCTGGTGAGTGAGGCTGGAAATATGGTGGACATCTGCTATTCTGTTCTCAGAAGAAAATTGCAGCTTCTTGCCAAAGAACCCAAACAGTCTCTTGTCATAGCAAGCTTTTCCCAAGCAAATAATCTGACACCGAGAACATGAATAGGAAACTCTTGCTGTGCCATTTCAGAGGTTTGTGGAAATTCTGGTTGCTATAAACATTTAGTCATCAAAGCAAAAAACAATCTGTTACGCTGGGCGTGGGTGGAAATGGACAGATAATGAGTGGAATGAATCAAACAGGAAGTTGGCTGTCTTTGCAACAGATGCATAGTTGTAACAGCCTGAGACCAAGAAAAAGGGGAAGGTTATTTATACAATATTCAATTTATGCTGCTTTTGCCCATATCACTCCTCCTCCTCCTCCTCCTCCTCCTCCTCCTCCTCCTCCTCTTCTTCTTCTTCTTCTTCTTCTTCATACAACCCTTCAGCTGTAGATATCAATATAAAACCACAAAATACATAAGAACAACAACAAAATAATAATAATCCCCCTCCCACAACACATTTAAAAGTTCATCAAATGCCAATCAGCCAAAGACCTGCTTGAAGAGGAATGCTTTTGCCTGGCACCTAAAGGTGCCAGCTTAACCTCCCTGGGGAGAGCATTGCACAAATGGAATAACCACCCATACTCTATTTTTGGCATAGCAGAGGAAGGAGACAGAATCATAGAACTGGAAGGGACCTTGAGGGTCATCCAGTCCAACCCCCTGCAATGCAGGAATCTCAGCTAAAGCATCCCTGACAGATGCCCATCCAACATCTGCTTAGAAACCTCCAATGAAGGCGAGCCCACAACCTCTCAATGGGAGACTGTTCCATGTCAAACAACTCTGTTAGAAAGTTCTGCCTGATGTTCAGTCAGAATCTATGTTTCTCCATAGATAATGTGATATCCAATATTTATGGTGTGGCTATAATTAATCACCACATAATTATCTCTGTTGACAGACTGTTGACAGGAGATGGCTAGATAGATAGAAAGGTGGTGGTGGGGGACACACCTTGGAGAAAACTTTTGGTCAGGGAGCCTGAATGTACAATCAGACTCCATAGCAGCCAACTGCTATGGCTTTATTTAAGACATGGGGCTGGCTAGGACTGAGAAAGAGTGAGAGAGCCACTCCAAATTCCTATTCAGCCACTGGATGGCTTTGTTCAAGCCACTCTCTCCCCCGCAATATAAGGTTATAAAACACACTGTGCACTGAAAGATGAGATAAAAATCTATGGAGGCAGTCCCTATGCCTTCCTTACGCTCAAGAACTTTAACCTGAACCCCAAAGAAACAGGGCTTCCCCTCCTAAGAAAAGCTCAACAACTCTGACCTGAAAACCACCCCCCAAAACAGGGCTTTTCCTCCTAAAAAAAAGTTCTATTTTGACCTGAACCCCAAAAACCAGGGCTTTCCTTCCTAAAAAAAGCCCAACAACTTTGACCTGAACCCGTCAAAAGGTGGTAGATCACTGCCAGTTTTTAACTCTGTGGGTAGATCGCAGTGTCCTGGGAGCTGACCATCCCTGATCTAGAATAACTGCCCTGTTTTGCATAGTGATGGCCGTCAGTCTGGGATGGTTTTAGACAGATTCCTGGCTCTGTCCTGCCTTTCCATGTTTGAGGCAGCAAATCCTTCTGGTTGCATTGCTGGGAATCACAAGCAGGGCGAGTTGCTGCTGTTGCCCAGGGGTCCTGCTGGTGGGCTTCCTTTGGGGCACCTGGTTGGCCCCAAGAGTACAGGATGTTGGACTAGAAGGGCCATGGGCCGGATCCTGCAGGTCTTTTCTTCGATTTTAATGTGTTTATAAGTTGCTCACCTTAAAGATTAGGATCTCCATCCCCAAGCATGGCAGGGGGTTCAACATATGCAAGTGGGGGGTGCCAGATCTTTGTCAAATGATTTTTAATTTGCACTCTGACCCTGAGTGTGTGAGCAGATCTTTCTTTGCTTTTCTCCTTTTCCCATTGAGGTGGCAGTTGTAGTTTCACTATCTGTCTCATCTTCAGAGCAAACCTATAGTCTATTGACATTTAACACTTTCACCGCAGATTAACATTCAGCCTCTTTAGAGCACCCTTCAAGTGTTTAAGCAGACATATGCTATCCCAGTAACAACAGTCCTGTGAAGTTACAGTATTTTCACCTTTTTGCACACAGAGGCTGAGATATGGTGGCATAATTGAAGAAACCTAGCAATGGTGTGTTTCATAGGTGACTCTGCTGTACTTGCATGCTTTTGGCATCACATATAAAAGTTGTCATTGTGGGAACAAATTCAGAAGGGGGGGGGATGCATGCACATCCTAGACAACACATATTTTATTTTCATGAATGTAGGTCAATTTGAAAATGATCCTAGTTGCTACCCACATCTCTCAGAATTGAGGAAACAAGAGAATGGCTGAACCGTGGCTCTTCCCAGATCCAGATTTAACTTAGTACAAGCTGCTGCCTGGAAAGACCACAAAGCTTCCCTTTGTGATCAAACACAAGGGGTACTCCAGATGAGGGTTTTAAACACTGCCACCCATTGTTCTCCAACTTCAAGCTACAGAGCTTTTCATGCATCCCCGTCACCTCAATTTTCACTCACTTTCTCCAGGGCAAAGAGTGGGAATTCCACATTTAATGACTAATGTGGAAGTCCCCACTCTACTGGGCTCAACCAAGCAAAAACCTGTTTTCACTCACAAGATCACTCAAGTGATCTTGGCTCCTTCCTGCAACTGCAAGGAGAAAAGGTACCATGGCTAGTGAAGGGAGGAGGAACTGCTAAGTTGGCAGTAATCAGCTGATTTCAAGAATTTGTGGTCAAAGGTTGAGCAGCTGGGCCAGCCTCTTTGCTTGCTGCGCTGCAAGTAACATAATGGAAGAAACTCCTTTGGAGTTTCAGAAAGGAGGTTGAACAGCAACCTACCAGAGATGCTTTTATCCTGATCTCACTCCAAGAAGTTTCTTTAGGGTTTTGATGACCACTTTTTGCCAGTGACTGATTTTGCTTTTAGCTTTAGGCTCCCCGCCCTGCCTTCTCCGTGGACCAAGAATGAATTGCGTCTAAACATTGACACCTGCCTGCTATGGAAAGTCAGAAGCTGGCTGTTTTCAGAAGTTCACCTCAGACAAAGCACATTCTATTAATATTTTGGATTTCCTATTTATGAAAACAGGGCACATTAAGGGCAGTTATTTTTATTCTGACATTAAGGGGCCTGAGAAATGCCAATCATCATCATAAACATGCCATAAGACTTTAGATGATGGGAAAGCTGCTGTGAGAACTGAGGGAACATCAGAAGCCAGCTGAGCAGATCAAATTAGCAATGGAGATTCTCCCTAGTATTTTTTCTTTCTTTCCCTACAGTATCCTCCACAAGAAGTTAAGCCCATGAAGTCAGAGAAACTCCAGATGACTCTCCTACTGGGCTGGCTGATGCCTGCTCTTCGAACAGCTCCAGCTCAGCTTCAAGGTTTTTTGGTGCACAGCCAAAGAGACCAGGGGCAAGTGTTGCAGAGACAAATGTCTGTAGGTTCCCATGGAAAGGAACGGCCTTTCCCATGCTCACTTCTACAGTCGTCTACAACTTGGTCGCGAGGGAGATGTCGGCAGTCCCGCCTCCTCTGCTTACAAGTGAAAGCTGACTGTGCTCCCTGAAGACAGGGAACAGGGAAAGAGTGTCCTCCAGTCTGCAAGTAGGATGACTTGTGTTCCTCTTCTTCAGGGATGATGCTCCCATGAGAGAGGGGCCTTCCCTCCCCCAGCCATCATGTTTCCACCTTTCCCCTTCCCACATATGGATATTCATTCAAAATATTTATACCCTGCTTTTCAGCCAGAAAAGCTCACAGGGCAGCTTAGAAAACAACAACAATCTGAGCATGACAATCTAAAAGAAGAAATGACCACAAAAGGAAAAGAGGATTTGTAGGGAAGATGCAAACTAGCAAAATCTACTTGTTTATAAATATACAGGGTTCACCAGCTTGGATGGAAACATATTGTTGCACGCCACCCCAATTTTGTGCGGCAAGAGGTTCCTGGGGCGCCTGCATTTCCTTGGTGTCCTGGAATGAAGGTCATCCCAAGATGGTGGTGTCTTTAGGATATATGGTTTTATTTACACATATGTCCATGAGACTGAAAGGTTCTTGCTTCCTCATTTGGTTTCCAGGAGAGCCCAAACTCAGCTTTGGATCCAACACCAAGCAAGACGTTGCTGTCTCCTCCAGCTTCCAGCATCAGCTCAGCTCTCATGCGCAACTCTGGCTATTGTTCTTCTACCTGGGGTCATGTGGTCGAGTGTGAGAAAAGTGTGGGAAATGCCTAAGCCACCCATTTAGAGAGCCACATTGAGCTCATTCTTTGGGCTTCTGCTGATCAGCTAAAGCCATTGTGCCTTGATAAGGCAACTGGTTTGGAAGGCTTCCTCTTTTACACTCTGCCCTCACAGTACATTTACAAAGAGGTAAAGGACCTCTATCATAGACGGAGAGCTCCTCTTCATAGGGAAGAGGAGCACCACCCAAAAGACATAAAAGGATCTCACAGATCTCCCTTAAGCGGCAGCTCCACAGGGTCTCCTTTCTGCCCCTCTTCCAGGGGCTTTTCTTCTGTCGCCTTGGGGCTGGCTAAGGAATGTGCTAAGTGGACAGAATGTGCAGCCAACACTTTAGGTCAGAGTTTTCCAAATTTGTCATGCTTTTTAGACATGCATCATTTCACACCACAGTAATTCAGTTTTATGAACTGGAGGTTATCCCTTTCTAGCCCCGGGAGGAAGCATTCACACGACACACTGCAGCCAGCAGTTTGGAAAGCTCTGCTTTAGCCTCTCTACAGTGGTCCTCTGTAGGGAAGCAACTGCCAAGCCTGCTGGGGAGGAGGCTGAACTGTCTTGAGGAAGCGGAGGTGGCTCAACCTCAGCCAAGGGTCGTTTGCTTCCGGGTTTTTTAGCTCTTACAGGCAAAAGCACGGAGGGTGTTAATAGCTGATGGAAGATGAAGTTCCTGTGGGTTATTTACCTTTAGTTTAATTTCTGCCTTTTGAATGCTGGACTGTGGTTTTCTGAACATCTGGCATGTTCCCTCTCTGTGCGGGAGTTACAAAGTGAGTCTCCCAAACTTTCAACTTATCTGTGCCACCTCCCTTCTCCCTTAAGGGGCAAGATGTCTGGGGAGGAAACTAAGAAAGCTCCAGGACTGTTACTGTGAAGAGGTGAGACATTTTTCTCCTCAGAACAGGCAGGAGGGATATGGGAGTAGCCCTCTAACAGAGTCCCCCCCCCCCCATTTCCCTTCTTCACCTGCTTGGAGGTGCTAGAATTCAGGATCAAAACCTTTCTCTTTAGAGTTGTCTGCTTTGCCATGTGGCCCCTGGAGAGGAGGCAAAGGTCTTCCAGAGGCATTGTCCCTCTGGTGTTATTTATTCATCATTCCCAGGAAACAGATTCACAACATACCACGTTTGGCTTGCCACACCTGGCTTTCTGCTTGCATCTTTGGGGCAGGTATGGCCAAACTTGGCCCTCCTAATGTCTGGGACTACAACTCCCATCATCCCTAGCTAACAGGACCAGTGGTCAGGGATGATAGGAATTGTAGTCCCAAAACATCTGGAGGGCCAAGTTTGGCCATGCCTGTCTTTAGGGTGTGTTGGCCACATGCCTTGTGCTATTTCTGCATTGCAAGTGGCTGGACTAGATGGTCCTTGGGGTCCCCCAACACTACAAGTCTAGATTCTGTTTTACAGGAGAAGCACAAAGACCCCAGACTTACTGTTCCAAGGGCAATACTGGCCCTAAGAAGCAGAGCACATCTTGCTCAGGCTGTAGGGAAGGAAGTCTGGCAAATACTCCTCAAAATGCCCCTTTCCCCTCTTACAGACTAAGGGAAAGGTCACCTGCAATCCCTTAGAATCCTAGAATTGTAGAGTTGGAAGGGACCCCAGGGGTCGTCTAGTCCAACCCCCTGCAAGGCAGGAATCTCAGCTGAAGCATCCATGGCTCAGTGGGGAAGCCAGAGAGGGACCGCTGCTGCTGCTTTCCCACAATCTGTGAGGAAGGAACATGTGACAGATTTTGTTCCAGGTGGAGGCAGAGGCTCCCAACTTTGGGGAATTGATTCTGAAGCTAGCTGATAACCCGCTTTTTACAAAATGCTGCAGTGACATTGCTTCCTACATAAGTGGCATGGTTTGCCAGAGAGCTCCATCCCTCTTTAAAGCAGCCATGGCTCCTTCCGACCTGGGCACAGCTGATGGCCTCTGGGTTTAAGGCAGTTCCACCAGAGGCAGATTGCATTCACCATGTGAAACTGTCACATGTCACAATGCAGCTTGTCACCCCTGCCAGCCCCCCCATTGAATTTTGCATTTAAATCAAATAGCTATTAGGGACCCTATGGATCGCATGTCTGTGATGGGTGCATGGGGACGGCTAAACTCTGTGCATGTATATATGCCCACCCCTCCACCTCCACAGCACAGGTGTCCCTTGACGGCAAAGAGAGCTATTACCTCTTGCTCTATGCAATTAATACTGAAATAGCAGCTCTTTTATTTGCTCAGAAAACTGTGTACAAAAGTGCCAGATTAGAAAAGGTAGCAGATATATATGATCTACCTTCATTGCGGTAGTAGATGTCTAGTTACCTGACAGCTAAAATACGGAGCTCGCAAGCAGATACGTTGTCACAGCCCCTCTAAATGGGAGCAGGTGGTTTTTGGCATGCACTGCTCCTAAAGTCAGAAAATTAGGCAAGAGGCAGAATGTGAGAACTGGTGGATAGGAACATTTTCTCCTATCTTCACCATGAATTATTTCAAGGAAGCAGAGTAGAATAAGGGAATTCAAAGAAAGAGAGGGGCAGCAAGAGCAACACACACTCCAGCCCCCCTCCCCCCATGGCACACAGCACTTCAGTCGAGTGTTAGCTGGAATAAATGGACAAGACCAGGCCATTAGAACAATGTTTCCACGTTGCCCATCTCCACGCAGACAGTCTTCAGCTGAGAGTAATATTCTATTGCTGCTTCGCCATTCTCTCGGCCAAACCCTGCAAGAGAGAGGTCCATGGTAAGACTGCAACTCTATGGCTCCCTGTGAGAAGAACTCTGGAAAACTGCATGGCAGGAATTGCACCATGGAATGGAGAACATAGCATCTGATGCCACTATTTGCTCTTAAAAATATGTTTTTCCTTGTGAAGGTTTCAGAAGTAAGCTTGCTGGCAACTTACCTGTGAGAATGCAAAGGACCCAAGGGAAGGGACTTCCTTACTTAAGTGTATGTACAGGTGAACCTAAAAGCTGGAGTTAGCATGTGCATGTCCTTTCTCACAGGGTGAGCACTGCAAACAACAGATGTATGTATCTCAAACTGTTTCAGGCAGGCTGTATGGCCAACACCCAGAACGACCTTAAGCCAGAGGAACTAAATGACATCAGGATTCTTGGCGAGCACCACATCCCTCTGGAAGGCTGCAACTCTCTTGGTCCACAACCCAAGCTTGGCTAATATTTCCATTCCCTTTTGCCAACTGGTACGTAATATGCTGAGAACCAAAGCCCAGCACTGTTGCCACCAGCTGAGCAGCTCACCTGACATCTTGTATCCTCCGAAGGGCAGCTCCACAGGGCTGACGTTGTAGTTGTTGATGAAGCACATCCCTGCCTGGAGACCAGCCACGACTCGATGAGCCCGTTGGATGTCCCTAGGAAGCAGAAGGATGGGGTGAAGCACCAGTGTGTCTCCCAAGGCCCAGAAACCCTGCAGTGTTCCCTGGCCTTCCTAAGGGACAGGCTAGAGTAGGCCAAATGCCACTAGGCACAGCTGTCACTTCGGAGGAATGCCAGCTGATGAGGATAGCACACAATTCCAACTGGCAGCAAGCATTTGCCATCATGATCTGGGCTGATGTGCTGCTTCCCAACTTGCATCTTCTACAGATGCCACATTACAGAGCAGGCAGCCCCATTTACTGTCCAGTCTGGCCCGTTTCATTTTCCATCTCCCTCCCTGAAACCTATGCCCTTCCTTGATGGTACCTGGTAAAGACACCTCCTGCCAGGCCAAAATGAGTGTTGTTGGCTCTTTCTAGGACTTCCTCTTCGGTGTCAAAGGGCAGGATGGACATGACAGGTCCAAAAATCTCCTCTTGTACACATGTCATGTTGTCATTACAGTTTCCTGAGTGCAACACAGAAGTGATCAAATAATATTAAATAGGTATGCAACTGTTCTGAATGCACAAGTGAGGAAGAAACAGATTCTCCCACCCAGTTATTCTGCAGTTATGAAACAAATTGGGATTTCAGAACTACCTGCTTGTTGCTTTAGATCTGGACAAACTATCAGCCTATAAATCTATGCAAGTTTATTTGAAAATAAATTCCACTTTGTACAACAGGACTTGCTTCCAAGTAAAGTGTGGACAGGAGCTCAGTGCCTGACAACTGAATTATTTACTGCACCCTCAATACTCTAAATATGAAAGCTTCCTGCATAAATAAAACTACTATGTAAGGAGATGAAATTGCTTCTCTGCACAGGAGGTTATTTATAGTACAGAACATTCAAACATGTGGACCTTGAGTACCATCCCAAACAAATCATCTGATCATGTAGTTCGGATCATAGCATTAGGCGGCTGCAGAACAATGAAAGGGGCCACCATCCTTTCTCAACCTCAGGAAAGATTATAAGGAAGCCAATTTCTTCAGCTAAAAATGCCATACAAATCTGTGCACTGTGCTCATCTTCCATCCCCTTCAGCACCAACATGGTACTGACCATGTTGGAGAATCAACCAATAATGGGGTTCATACCTAGCACACAGGGAGACATGTAAAAGCCACCACTCAACTTAGGGTCATCTGGCACATAGGCTTCTCCTCCACACAGCACCACTGCGCCCTGTAAATGCAAAATGTCCAGAGCAAACCATTAGACTCCTTAAAAGGAAACTATGGGAAGCATCCAGTGAAGTTGTTGCGTTAGCCATGGGTTTCCGTTTGTGCAATGGAATTTCCCCTCTCCGTCTCTTTTCCTCTTGCCCCCCTCCTTACACAGCCTCCCCAGATATGCTCCAGAGGGTTGGGCAACTCCCAGAACAGATTTAGGGAGAGGAGAGGGGAGGGAAGGGACAGAAGTTGCTGAAATAACAGAACTACTTTGCTGGACAGTGCCCTCTATTTATAGTCCTTTGACCAGTCCATCCTAGTCTCCATAGGGTTCTTTTGCAACTGACAGCATTATTCAGTCTTGAAAAGAGATAATCTGAGCACCATGCAAACAAAAGTCATAACCCTTGCCAGAAGGCAAAGTACAATTGAGGGACAAAGTCCTTAAATGTGAATAGTCAAATGGTCTCAAATTCCTTGGGTTTATGTTGACTCTGGATTTCATAACCTTTAATCTTGCAGGGAGAATGTACTCCAACAGATCTGAAGCGACCTGCTAGATCCATAAGCAGAGAACTGACAGCATGGCCACCCCTGCAAAAGAGCCCTATTTATTTGCTTGACATGAATGGCTGAATCTGCTGTTGCTACTTATGGGGAGGTACAACACTGACAGCACATCCCACAAAGTCAACTTTCCTGTAAGTTATCAGGAACTGTTCAGATGTAGTCCCTCAGAACCTAGCAAAAGATGGGAACACAACTTCATATATATCAAAATTCCATGTATGCCTTGCCAGGCACAGCCTTTGTTGTGAGCACAGAATATGGTGTCTGTATGATGTTCTCGGGGTGAAGAGAAGCTATCTGATATACTTCATGACTCTCACCTGATCCTTTGCTTGTTTAACAAAGCTCAACACCTTCTCCAGGTGGGAGTGGTTGATAAGTGCTCCCATCCGTGTGTCTTCCAGCAGGGGGTCGCCAATTTTGATATTCTGTGTCTGTTTCATGACTTCCTTGGTGAAGGAATTCAGTATCTCGCTTTGCACAAACACCCGAGTGCCATTGCAACAAACCTGAGGCACAGAGAGAGATCTAAGAAAGTACCAACCAACCAACCAACCAACCACACCTTGCTTGCTGGCTCTGGTAGCCACAATGAGCCACCTACTCACTGGATCTTTGGCACTGATTTTAAATCTCCTGGGAATGGAGAAAATCAGACTCTTCCACACAGTACAAGAGTGTGAGCTGTAGTGCCACTTTTTGCATAGCAAACAAATGTTAGAATATAAGAATAGCACTGAAGTGTCTTCTTATGTGTCCTCTGAATATTGAGAATCTAGCCCACCAGAAAAACTGGAGCTGCCCTCCCTTGAATGAGATAATAAAAAAGTTTGTTGGGAAGTAGAGCAGAAAGATTTTCTTAGAACCCTCAGTGCCACCATGTGGGGAAAATATAGAGCAGACAAGAGTGAACTACGGCATAAAGCAAAGCAGAAATGGCCTGAGACATTTGGGTGTCTATGGCCCCAAATCCAAATGGAACTCCATGTCAGTAAAAAATATAATCAAACGTTATATTCTTGTTAGTGGTATCTTGAAGAAAGTCTGACTTACAGTTACAACATGTGTACTCTTGATGGAGCCTTATGGCTTCAAGTTCAAGAGTGGACTAAATACAACAAGTTTCACTGCCTTGTATTTAGGGGCAAACATGAACCTAGCAGGCCCACCAGTAAGAAAGGGATAGGCCTTGGCCTCTTGCCCTAAATAGTTGGGACTTTACAGGCATCTGTTTTCATGTCAAGATCAGATTCTCATTTATCTTAAAAACCAAGGCCTTCCATGCTGCAGTAATTTAGAAATGACAGATTTCTTTTTCAGCTGTAGAAGAATGTTACCACTGAACTTTGGACTTCCCTGACAAGACATAAACAAGCTCCTCAGGAGGTCCACACCTCGCCTTGTGTGAGGAAGTTGGCCATGAGAGCTCCTTTTACAGCATTCTCCAGGACACAGTCAGAGAAGATAATAAGGGGGGATTTGCCCCCCAACTCCAGAGTAACTGGCTTGATCCCTTTGGCTGCCATCTCCATGATCTATTGAAGCAAAGATGGAACAAGGTGTATGAGCAACACAAGCAAGTCTATCACAACTCTGCAAAATCTCTAGACAAGTGAAAAGGGACATCCTCATTTGGGAGTCTGCTGAATAAGCATCTATATCTTTTGCTTATGGAAGATACTTTCTGGTGATAAGTCAGGATTAAATGTCAAGCAATTCTGAGCCTACAGTGATGTTACGCGAACACAACTCTGTCTTCCATGCATAAAAGCATTTTGTAACACATGATAGATTTAACCACTCAGGGCTGAAATTTCATCTTGCTTTTCATGTGTCCTTGCCAGACAATTCTCCAGCAACATGGATTGAAAGGCAGGCGGTGAAAGGCTAGTGCTTTCCCCAAAGGATACAACATGGAAAGCTCCGACTGTAAGTACAGTGTTGACATGCTTTACATCTGCGGCTTGCTCAAAACACACTGTCCTCTAGCAATTCAAAAGCCCAAAGGGATTTGACTGAAGCGAATGGCAAAGGCATAAACAGAAACTTCTCCTATCCTGCTCTCTGGGGCCTCTCTAGCTGGCCTTCCCCACTCCAGAGGCATGCCAGGTACTCCAAACTGGCCTTTGCATCGCATGCTTGCGCTCCTGTAGACTTACCACCTGGGAAGCCAGAGGGCTAAACTTTGCAGTTCAATATTGCCAGCCGGCATTGGTGTCCTGTACCTTGATTCCTGTAGGAACGCTCCCGGTGAAAGAGACCTTGGCCACATTCGGGTGCTGGCACAGGAACTGGCCTGTGGCAACTCCACCTTGCACCACATTGAAAAGCCCCTTAGGAACTCCAGCCTCATGGTAGATCTCTGCCAGCATCACGGCGGAGACAGGGGTGAAGGGAGAAGGCTTGAAGACCATGGCGTTACCTAGGCAATTCACATGGGCCAAGGGGGAAAGAACAGCTGTGCATTAACTCTATCTGGAGGTGCAAAGGAGAAAGCTGGGGTGGGCAATGGATTTGGCCTCTCTGATCCCAGCTGAATGCCCAGTCCAAACATGAGTGTTGAGTAAACGCTTCTACTAGGGACAGAAGCAAGAAATGGAGCTACCACAATGCTCATCCCGCAAATCCCCATCTTAATTTGGTGGCCTCACAATCCACATTAATGTGTTCTCTCTCCTTCACGGGACGCGGGTGGCGCTGTGGGTTAAACCAGAGGCTAGGACTTGCCGATCAGAAGGTCGGCGGTTCGAATCCCCGCGACGGGGTGAGCTCCTGTTGCTCGGTCCCTGCTTCTGCCAACCTAGCAGTTCGAAAGCACGTCAAAGTGCAAGTAGATAAATTGGTACCGCTCCGGCGGGAAGGTAAACGGTGTTTCCGTGTGCTGCTCTGGTTTGCCAGAAGCGGCTTAGTCATGCTGGCCACATGACCCGGAAGCTGTACGCTGGCTCCCTCGGCCAATAAAGCGAGATGAGTGCTGCAACCCGAGTCGGTCACGACTGGACCTAATGGTTTACTTCTTCATCTGCCATTTAAATACTTGACTTTATAATATTGCAGAGCATTGTTCCCTATTCCATGCATGGGCACCCTACAAAGCCACCCCCTGGTACTAGCTGTTGGGATGACACCCACATTCTCACTCCTCATATAGAGCATCTCTTTTACCACAGGCCAAAGCCGGGGCAGACTTCCAGCAGGCAATCTGGAAAGGGTAGTTCCAGGCTCCTATTCCAACACAGACTCCAAGAGGTTCTCTTCTCGTATAAGCAAAGGATCCGCCGGAAAGCTGGATGTGCTGGCCTGGACAGGAAGGACAAAGCAAGATGAGCAGGAGCAGCACAGCTGGTCAGAGTGGCTTGCAAAGTAAAAACCACAACAAACCAAACCAAAACATTTTAAAGAGGTAAGAATAAAAAGAGTATAAAACATATGGTATATTTTATATTATAAAAGGTAAAGGTAAAGGTACCCCTGCCCATATGGGCCAGTCTTGCCAGACTCTAGGGTTGTGCGCTCATCTCACTCTATAGGCCGGGAGCCAGCGCTGTCCACAGACACTTCTGGGTCACGTGGCCAGTGTGACAAGCTGCATCTGGCGAGCCAGCGCAGCAGATGGAACGCCGTTTACCTTCTCGCTGGTAAGCGGTCCCTATTTATCTACTTGCACCCAGAGGTGCTTTCGAACTGCTAGGTTGGCAGGCGCTGGGACCGAACGACGGGAGCGCACCCCGCCGTGGGGATTCGAACCGCCGACCATGCGATCGGCAAGTCCTAGGCGCTGAGGTTTTACCCACAGCGCCACCCGCGTCCCACATTTTATATTATAAAAAGGATTGCAAATAAGTCCCCATTCCTTGAGTCCATTTGAATGGCTTTTTGCTTTGGATCCTGAGTGCGACCTTCTTCCTGAGGAAAAAAGATTTCATTTAATTGCTCCAATTTACCACCTTTGTGGTTCAAGGTCACCAGTGACTGCAGATATTGATTTTTAGCCACTGCATGATCTTCCAGCACTATACTCAAATTCCTAAAGGTTTCTTTATACTGGTAGTTTTCCTTAATTGTATTTTTGAGGTGAAAGAGTTCTGTTTTGCTTTGTAACCTAATAGCTTTTGCATTTCTTCCCTCATGGTGCTTTCTGTGATACGCTTTCGGCTCTGAATTGGCTACCTGGGCGGGCTGGGTGATACCTGGTTTTCAACACTGTGATCTATCAGCAGCTAAATATTGGGATATGCTGATACATCCACCACCCAAGTCATCTCCCCATTCCACAGAGTGAAACTCCCCACGTGCCCACTGGAACCTAACAAATTCAGCATGGAAACATTCTGTAGGGGCCCTGGTTGGTTGTGGCTGCCTGTGAAGTTTCTTTCTGCAGCTTTAAAAAGAAGAAATAATGCATTTTAAATATGAGACTAGTGATGGGGAACCTCCAGCCTGCTTATTCGGCCTGCTAGGTCTCAGAGGTTGGCTCAGCAGGTTGTTTGGGGCAAAATTTGCCCATCATATGTGATGACAGGTGCAAGAAAGCTCAAGCTGTGGATACAAGGAAGAAGAATTGAGAATGCTTTAAGTGCACTCCCAATTTTTCCTTTGCATCAAGAAGTCACTAAGGAAACTTGGCACCTTTTTTGTTGCACCACATTTAAAAAGGGCCAACTTTCTGATGCAAAGGAGGAACTGGTAATCCTGATTCTTTCCTTTGTAGCTGAGCCACCTGATGTCATATTAGTTTCAGCAAGTACACAACACTGCACACACAGAACCATTTTTCATGCCCAGTAGAAGAGCTGGACTCCAGACATCACTGCATAAAGCGGAATACAAGAATTCTGGAAAAAGTAGCAAACCATATTATCTAAACAACAAATGTTTCCTGTCTGAACATTCAGGCTCCTCCCATGACTTGAAGCTGTTACCCACATTTGACTTCTGTACTGTTCCAAGGAGTGTATTAGACGACATGGGAAGAATGAAAAAATACAGAGCTAATGCAACAGAACTAACAAATGGAGTTGCAGACTCTCACCTGCTAGGGAGCCAGCTAAGCCAGCATAATACTGCAGACACTGCCAAGACGTATCAATATCTATTCGGGCTTCAGTTATGGATTTGCCATTATTGATTGTTTCCAAGGTAGCTATTTCTTCCCTTCGCTCCTAGAATCCCAACAGAGACACAGTATGAATCAAACTATGCTAGCAGCAACTGGAACTGGAATTAAGTGGCTGCCCAAGCTTCCTTTATATTCCACCAAAAGTACGTCTGTGCCAAAAAAGCTAGAACTGCGAAGTGATATACATTTGTGCATATTTCTTTGTGCTCTATAATCAGCTATTTCTAGCCATTCATTTATTAAAATAATGTACATACCACTTTTGAAGCAGAACATGACAAGGCAATGTGCACTATAATAACTGAAGACAATTCACTAAAACACTACATTTATAAACATTTATATCTGCTGTGTCTAAGGAACAAAAAAAAGGTACCGTATTTTTCGCCCTATAGGATGCACTTTTCCCCCTCCAAAAATGAAGGGGAAATGTGTGTGCGTCCTATGGGGCGAATGCAGGCTTCAGGAAGCTATCCGCAAGCCTTGGGAGCCCGGCGAGACTTCCCTCGGGCTCCCAGGGCTTGCGGATGGCAGCCTGCGGGCTTTTCAGGGAGGTGGGGGAATTCCCCCACCTCCCAGAAAAGCCAGGAGAAGCCGCGCGCTCTTTAAAGGGGTTGCGCGGCTTCTGCAGGCTTTTGCGAGGGAATCCCTCCACCTCCCAGAAAAGCCAGGAGAAGCCGTGCAGCCCTTTTAAAGAGCGCACGGCTTCTGCCGGTTTTGCGGGTGCCCTGCAGAGGCTTTGCGCGCAGCCGTCTCCAAGCTAGAAGAGCGAGACGGAGCCCTCTGTCTCGCTGTTCTGGCTTGGGAACAGCCTTCCTTTGTGCGCAGCCATCCCCAAGCTAGAAGAGCCAATAGAAGCCGCGCAGCCCCTTTAAAGAGCGTGCGACTTCTGCGGGAGGTGGGGAATACTCCCAGAGTTTGTCAGGGCTGGTGGGGGAAGGCTTGCGGATAGCAGCCTGTTCTGGGGGCTGGGGTCGGGGGAAGCTTGGGCTTCCCCCGCCCCAGCCCCGCACCTGGGGGGGGGGATTTTTTTTCCTTTATTCCCCCCCCCCCCAAAAAACTAGGTGCGTCCTATGGGCCGGTGCGTCCTATAGGGCGAAAAATACGGTACAACAGGAAGGCCTCTATGAACAGATACATTTTTAGTAGCTGGTAAAATAGCAGTACTGTTGGCCCCTGCTGAATGCTCAGGGTGTGTGTGTGGGGGGGGGGGAATTCCATAAGGTGAGCAGCACCATGGAGGAAACATGCAACTCCAAGTAGCCGTAACGTGTGTGTCGGCAGGATGTGGCAGGACCAAGAGGGCTTTTCTCTTGAACTGCTCTTATTTACTACCAGCAACCTCCTGCAATGAGCCTTTAAGCAACATGCAAAATAAAAACAAACATTAAAACATATCAAAATACCACTAAAGTACAAATAATTCAGAATAATGCAGTCAGCCAACAAGAATAAAAACCACCTTAACTCTTTTTGGCGAATTAAGCAATGGCTATATGGCGGAGGCATAACGGCAGCTATGATCCAAGGGCCTCCAAGCACATGTCATATAAAGCAGCTCTTAGCACATGTCATATAAAGCAGGTCTGAGCACACGTCATATAAAGCAGCTCTGAGCAGTATGATAAGGTTGGGAAGGCAAGGACACCCCAAGGCTTTCAATCTGAGCAAAGGTGACTTTTACTTACCTAGAGCTGTTAATAGGTTAGTGATTGACACAGCACTGCAAACCAGAGTCCACAAATCTGGCTTCCAGGGGCAAATGCACTTCCCTCTCTAGCACCCTCTCCTTCTATTGACACCTTGCACAAGATCTCCTCTCATTCTTCAAGTATTGCACAGAACTCAGGAGAAGAGAGAGGCCAGCAGCAACCACAAACTAGAGTTATTAAGCCAAGTCAAAACTGGTGGGCAATGGCTGAAAAGGTATCCCCTTGGAAAGCAGCCAACGCTGCCTGAGAGGAGGCTGGGCTGGCTCATGTGATTTTTAACACATACCCGGATTATCCTGGCAGCCTCCAGCAGGACAGTGCTCCGTTCCATGCCTGACTTCTGACTCCATATTTTAAAGGCAGCCTGTGCATTTTGCACAGCCAGATCTACTTCCTTCTCTCCAGAGAAGAGAAATTTGCCAATAACTCGCCCTGAAGGGAAAATAATAACAACAATAATAATAATTCAGGTTTCTAAAGCACAACTTGTTAGCATACCTCTGTCACAAAAAGCTTTTACAGAAGCAGGTCTTGCATTTTAATTTTATGTTACTATTACAGATTTATCTGAATGGCCACATTCCTTAATTTTGAAAAGCCACAATCCAGAAAGAGGATTATTATTTATTACATTTGTATACTGCCCTTCATCCACAGATCTCAGGAAGGTTCACAACATAAAAATATACTTAGACCAATGCACACTTAAAAACAAGCACTCAAGATAGTCCACATTCAGCAACAAGAAAAGCAGAATTCTGCACAATCATACTGATTAAGCAAGTTTAATTTGTAAATTGTTTGCTTTGCATAATGTATCCTGTTTCCACCAGCCATTAGGAAGGTTAAAAGTGGAGGCAAAACTGGTTTCTCCTGCATTTCCCCCCCATGCTTTTACAGTTCTACGATGAGTTGACTGAAAATCTTTTGAGATGTCAATAGCTATTACTTACATGCTTAAATCATATGTAACTGTAAGATCCAGAAACTTGGCAAAGAAAGTATTTTTCAGAGTTCTTGGAAAGCTGCCTTTTCTGCACTTGCAATGGATTGGGCTTTCAGACTCCTCTTCCTCAGGCTGGTTCAGGCTGCCTGGTCAGGGTGGTTCTCACAGGTTACTCTGAGCTGTTTCTTCTTCTTCTTCTTCTTCTTCTTCTTCTTCTTCTTCTTCTTCTTCTTCTTCTTCACATTTGTGCCACTGTCCATTTCAACTAGCTTCCCGCCACTCTCAGCAAGCTCTGATTCTATCGTCTCTTTCTTCTTCTTCCTTGATTTCTGCTTGTAGCTCTGAAGAGTCTGAGGTAGATGAGGCTGCTGCTCCGTGTTCCCCAACACTCTCCATGACCTTCTTTGTCTGGCTCCACTGGGACGACTTCTTTTACGCTTTCCTTTCCAGCAACCCACATAGTTATACTTCCAGGCCTGGGGATTTTTCTCATGGGGCTTGCTGTGAGTGTCCAATAAGACTCGCCTTGATCATCATCGTCTTCTGGGCAGCTTTCGGGACAAGCACCCACTTGTGAGCGTAGGTGTCTTTTCCATTATCACAAGCTTGATTTTTGGCATAACTCCATGACTGCAAGTACTGCAGTTGTCATCAAGGTACTGGCTGTCCAAATGGCCTCTCCTTTTGTGCTGATAACAACGTTCTTATGGACTTTGAGGCTGTCTTCATACCACAGCAGGCCAGGTCACATGCTCTTTTCACCATAACAAACGGCGTTCACTGCATTGTCCTTCATAACCAGTCGCTTGTAGGATGTCTTTTTTTAAAAAAATATAATTTTTATTAGCAGGCCAATCAAATCACATTATTTCCAAATCACATTAGTTCCAAATTATACAGCCAGATTTTTAAATTTTTGTTGGGGGTACACATACTTCAAGCTCCGAACAGGGGTCCAAGCATCACTTATATTGCTGCTTTAATGAGACAGTTCTATCCAGATAGTCTCTTTATTACTTTCCTCATCTTCTTGTTGTTATCATATATTCCTTTCTTTGCGATCTCTGATAATCTTCACAAGCGGGTTGAAAACAAACATCCTCTGTGTGGGTTTTACACTCTCCAAAAATCATATCACATAAGGACAGACACCATTTCCACACCTCCGTAAAAAACTTTCCCTCAGTCTGTCCGTTGATTTCCCCAGGCTTGCCAAGCATATCTCAGAGGGCTCTGCCAGGTCCAGATCACATTCCGATCACCATTCATACTCCGATGACCCTGGTCTTCCTCCCCCCGTCCTTCTTAGGCAAGCCTGTCTTGGCGAGACACCATTTAAAACTGCGTCATAAAACTTTCCTCCGTTCTCCGATGTTTGCCAATCCTCTCTTTGATCAATAATTCACTCCACAGTTCTTGAATTCCTGCTTGTGATTAATAAATTGCAACAATTCTTCTCTCTGGGGTGGAGGGTTATTAATACTCACATAAGGCAAAAAAAAGAAAAGTTTTTTCCTCCACCCCCTTTCCGTTTCACTCCAAACATACCAGTCTCTTAATGGTGATTCATCACTTGATTTATTTGTCCCGCCCGTCGCTCCGCTCACAGAGATCCATTAATCAGCAGTCTTTACTCCCGATCTTCGCTTGATGTATGTGCTTTAGCTTCTTTCCAATTATATATTTCCAATTATATATTTCGAGCTAAAGCGAACCAGTGCGCTGATTGGAGACAGCGTCAGGAAGAGCCGACTTCACCCGAGGGCTTGTGCCAAGTGTCCGCACCCCCTTCTTTCGAATCCGGGGGTGAATTATGGACACCGCTGGCAAGGCAGTCCCCCCCATCTCCTTGGGGGGGGCCGGGAAGGCTGCATACTTCCCATAGCAGCCTCTTAATTACCTCGTGTGGGTCTTCCAATGCGCCACCTGGTGGCCCCCATCGCTTGTAGGATGTCAGCAGCTTCTCCAAGGGGAAGATCACCCTCCTGAGAGAAGTCTCATACTTGCTGTTGTCATATTGCCACTAGGCATCCAGCACTGTCCTTCTCTCCCATGACCCCAGATCACACTTGCCAAAGCTCCTGCTTCTGACCTGCCACTCTCGGCAACGAGCCCAGGTGCACACATAGCATCCAGATGCAGGTCCTGGTTGCACAGCTCACCCAGAAAGTACCCAATCTTCTTTCTGGTTCATATTCATATGCATGTGGCTTGCTCAATGCACACAATCAGACCCCCCAGGCACTTGGGTCCAGCGTGCCACTGTGCAATCTTCTCAACATGGAGGATGCAGCAGACCCAGACCACCACTTCATAGAAGAAGGGCTGGGAGGCTTGTTCTAATTGATGAAGCCCATCCTTACACACTCGCCAATCACTCTCCTTAAGAGATTGCAACCGGAAGGAAGGAGTGTGTAGCATGCTGTCCTCACTTTCAGCTTGTCAAAGTTCTTGAGATGTAAAGGCCATTGTGATATGTCCAACTGAGCCTCTCTGGATTCAGGCTTGACAAGGAATTCTTCTGAATATTGTACATCAGCAACTATTTATTGGGCAGGGTTTCTATTCTTTCTTTTTCCTATGCTTCTTAAGAGACAGAGTGTGGTTCATCTATTATCTTCTGCATAGGACTGCAGGCTGTGTGCTGAACAGGAAAAGCTATTTATTCTGCAACATGGCCTACCAAGAGGAAAAGCTTGAAGCGTCCCATCACACCCATGCCTGCACCAGGGGTAGGCAATTCATGGCCCTTGGCCTAATTTCATGAAAGTGGCGAGGGGGGAAACCGGAAGAAAAGGGCAGGCAGAAACTCACTTACAGCTCTGTCCCTGCCCACCTTTAGCAGGGTAATTAGCCATAAGAACACAAACTGATGTTCAAGACTAAAGTATTATAAATTTGGTTCTTTGGTGTCAATGAACAAGATAATAATTAAAAATAAAATAAGCTTATATAAGCAATATTCTATGCCAATTAAATTGGGTGGGAAATGGTCTGACTTCTCAGACACGTTGGAAACTCAGCAACCTCTATCCCATTTGATGGCACTGCAATGGCATCAGGACACTTTGGTTTATGATGGAAAATGCATTACCACAGATTTTTTTAAATTGCCTTTTCTCCCCAAATAGTTTTATTGAATAATATAACAAGCCAAGTTCAAAATTTGCTTTTTGTTGATTTGCTAACTGTAGCAAGAAAGTGATTTGCCAAATATTTGACACTGCACATCTCTGAAGAAATTGCTCCAAAAGGTTTGTATTGAAAACAGGACCTGACATTATATTGTGTAGACAGACATATAAAGAGACATACATAGTCATACACAGGGAACTGAATAAACGGTGTTTATTTATTGATTATTAGAGAGGGGGGAATCCATGCTTGAGGGAAAATGATACAGTAAAGTATCAATGATTTTTGGTAAATGACAGACAATAAGACTCTCTAACTTATCATAGAATCATAGAGTTGGAAAGGATTCTGAGATTCATGTAGTCCAACCCCCTACAATGCAGGAATCTCTGCTTAAAGCATCCCTGACAGATGGCCACTCAACCTCTGCTTAAAAACCTCCAAGGAAGGAGAGTCTACCACCTCTCGTGGGAGACCGTTCCACTGCCAAACAGATTACTGTCAAAAAGTTTTTCCAGATGTTTATTTGGAATCTCCCTTCTGGTAACATGAATCCATTGGTTCAAGTCCTACCCTTCAAAGCAGGAGAAAACAAGCTTGCTTCATCTTCCATATGGCAGCTCTTAAGATATTTGAAAATGGTAATCCTATTTCTTCTCAGTCTCCTCTTTTCCAGGCTCCCTCAACTGACCCTCATAAGGGTCCTCATAAGGGTCTGGAAGCTGGGCTTCCAGACCCTTGATTACCTTGGTCACCCTCCCCTGTATATGTTCCAGCTTGTTAACATCCTTCTTAAACTGTGATGCTGAGAACTGGACACCACAAGCAGGGATGAAACTAGACTTGATTTCACCTGGGTCAAAAACAAGGTTTTAGGAGCCTCAATGGCACCCCTCTGAAGACTTCACCCGGGGCAAAAAACCCCTGGCTAGCCTTACCATAGCTATGGCTCTGCCACAAGGCAGAATAGAGCAATTCTACTGCTTCCCTTGTTTGGGTCACTACACATCTGTTGATGCAGCCTAGAATAGCATTCCCTTTTTTTGCTGCTGCATCACTCATGTTTAGCATGTGGTCTACTAAGACCCCTAGATCCTTTTCACATGTACGTCTTATAGTTGACCAGGTGTCTTATAGTTGTGCAGCTGGTTATTCCTGACTAAGTGTAGAACCTTAAATTTGTCCCAACTGAAATTCATTCTGTTAGCTTGGGCCCAGTTTTCCAGTCTGTTAAGGTCATCTTGAATCCTGATTCTGTCTTCTGTGGCATTAGCTCCCCCTCCCAGTTTGGTGTTTTCTACAAATTTGATGAGCATCCTCTCAATTCTTTCATCCAAGTCATTTATAAAGACACTGACCAACATCTTTATAAACATCTTTATCATTTATTATTGTTACAGCAAATACAATAGTTTAAAAAATAGATGTGTCTGGACAAAAACCAGTACTCCACTGTCTCCATTATTTGCAAGTCTTGCATATCAGCCCTCAGCCACATTTTTTTACCAATCAGCAAATTCAAAGTTCAAGCATTAAAAGATAAACAATTCAGAATGCACCTTGGCACGAGTGCAGCCAGCCAACAGCTTCAAAGGTCATAGATTCCTGTTTCTTCTGGTTGGAATAAATCTAAGCCAGAAACGTATTTGAATAATGTAAATAGTGATGTTAAATTCTTGAGAATAATCTTTTGGAGAAAATTCTTGAGAATATTCTCAATTAATGAAAATATTGGAGAATTTTCATTTAAAATAGTAGAATATGGCACCTTGTACCATTGAATGGCACTGCAAAAACCAGTTACTGGCACTAAATAAAAATATAGAAGCAACAACTGTTTAAATCAAGGCCACCTCACATGCTGTTACACATAATTGTATAGGCCTAGGTACTTTAAGTGTATAAAGCATTAAAGCTACTTTCTGTAAAAATAATCACACTGTATGGCCAAGAACTGCTAAGAATAAGATCACACCAAAATAGAAAAAAGGCTATTACATACAGTTGAAATACATATGAATTCAAATGTTCATCATATTAAATGTAAAGCACTTTTAAAACTAAAAAAATTGTTTTCTGTAGCTCACATTTCAAAACTGCCAATGGTGAATGACACAAGGCCCAGTAATGTAACTGGATCAAAAAAATCATTATTCATTATTTACACTGCCAATATCACAGCTTGACTTATTATTTACTAGGTTTTTTAAATGAGTGTTGTAAAACTGGTTCTTACAGTTTGTGGAGTGGAATTTTCTAGTAGAGAATATTCTCGAGAATATTCTCATTCTTGATAATATTCTCACCTCACATCACTGAATGTGAATGCTATCTAAAATGCCAAGTCAATAGCAAATTGATGTACTACAGAGTCTGGGGTGGGGATTCCAAAGCCACCTTTTGCAGCAACTGGGCTGCACTCCCTGAAGCCCACATCCCCCCAGAACATCACCCTGGAGATAATTACCAGTTGCTGGTTCATACGTCTCCTCGCTGTGATCTCCATCCACAGGCTCAATGCGGGCACCCTCTCGGTAGTTGAGGGGCTGCTGCAGCTGAAATGTGCCAGTGATGGTGCTCATTGCTGCACAACGGAGCAGACCAGGAAAACCAGGGAGAATGAGTAAGAAGCGGGGACTGTGAAGCATCTGACAGCTGGCAAGCAGGAACAAGGCTGCATTGGACAGAAGAGAGGCCTATCAACCTCTGCTCCCGTAAAGCAGCAGGCAAGGTGCCTGGGAATCCGCCTACTGCTGTGTCATTTATCTGAAAGATTTATATACTGCCCTCCATAGAGCTACCAGGACAGTTCACAAAAACAAGATAAAACACACTATCTTATCAAGTTTTACCCTTCAAAGAATTTCAAGCATGTCTATAAAACGCAGAGCCATGTACAATCCACTTTTAAACCCTCCTATTATTTTACGCAATTGGCTACAGATTGTCCCCAAGAGATAGGCCACACAAATCAGCCAACAGAGGGAAGGCTCCTTTCACCTTGTACCAAGTGAAATCCAGTTGCTCAGAGCCACTCCAGAGCTGTAGAGGAGCACTGTGGGAGAGGGCGTAAGCATGGCACCCGGAAAAATCAAAAGCAAGAGCAGCAAAAGCTTCCTGAAGACTCCTGCATCCATATGGGTGCTGTGTGCAGGGTGGCCCTCCAAACTGGCTCTGGAAGGGGTCAGGGGAACCCCCCAGAACAGCCCATGGGGGTGGGGGAGGGGACGGAGATTAGAGTACGGTGTTGAGAATCTTTTGCAAGCTGTTTTGAGGCTCCACAAATGATGCATCCTCATCCCCAGGAGTCGTCTCTAACTGCATGGGTGAAGGATTCAGGGAGGCCCAAAAGCTTCCTGTGGGGTGTATGCCCCTATCTCTTACTCTTTTTTACAGTTTGTTCACAGAGCTAAAATTCCCAACACAACAAAGGTTCCGAATGAACATTAAATGCATGGCTGTGGATGTGACTGGGTCAAATGTGATTCAATAGCATCTCACATAGACACTAACACATCAAGGTGAGCGTCAAGATTTGGAGCAGTCCCAACATTATTTTAGTGTGCATACCCCCTATTCCTTCATCACTTCTATATACCACAATATCATGGGCAGGGGCACAGCCCCCTGACAGGTTCTTCTTCTCAGAACCACATTTGGCCAGAGGCTATTCAATACTGTCTCCTGGAAGACACTCTCCTGGAGCAAAGTTTTATTGTAGCCCTAAGCTTATTTGGGGGGAGGGGGCACATATTAAGTCCTTATCGTTTTCTACATATTTTAGTAATTATTGGTGGGAAGAGAGCAAAAGAAATGAATTAATGGAGTTTAAAGCATGAAAATCCATATGCTCAAGAGTATTTTACTTTGTTTCTTGAAGTTGGAAGTGCTTTTCTGTTTGTGCTTTGCTGATAAAACTCCACAGGCGCAGAGAATATCTATGAAAGCTCACGCCATGACCAATTGGCTGGTCCTTAAAATACCACCAGGCTTGCTTTATGGCGCTTTAGGGGGGCGCGGGGGGGGGCTACAGCGCCAAACCCGGCTTTGCTGCAAGGTCCTCCTTGACTCCCAACACCATTTCATTTCCCGCTTTCGGCCCAACCGAGGCAGCGCCGCCGAGCTCCCATTGCCTCCTCTGCAGCGGCCCCGCTTGGGAGGGAGCGAGGTGGGGGCGCCAGGCGGAAACGCCCCTCTCTCCCCACAGGCCTCCCGCCTTTAACCACCGAGGCCTCTTCGAAGCTGGCCGGGGGGGGGGGGCTTAGAAACACCCTCCTTCGTGGTCGGGGGGGGCGTCTTAAAGCGAGCAACCAACTGAACCACAGTAATGACAGCGGCCCTCGGCGCCCCCGGCCCTCCCTTCACAGGCCCCGGCCAGGGAAAGGGGAGGCCCGTCGCGGAAGGCCCAGCGGGGCCTCCAAGCGCTTCTCCGGGCGCCGCCGCAGGCGAAGGGGCTTCCCGGCCCGCTGCCCTGGGGGCGCGGTGGGACCCCCCCGTGGGACCCCCTCCCCTCTCCCGCGACCCTCACTCACTCCGCCTCCTGGCAACGTCCGCGCAGCCCCGGGAGCGGCCGAGGGAGCAGGCGGGGCGGGGCGGGGGGGCGGCCCTTGGCGAGCGCGGCGCGGGAGGGGCCGCCAGGACCCCGCCCCCCGCCCCGCCCCCTCACCTGAGCCGGGCTTTCCTTTGGGGCAGAGAGAGGATCCAGGCAGGTTTGAAGACTTGCGTGTTGAGGGGAAACCATCCGAGACACAGCAGCTCTTTTTGTTGCCCCCAAATTCGTGTCCCCCCAAACTGCGTCGTGCGCACTTTCTGCAGTCTCAATAGGGAGAATCTAGGCAGCGCAGTTCTCTACCTGTCTACTCAGAAATAAGAAATAAGCTGAGATCCATGAGACTCACTCCCAGGTAACTGCAACCTAAACCCGGTGTTCTTCTAAACGTATTTTTTTAGCAATTATATTAATGCATACCAAAAATGAATAAAAAGAAATGTTTGCACACAAGTTATTACAATAATGAAAACCTATTGTACAGTTGTATCTTATCTTGATAAGTGTGATAAAGCTCATTGTTATATAAACTTATTTGGCTGGTTATTAGTAGCTCTTCTATAGGAAGTTAACTTATACTTTGTTATGGCAGTCCATACTGCTCTGAGATTGAAGGTGCACAATGCTTTTTCCAATTTTACGCTGCGCAGTTTCGCAGCAATAAGATTTGTTACTATTTCCAAATCATTTAATACTGTGTTTTAAAGTATCGTAATAAAGTTCTGTGTTTGCAAGGCTATGATGCACTGTTCTCCTCTCCTCTCCAGGACCCTAAAGCACCCCTTATTTCAAATTAAATGAATTTGGGGCAGTTCAAGATGTTTTACATGATGCTGCTGGCAGATCTTTTTTTGCCAAAAGGGAGATTAACTACTGTAACTCTAGCTTCTGTTTACTGACCCAGTGAGGGGCAAACCCCCTTTCTAAAAAGAACCCTTCAAACTCTGATGTCTTTTCAAGAAGGTGTTGTCATGTTAAGGGTAAAGGGGACATCTGACCATTAGGTCTAGTCATGGCCGACTCTGGGGTTGCGGCGCTCATCTCGCTTTATTGGCCGAGGGAGCCAGCGTACAGCTTCTGGGTCATGTGGCCAGCATGACTAAGCCGCTTCTGGCGAACCAGAACAGTGCACGAAAACGCCGTTTACCTTCCCGCTGGAGCGGTACCTATTTATCTACTTGCACTTTGACGTGCTTTCGAACTGTGCTAGTTTGGCAGGAGCAGGGACCGAGCAACGGGAGCTCACCCCCTCGCGGGGATTCGAACCGCCAACCTTCTAATCAGCAAAGCCCTAGGCTCTGGGGTTTAACCCACAGCGCCACCCGCGTCCCAAGCGCCACCCATGTTAGGTGATTAAAATGTGATTTCTGATGGTCACATGGATAGCAAGGGCTCCATAACTTCTAAAATGAAAACACAAGCCAATACTTCACTGGTGCATGGCACTTGCTTCACCCAACTTTTGTTTCTAGCCTCATCCCCACCAGCTATACAGTCATATTGATTTTGTCCCTTTGTCTTCTGCTGAATCATGCAAGCCGGCACCTGGCTCGGCAGTTCCCTCCCATGATGTTGCAGCACCACCTAGTGGTCAAGTGGATTGGGGAAGAATGGAAGTCGTATTCGGAACCAACACAGAAGGAATCAGAACTGCGACCGTATGGGAGGCAATGAAAGCTGTCATACAGGAAAACTGCATCAGCAAGACAGGAGACATGAAGAAAATGTGTGCCTGGGAAATGACCCATCTTGAGGTAGTTGTAAAACTTTTGGAGCAGCACTACAAATGGAGGAGACTGCCGGAGACTTGAAATCAAGCCGCCATTTGACTCAGCAGCAAGCCAAGCCCCCCTCAGCTGTCTCTTGACATTGCTTATATACAATGCTAATCTTAACCAACTGCAATTGAAAAACATCCAGGGGAAGCCAGTGGCTGAAACAAACCAATGCTGCCGTTCTGCAGCTGTCGGGAGTTTGTGGAATAAAAGCTCCCTCAGAATAGTGTCTGAGGTGAACTATATGAACTGGAAGCACAGAGACAAAACAATTTTTGTTTTATTTTCACTTTGGTAAAGGTTATTACACAAGAAAGAATACTACTGCTGCTTACTTCTAAGTCACACTTTTCTCATCAAACAGCACTCCATTTAATTCCACTAATATATTTCTCCACTGCCTCAGAGTAGTAAGTACAAGATCTAGCCCAAAGATGTGCTTCAGTGCTGATCTCTTTGCAAAACAAAGGTATGATAGTTACATAGGCAACATGTTCAGGAAGCCTTCTGTGCAATCCAGAGTTTCTTGTAAAGTCAGGATGTTTCGACTAGTGAGATGCAACTCTTATTTCAGGAGAACTTCCCAGATTGAGGTGGGGGGCCAAGGAATCCTCCAGCTTGCTTGGTGGCAGCTCGAGAAGGAGCCAAACCCAACAGCTTCTGAATATTCTGGCAAACAGGAGAAAAACACAAACTCACATTGGTTTGCTTTCGTGCAAGGGTGTGCATTGTTTAGGGCCCAACTGGGGTGATTTAGGGGTCTTCTCAGCATAGTCGGAACAGGGTCCCCACAAAGCCTTGTTGTATTTGTACTCTTCTATATGGAATAGCTCTATGCTTTGCCCACAGAGCACTGAAGAGCACAGCATTGGTTTTCACTAACTAAAAAAACTTTGAAGTTTTTAGAAAACTGTATTTTACTGCAAGCAAACAAACAAACAAACAAACAAAACCAGAGTTAAACCTCTCTCTGTTTCCTGGCTCCCATGCCACAGCTGTTGCGCAACCAGCCTTGTCTTTGCTCCCCAATTTCACCCTGACGTTATGCAAATCCAGGGTTGTGATGACATGCTCCCAAACCTCCAATGGGAGCTGTACAGTGATAGACCAGTTGAGATAAAATTAAAATAAATTATGGAGGAGAGTGAATCCTTTTTACTTCTGCCACAAAAGTCCCGTCTGCAATTGGGCATGTTTAATCCACTTTGGGGATAGCAAATTTCATTCATTTTGACCAAAATTCACAGCAGTTTTTAGATTCTACATTATGGTGAACAGGGATCAAGAGCTCTGTTTTATACAGAGTGACATGGAACCCCAAACACAGATCAAAGTGGAGGGAGCATGGAGTGACTCACACACATACAAAGCAAAACACTCCATTTCTTGTCCCACTACATGTTTGAATTTTCTCAGCAATGCTAAAACTATTCTATTACCAATAACTGCTTCTGGGATACATCACTGTGCTGCTTTAGCATAAACTTAAGATCTAATCATGCTACCACTTGACACAATCATATCAGCATTGCCCACCACTCCTGTTGTGAATGATAGTTTTGCCTATGGTTAAGCTCTAATTGAATTATCTCTGACTATACTTTTGCGCTCCATTCAACTCCAACTTTAAATTCTCCCAACCCCCATTTACACGGTATGTCTGCATATGTATCTGTATGACACCCCCTCCCCCGACAATAGAGCATCTCACCCTGTATGCATTTGATGAATGGGCTCTAGTCCATGAATATTTATGTTGTAATAAAACTGGTTAGTCTTTAAGGTTCCATAAATTAATCCATGCTAACAGAGGCAACTCAGTTATGGAAGAGGAAATGGGAACAATCTGCCTTGAGTCATTTTAATCAGCCAAATTGTCACATGGAGTGAGCAGAGGAAGAACAAACAACGGACAGGATGTACATCTTCACACCCAGTCCAGATGCTGGTCAACTTTCCCAGCCACTTAAGGGTCCTTGAAAAACAATCCATGCAGCCCTTCACACCCTCAGCAGGAAGCAGGAAGAACTCCAAGGCAGGATTGACGTGCCAAGGGGACATGGAAACAGCACAGAGGAAGTTGCTTACTGCAGGGAGATATTTCAGGCAACCTCAAGCTCAAGTCAGGAGTGAGCAGTGTCCCAGCCAAGGCTCAAAACATTTCCTCAACATCAAAACATCCAAGGGCAAATCAATTGAGACCTAAGCTATTCACATCTCCTGGAGATCACCAGTGCAATGGCCTCAAACATTCCTCCCCGAAGTGTGAAAGAGTCAAATCTCTGCTACCCTCTTCCAATCAACAGTTCTGCAATACTGCAATGTCTCTCTAATGTACTTCCACTCATCAACAGATTCCAAACAATATATTATAATGTTTATACATTAATATATTATTAATATATTATATATTATAATGTTTATACATTAACACGTTTAATTTGCCTGCATTCAGCTTTATCCACTTCTACAAAAAACAAAAAAGGGGGTGGGAGTCCAGGGAAAAAAGACTGGCCGTCCCCCCCACCCTTGCACTTACTGTGTTTTGACTACATGCGATTTTGGCTTTTGCCGCTTTCCCCAGAATGTAGCCCCAGCATATTTTGTGGGGTTACTGTATTGCAATGTCTAATGGGACGGCCTCTGTGGTGCATGTGAAACTTTAGCCCATGCAGAATGAGGCACCTGTTAACCAGAGCTAGTTATTGAGGCCATGTTACTCTTCCGTTTAAACAGCTGCAATGGCTGCTGGTTTGTTTTCAGCACTAAGAACCTATGACCAGTTTACGTAAAAGATCACTTGCTCTTATATGAGTCTGTAACTGCTAAGCATGTCCTGCCAATTTCTGAGTTGAATTTGGCTGTTTTTAAAATAGGAAGTACAAAGGCAAGGATACTGAGGACATGGACATGAAATACCATTATTATAATACGAGACTTCAGATATGCTTACAAACACAGTCAAAACAAAAATACTTACGCTAGTCATTTGTGGCCTCCAAAAATAAGGGAGAGCAGCGCTCACTCATTTACAATAATCTGGAGACAATTCTTATTTGATACATGTGCCCCCTGAATGAGTGGTTATTTAATAAGCCCAAGAGAAAATATCAAGCTCATATGAATGAGTATCAAAATGGTGGAAAGTTAGGGGAAAGGAGGAAGAGAAGGCGGCTACGGCTGCATCTTTATATCACAGCATTGTAGTTGTGCCAGCCCTCTCTATCAATTATGATAAAAGTAATAAAATGTGAAACACGGTGTTCCCAACAAAGTTTCTGAATAAGGCAACCCTCCACAGAGTAGCACTTACCTGCCGAATAGACATAGTGCAGAGAATGTAGAGGAAGATGAAGGAACAATCTGTATAATCCTCGCCCAAAAGATTACGATGGGACAAACCCTGGATGTAGGAAAGTGGCACAAAGGGGAGCTTGGCAACTACTCGGCCATCAAATCTGGGAAAAGCATACAGATGTACTTGGTTATCAGTACAAGTTGTCTGTGGTCCAGACTCACATTCTCCAAACAAGGCAGCAGATGGAGCATTTAAGCCAAAAGTGTAACATTCAATGCATAGCATGAAGAGGGTTGCCATATTTCAAAAAAGTGAAAACCGAGACACAAAAGTTGTTTCTTGGGGGGGGGGGGGGACAAAGTCATTGAGCTTTTGGAAATTCACCAAAATCTAGACTTCCAACATGGGTTGCCATACGTCTGGATTTTCCCAGACATTTCAGTGACTTCCGCCTGGACACGGTTTCCGACTGACATATTCTGGCTATATCCAGGAAATACGCTAAGGAATCCATCTTAACTAAAATCACTCAGAGTACCAGATTTATGGTATTGTAAGAGCTGCTGAACTGAACTGACAGTTTGATCTTAGAGCTGTTTGTGCCAAAGTATGGAATACAGTGGTACCTCGGGTTAAGTACTTAATTCATTCCGGGGGTCTGTTCTTAACCTGAAACTCTTCTTAACCTGAAGCACCACTTTAGCTAATGGGGCCTCCTGCTGCTGCCACGCCGCTGGAGCACGATTTCTCTTCTCATCCTGAAGCAAAGTTCTTAACCCAAGGTACTATTTCAGGGTTAGCGGAGTCTGTAACCTGAAGTGTATGTAACCCGAGGTACCACTGTAAGTCTGTAAACACATGCTGGTACAGTCAAACCTCAGTTGTCTAACATAATCTGTTCTGGAAGACCGCTCAACTTCCGAAACGTTCTGACAACCGAGGATCAAAGGGCAGCTGGCAAAGTCAATGGAGAAAAAAGAAGAAAACTCCCCAGAAGCCATTCGGTTTCTGAAAAACGTTCGAAAACCAGAGCATTTACTTCTGGGTATTCAGTGTTTGGGAGCTGAAATGTTCCAAAACAGAGCCGTTCGGGAACCGAGCTTTGACTGTAGTAAAACTTACCCAGAAACAATCCGATTGTGAAGAGTGTGCCACCAGGAACCTTAAGCCACTGGAATACTACAAGGACTACAGGAAATTTGTAGCTCCCAGGTGAAAACGCCAAATTTAACTATATATAGTATTTGGTTCAAAGCAGATTAGTCCTCTCCTGATTAGAGCAACCACAATTTCTTTAGGTGTACAGAGATAAAGAAAAACCCTTTTGTTTACTTCAGTACTTCAGAGCCCCAGCCCTCTGAGGTATACAGATTGAAGGCTGTACAACTTTTTTACAGATTGAAGACTGTACAACTGTGTTTTGGAGCTGAGCTCAGATCGCTCAGGTCCAATATCGTTACTCAGTGTTCAGATCCTTTAACAGAAGGATAGCAACAGTACGTAAAATAAGGGACAAACTTCTCAGAAATCAATTAACCAAACTGGGTTTTGAAAACATTTTATGAGTTTCCAAAGGGGAACAAAGTTTCTTCCAGGCTCTACTTATACAGAGAAAAGAAACTTGTGTATTTTAAGCTCCTGGCAGGGAGAGAAGTGCATAATGCTCCTTAACCAAGGTTACTGTGGGGACAAATGTAGATGGTGGACTCTAGTTTCCAACTGCATGTCCTATAGTGCATTGCTATATGAAGCTCTCTCTCATTTTCAGCAGGTGCTTCTGGTACTGTAAACTCTTAAATGAGTGTTTCTTCCTGCAGAGTTAGCAATACAAGGAGCTGCACTTCCAGTAAGTGCCAACTGGAGAGTAAAGGAATTTTTGGCAGAACAGATAGGAACGGATGTTTATCTCCCTCTGACATTGTTGTGATATTCTATGTGGTTCCTGTCTTCTTTTCTGGACACAGCTAAAAGAAAAAATATCAGGAAGTGCTACAGGGTATGGGCCCCATGCCTTTTACATTGTTAGGGAAGAAAGATGAATGTAGGAATTTAATCTAATTATCAAAATGAATATGACTATGTCACTTTGAGAGTTCTTACAAAAACTCACTTTTAATATAATGTAAGAAATACCCTGCTGGAACAGACCAAAATCTAGTCCAGCATCTCAAAGTCAAGGTCTTTCTTAATAAAGCTCACTGAGTAGCCTGACCAGATTACTTGATCTCAGCCTAGCTCATCTCACAGAAATGATGGGGAGATAAATGAGAATTGAAAAGCACCTTTTCTACTATGAAAAGATACCAAAATTACCAATGAGAATCCATATTGCTAGTGTGAGGAGCTCTCAGCTAATTTCTGCTAGAACCGTAACACTGAATATTTGGGATAAAAGTAGAAGATTGAAGTTCACTGCAAATAGAGAGATGCATATGTTTGACCAAAAATCTTGCTGGAGTCTGAGCTGAAATTCAAGAGCCAGTGCAGACAGACAGCTTATGAGTGTATGGCATGGGAATTAATGGGAAGTCACAGTGGCTACTTCCATTATTTGGAAAACTGCAACTTTCCCCTGCAATCATGAAAATAGCTCTGTGATCTTCCACAGGTCCTATGTCACACATACACAACTCAGTTTGTGGGAGATGGCAGTCAAATATAACTATGCATGCCTGCTAGTTAGTGAATGAAGGGGTTCAGGACCAGAACTGTATGGCTAGATAGACTCGGGTCACACGAACTCTCCTCTGCAGAGGAAATTAAGCTTCCTATCCTCTTCTTTCCACCCCCCTTTATATATAAATTCCTACACACACACACACACACACACACACACACACACAGTTGACATCAACCGCTTGCAAGAATGGCTATTGCACAGCTGCAACCATGTCTGCACCAACACTGTTTCCTTTTATGCTAATTCCATGCAGTTCCCAGGAAGGCACAGTGAGCTATGGAAAACATATACAGTATACTTGCAACTTATGCGCATTTAACTTGAGCATATTCAGCTTTATGCGCATGGCAAAAAAATAAAAAATTACAAAGGGGGTGGGTGGGAAATAAACTCTGGCAATCCCACTTGCCATATGTGTTTTGGCTATATACAGTTTTGGCACTGGGCGCTTACTGTAGCCCCGACATAAGTTGTGGGCTCACTGTACCCTGAAGGAAGAAGAGAACATAGAGCATTGTGAACAGTTCTTAAAGAAAAGAAGAGTGGTAACCACTTACATGGAATTGAACATTCCCATCAGAGCAGTGAAACAAAAACCAATTGCAAACATGGACTTCATGCGAACCTGCAGTCAAAAGAACAATTGAGGACCCATATTAGTGTCTGGCAAATGCAGATTCAATGGAGAGGAAAAATTGGAGAAGTGACTATGGCCACAGTGTCTCCTCCCACAAAAACTGATGCATCAACTGGGATGTGCATATGCATTATCTGGAGCCACTAAATAGTCAACCTTGGTGAGGCCATTGGATGTTTATGGAGTCCTTAGCCCAAAGGCTATAGAAGGTTAGACCAGGAAATGTAGTAGCACAGGGGTTGGCAAGGCTTACCGGGCATGGGCCGGATCACTCCCGTGGAGATCCTCCGTGGGCTGGACCGGTGCAGCGCAACGCCAGAAATCGCATCTGCGCATGTCAGCAGTGCCAGAAATTGCTTCTGCACATGCCAAGACGCAGAAAATTGCGCCTGCGCAGAAGCGATTTTCGGTGCCGTGGACATGCGCAGACACTATTTCTGGTGTCTGGGCATGTGTAGAAGTGATTTCCAGAACCACGGAAGAGAGTCTCTGCGCTGTGCTGCGCCGGTTTAGAGCAGTGCGTGGGGACTCACCAAGCGGGCAGCTCGGTTTGGGGGCGGCTTTTGGGCCGGTTAAGCAACCCTCATGGGCTGCTTCCGGCCCATGGGCCTTAGGTTGCTGACCTCTGTACTAGCACTTGACTTCCAGATGCCAACTTGCTCTCAGTCTAAGTGAAGCAAAGTAGATTTTAAAAACTTAACTGGCTGGCAAAACTAACACAGCATTAGCACTCGTTAAATTGTCTAACTATGGTTGGCTCCATTCAAAACAGCCATCCCTATTTCTATTTTAAGGGCTCAGGTCAGCAGTGAAGGTCGCCAATAGCTTGCCTCCTAACCTATCAGTGATGCTGACTCTAAAAAAAAACAAGTAATGGTCTCATTTTATGCATCTTCCCTGCTCTTTTTTATTATGAGTTTGCATCTTTTATCCTGAAGCTCACACTTGGTTCCTAATTAATAGGAAATGTTGAGCTGACCTTTTGCATCTGTGGCATTGGCATTCATGAGACTGGGCCATTTTGTTGGCACATGCTCAGAACATGATTGCTTACTAAGTCTCAATGAGAAGTTTTTCTTCCTTCATAAGAGGTGTGTCCCGTCTTAATATGCTGCTGTCACTGACATGCACTGGTTTCCCAATCCCAGTCTTTGAACCACTGCATCCTGTAACCTGCCCCTTCTTCCTGCCGAGAGCCCACTGTTTACCAACTAGCATCAGTCTCCCATTCCACAGGGGAAGGACTGGGGGCAGGGGTGGTGGTGGTGGGAGATGTGCTTTACTGTAGACTGCTCATCGTTTGGCGTATCCTCCTCCATATTCCAACACCATACCTGGGGCACGGATGTCAGGATTCATGACATACAATTAAATGCATCATGTAGTTGCATAGGTATTGTACCGCTGCCTGCCTTAACCCTACAGTTAGCAAATGGGAACCAAAACATTGCAAGCCACTTAAGGAGTTTCAAATAAGCTATCCTTCACTAGTTGCCCAAGTACAATTCAAGTGTCAAACTTCACTACAACCTACAGAACACCTTACTTCCCCAAGCAATCCATGGTCACCACATGCAACTATTTAGAGGTGTTCCGGGGGTGGGGTGGTCCAGCAAGTCTATAAAGGTCATCCTAGGATTCTCTGCCAGATCTCAAAAATACCTTCCATTGTTGTCTGCACAAAAACCAAGCATTCCAATCACATGAGTGTTGATCCTTATTTAAAGTTCTGAAACTTGCTTATGTCATACAAATTAGGGAAGGTATAAAGAAATGTATAGGAAACATTAAAACCTTCAATTATTCCCCCAGTACTGGTATAGATACATCAGTACTGGTATGGGTACACTAAATGATAGGTTAAGGATGCCAAGATTTATCCAGTCCAACTCCCTGCAATGCAGAAATCACAGCTAGATATTAGTTGTATTAGATGTTAACTACCGTATTTTTCGCTCCATAGGACGCACTTTTTCCCCTCCAAAAATGAAGGGGAAATGTGTGTGCGTCCTATGGAGCGAATGCAGGCTTTCGCTGAAGCCTGGAGAGCGAGAGGCATCGGTGCGCACCGATGCCTCTCGCTCTCCAGGCTTCAGGAAACTATCCGCAAGCCTTGCAAGCCCGGTGGGAGTTCCCGCGGGCTCACAAGGCTTGCAGGCAGCAGCCTGCAGCCCCGGCGAGTGTCCGCAAGCCTTGCGTGCCCGGCAGGAGGTCCCGCCGAGCGCGCGAGGCTTGGGGCAGCAGCCTGTCGCCCGAAGCACGTGAGCCCTCCGGAGGGCTCCCCGTGCTCGGGCGAGTGTCTGCAAGCCTTGCGCGCCCGGCAGGAGGTCCCGCCGAGCGCGCGAGGCTCGGGCGGCAGCCTGTCGCCCGAAGCACGGGAGCCCTCCGGAGGGCTCCCTGTGCTTCGGGCGAGTGTCTGCAAGCCTTGCGCGCCCGGCAGGAGGTCCCGCCGAGCGCGCGAGGCTTGGGGCGGTAGCCTGCAGCCCGAAGCACGTGAGGCTTGGGGCGGCAGCCGCGGGGGGGGGGGGGGGAATAATTTTTTTTATTCTTTCCCCCCCCAAAAAACGAGGTGCGTCCTATGGGCCGGTGTGCCCTATAGAACGAAAAATACGGTATATAACATAACGGGTGTTATGGGACGCGGGTGGCGCTGTTGGTAAAACCTCAGTGCCTAGGACTTGCCGATCGTATGGTCGGCGGTTCGAATCCCCGCGGCGGGGTGAGCTCCCGTCGTTCGGTCCCAGCTCCTGCCCACCTAGCAGTTCGAAAGCCCTCTTAAGTGCAAGTAGATAAATAGAGACCGCTTTATAGCGGGAAGGTAAACGGCGTTTCCGTGTGCTGCGCTGGTGCTGACTCGCCAGCTGCAGCTTCATCACGCTGGCCACGTGACCCGGAAGTGTCTTCGGACGGCGCCGGCTCACGGCCTCTAGAGCGAGATGAGTACGCAACCCTAGAGTTGGACACGACTGGCCCGTACGGGCAGGGGTACCTTTACCTTTTTATATAACATAACATGGGACACGGGTGGCGCTGTGAGTTAAACCACAGAGCCTAGGACTTGCCAATCAGAAGGTCGGCGGTTCGAATCCCCGCAACGGGGTGAACTCCCGTTGCTCGGTCCCTGCTCCTGCTAACCTAGCAGTTCGAAAGCACGTCAAAGTGAAAGTAGATAAATAGGTACTGCTCTGGCGGGAAGGTAAATGGCGTTTCCCTGTGCTGCTCTGGTTCGCCAGAAGCAGCTTAGTCACGCTGGCCACATGACCCGGAAGCTGTATGCCAGCTCCCTCGGCCATTAAAGCGAGATGAGCGCCGCAACCCCGAGTCGGTCACGACTGGACCTAATGGTCAGGGGTTCCTTTACCTTATATAACATAACAGTGTTGTTTAATTAATGCATGCAATTACATACATAATGTATGCAATTAAAACTGGGTTTTAATTGACATTTTGTACTAACATTATATAATCTTTTGGTCAATTTAATATTTTGTTAATATCTTGAATAAAAGCATAAAAACAAACTGAACACCAGGAACTATAAGTAATAAGTAATGTTTTTTCAAGAGCATCTGCAATAGCAGATAATGTAGCAGAAGAGGTAAATTGCACAGCAAGTGGCCAAGGGTGGTGCCAACTGGGCACAGAATCCAAGCCTGGCAGGAGCCTCTGTGCAACAGGTGAGAGAGACAGGAGCACGGGTGTTCTACTGCCTAAAAGAACATCAAGCAGGTGGAGTTGGCTGACAGACAATACTTCACAGGCATTAGTAATGGAAAAGTGAAATGTTGCATTAGTTGATGGTAGCTGTTGATTTGTTTTCTTTTTCTTTATGGTAGCTGTTGCCTAGTTTTCATATAAACTCATCATCACTTCAGTTCACTTCTACCAATCATCTATTTCTTAAGTGTTGCATCCCACAGAGATAGTGGAATTTGGTCTCACTTCCTAGTTGTAATGTCTGCAGGTTAAACACACTGCTTTTCTGAAAAGCTGCCCCAGTTCCTACTCCTTATTATTACTTTCTTCATTTAGGAATCACTTTCCCAAAGGGATTTACAATAAAGGTTCACTTTGCTCTGTTTCCTCACCATTGACAGATCCCTGTTGTTGTTCTTCAGCTTCTCCTCCTGCCTCTCTGAAAAAGAGAAACAAATGATTGCAGGTCACAAAGTCAAGAACTTGCTCCCAATAAGGTTGTAAGGGACTTACAGCAGGAAAACAGCAACAAAAAGGCATACTGAAAGTCTGAGGCATGTAAAGGTCACCAACCCACTTCAGGTGCTCTGACATTCAGTACAGATAGTAGCAATCCTGTTCCTCCCCATGGAAGCTCAAGAGCGTTTCTCAATACAAACTATCCAAATAATGCAAAACTGTATACAGTACAGTGGTACCTTGGTTTACAAACTTAATCCGCTCCGGAAGTCCATTCTTAAACCAAGCGTTCTTAAACCAAGGTGTGCTTTCCCATAGAAAGTAATGGAAAACGGATTAATCCGTTCCAGATGATGAAAAACAACCCCTAAAACAGCAATTTAACATGCATTTTACTATCTAATGAGTAATGTAATGAATTACATGTTCTCGATTGATTGATTGATTGATTGATTAAATAAATAAATAAATAAATATAATAACAAGTTTTCAGGAAGCACAGTTTAAGAGCTGATCTCATACTGCATGATTTACAGAAGGAACTTGATTTTTTTCAACAGAGTGTGTGTGAAAACCACTTCCCTCACTCCCTCATGAAACTGTCTGAACTAGGGGTCAGCAAACTTTTTCAGAAGGGGCCGAACTATATTGGGGGGGGGGGGGAAATGAACTCATTCCTATGCCCCAAAGATGCATTTTAAATAAAAGCACACATTCTACTCATATAAAAACACCAGGCAGGCCCCATAAATAACCCAGAGATGCATTTTAAATAAAAGGACACATTCTACTCATGTAAAAACACGCTGATTCCCGGACCATCTGCGGGCCGGATTGAGAAGGCAATTGGGCCAGATCTGTCCCCCAGGCCTACCCACTCTGAACACTGAAACATGACAAACCATGTAGCCCCCAATGTTACCTATTTTCTTTTTCTGCTGTCGGCCAGCTGATTCTGTAATAGTTTCCTTTTTCTTTTCCACTGCAGAGATAAAACAACACAGTGAGTTTTTTCATAAAGAAAACGGTTCCTCTTCCCATTGACCCTCAGGCCTCATAGAAATCTCTATAACAAAAATCAGACCAATGGGTATGGCAAGCAAGAGCTGAAAAGCAATTAATAATGGTGAAATGCTTATTTTTGCCAAAATTATATTATTATAAGGCTTCAATTCTATACTGGTTTAGCTGTGTTGAAATTAATGGGTCTTACTTCTGAGCAGACATGTTTCGGATGGTGCTGTAAGTGTCCAGAAGTGAAAGCCTCCAGAATGGAGTTCATATTGTAACATAAGCTTTATGAAGCACAAATACTGATTTTTTTTTTTTTTAAACACCAGCTTTGCTGAGCTTCCTGCTCACATTTACTCCCTTTTAAAAGTTTTATCTCTATGCCTATTTAAAATAATACATCATGGATCTGATGGAGCAGACACTAGGCCACAAAAGCTCATGAAGTGTTTCACATTAATACACAGCCCATGACTATTTATTTATCAGCCATATAACTGCATTCTCTGGGTGGTTTACAGACAAATCCATGATGAGGGATCCATTTATTTCAAGATAAAGCAGTTAAGCTCAATTTAAAGAAATATTGCCCAGAATTGGAGTGTTGATGGACAAGACAAGCTCCATCATGCATTTGAACTTACATTTTTTACTCTGCTTCTCCACTTCTGCTTTCAGCCGCTTGTACTTGTCTGTTCTATAAACTAGCACCCATGTTATGCCTGAAACAAATAGCACAATAATCAGGAAACCGAATAACCGATGTATCTACAAAGTGCTCAGCATGGCTGCCAGAGGACTTCCAAACCCAGTAAACTTGAGCCCTAGTAGCTTACGGTCTCCTTCCTACAACTGCAGTACCATGAGTTACAAGCTATTCCCAAACTGATTCCACCAGCCCAGTGACAGCATGCATGACTCAAGCATCATTCACAAAGTCAGAGGTGGGAGCCCCTAGCAACTGATGTCACTTTCCAAGAGAGATGAAGCCCATTGCCCATCATGGTAGGTCTTGTGAGCACATGAACTTTGAGATACTGATGGTGCTTTAAAACAGGCTTTGGTGCATGAGTAGGAGCATCTGAAAATAACAGACTGGGATTTTAAGTTGGACTGCAAGCATCAACATCACCACTGCTCCTGAAAGTGCCGTGTACACGTCTCTTCATTCCCTGCACCCAAGTAACAGAATGGCAAGAAGACACCATTGTAACCATTGCAGGTGCTAGTGCAACAGTAGCTGCAGTACAGTGGTACCTTGGTTCTCAAACTTAACCCGTTCCAGAGGTCCGTTCCAAAACCAAGGCACGCGTTCCCATGGAAAATAATGCAAAATGGATTAATCCATTCCAAACTTTTTAAAAACAACCACTAAAACAGCAATTTAACATAAATTTTACTATCTAACGAGACTAATAATCCATAAAATGAAAGCAATAATGTACTGCAGTCACACAATCCATCAATCTGTAGCTGAACTGGGTTCCACACAGTCACAAAAAAGAGCCACAAAAACGCAATATAAATAGCAAAAACAGACCTCAGCGTAACACCCAAAATGGAGCACATCCGGCTTCCGTAAGAAGATCGCAAACCAGAACACTTATTTCCAGGTTTGCAGTGTTTGGGTTCCAAGTTGTTTGTGTACCAAGGTGTTTGAGAGCCAGGGTACCACTGTACAGACAAAGAATTCAAGGACAGTCCACAACTCTCCCTGCCCCCCCCCGGCGCAAACTGGCATTCATTGGTTTGGCTACATAAGGATCTAGAATGAAGTCACAATTAGTATATACTAGGAGGACAGAGGACAGGATCACACTTCAAAACGACCTTGACAGATTAGAGAACTGGGCAAAAACAAACAAGATGAATTTTAACAGGGAGAAATGTAAAGTATTGCACTTGGGGGGGGGGGGGAATGAGAGGCACAAATACAAGATGGGTGACACCTGGCTTGAGAGCAGTACATGTGAAAAGGATCTAGGAGTCTTGGTTGACCACAAACTTGACATGAGCCAACAGTGTGACGCAGCAGCTAAAAAGCCAATGCAATTCTGGGCTGCATCAATAGGAGTATAGCATCTAGATCAAGGGAAGTAATAGTGCCACTGTATTCTGCTCTGGTCAGACCTCACCTGGAGTACTGTGTCCAGTTCTGGGCACCACAGTTCAAGAAGGACACTGACAAACTGGAACGTGTCCAGAGGAGGGCAACCAAAATGGTCAAAGGCCTGGAAACGATGCCTTATGAGGAACGGTTAAGGGAGCTGGGCATGTTTAGCCTGGAGAAGAGGAGGTTAAGGGGTGATATGATAGCCATGTTCAAATACAGTGGTGCCCCGCAAGACGAATGCCTCGCAAGACGGAAAACCCGCTAGACGAAAGGGTTTTCCGTTTTTGAGTTGCTTCGCAGGACGAATTTCCCTATGGGCTTGCTTCGCAAGACGAAAATGTCTTGCGAGTCTTGAGATTTTTTCCCACTCCCCCCCCCCTTTATCTAAGCCGCTAAGCCTTTAATAGCCTTTTAGCAGCTAATCCGCTAATCCGCTAAGCCTTTAAGAGCCGCTAAACCGCTAATAGCGCTAATCCGCTAATAGGGTTGCTTCGCAAGACGAAAAAACCGCTAGACGAAGACACTCACGGAACGGATTAATTTCGTCTTGCGAGGCACCACTGTATATAAAAGGATGTCACATAAAGGAGGGAGAAAGGTTGTTTTCTGCTGCTCCAGAGAAGCGGACACGGAGCAATGGATCCAAACTACAAGAAAGAAGATTCCACCTAAACATTAGGAAGAACTTCCTGACAGTAAGAGCTGTTTGACAGTGGAATTTGCTGCCAAGGAGTGTGGTGGAGTCTCCTTCTTTGGAGGTCTTTAAGCAGAGGCTTGACAACCATATGTCAGGAGTGCTCTGATGGTGTTTCCTGCTTGGCAGGGGGTTGGACTCGATGGCCCTTGTGGTCTCTTCCAACTCTATGATTCTAGGATGGCTTAATCCACTCCTGAAGGTGAAGTGCTGCAACTCCATGGTTATAGCGAGGATTCATTGGGGGTGGGGAGACAGGCTTCATGTTGGGAAGGGGCAGAACCTAAGTTGGTTAAGTATTTTTCTTGATTTACTTGATGCAGCTGCCCCCCTGCTCATGGGCAACTCAGCTCCCTCCCTGGCAGGATTTTTTTATAGTATTTGGAAATTCCAACTTGAGGAATTCAAAGCATGTTGCGAGGCTGTTGCCGAGGTGGGGCGGCGAGATTCCTGTGCCTTTCAGAACGACGAGGAAATTTAGGTGGATCCCTTTGTCTATCCCTACAGAATGGGGAGAGCTCCGCTGCCTCTGCCGCCCCACGGCTGCCGGCTAGTCTCTCCCAGGGAGGCTCGAGCAGACGCTTCTCGCCTGGAGAAGCCACCCGCGAGCCCACCCCGCCCGCCCCGCAACACCCTCGCCCGGCCCGGGGCTCCCCTCACCCTCGGCCAGCAGCGCCGTGCACACCGAGATGAAGACGATGAGGACGGTGTCGGCGAACATGGTGCTCATCTTGGGCGGCCGGAAGTTGGGCCCAACCGGAAATCCGCGAGGTGCTCTCGAGACACGTGCCGCTCTGCTCCCGGCCTCGCTGGCCTCTGCGTCCCTCCTGGCGGTTAGTCGAGCCTGTCCTCGGTCTCGACAACGCGGCTCTCGCTCGGCCAATCGCAAGCTTCCCCTGCCAGGACGCGGGGCGGGACGGAGGGGGCCTTCCCCCAATCAGCGGCCTGGATGGTCGCGGCCTCTCTCTCAGCTTCCCCCCGCGGTGCCGGGACTTGATTGGCCCGCCCTCCCATCTCCCGCCTCCCCTCGCCACGGCCGGCGGGCAGCTGTGAGGCGCGAGGAGAAAGGCCGTTTCTGAGGCGCCCATAGACGCGCGTCTCCCGGGGCGGGAGCTTTCGCCGACGCATGACTCTCTTGGCGCGCGGGCTGCACCCGATGCGGCCGAGGGACACGAAAGAGCAGCCAGGCCGCCCCGGGGACCTGTACACGTGACGGGCGCTTCCCACGTGCGTCAGGCGGGAGGGGCGGTCCTTCGAGGGCCAGGCGGCGGGGAGGCCGAGGAGGCGCCGGCCGCAAGCGAGCGGGAGCGGCCATGGCCGGCGACAGCGAGCAGGGCGTGCAGGGCCGCGGGAGGTCGCCCGGCGACGGAGCAGGCGGCGGCGGGGAGCCGTTCCTCATCGGGGTCGGCGGAGGGACCGCCAGCGGCAAGGTGATCGGGGGGCCGGGCGGCGGCGGCGCGCTTCCCGCTCCAGGCGCCTCTCTGCACGCGCTCAGAGGCACTGTTGCCATCCAAATGGAGAGCAGCCCGGCTGGGGCGGCTCTGCGACCTCACCGGCGCCTCCGTGGCTGAGGGAGGGGGGCTAGAGCGTCCCGCCACGTGCGCGCGCCCGTCCGCGCTTGAGGCCGGCCGGCTGGAGCCCGGGAGGGGCGGCCGGGGGGCCTCGGGAGCGCGCGCCAGGGGATCGGGCGGCCACGCGGCGGCCTCGAGGGCCGACACGAGTGGGCGAGCGGGCTCCCGTTCTCCGTGTACGGGGAGCTCCGGGCCCAGAAGTGGCCCTTTCTCAAGGCAACAGCTGCGCGTGGAGCTCACTGAAGTAGTGTACGCTAATAGCGAAAAGTTTTCCCCAAAATACAGGTACAAGGATGGCATCCCTTTTTCCCCAGGCGCTGCTCTCCTGCCCCTTAGAGATTGGTGGGAGGGGGGTAGGTTTGCAGGCCTGCCGGTGAGTTGCTGGGAGCAGGTCTGAGGGGGGAGCAAGCTGCTATAAGCAACAACCCCGTCGGGTTCCTTGTGCAGCTAGCTGGGTGTCTCCACATTCCCGCAAGACAAAAGCCAGAATCCGACTAGTCTGTTCTGGAGGAAAATAAGAGCTTAGCCTGTCCTTCAGTGGCTAGAAAGCCCTCAGGGTGGCTTTGCTCTGCTGGCTTATCCTTTGGTGGCAGGAATATGGTCACGGACTGGTGGGATCCTTCTCTTTCTGCTTCTCCTGCAGCTGGACTGATGAAACTCTAGTCTTGTTTCTGTTTTCTCCCCTCAAGTCCTTAAGACCCTGCATGCTTGGGGGTTTATATACTGTATTAAAACAGCCACTTGAAAACTCTTGATACCCGCTCCCACATTTTTTCCAGGCTTTGTGTTGTTCCTGAGACTTGATAGTCTTGAAGCAAAACAGCATGTCAGAATTCTAGGTTTCATCTTGCACCTGCCCTTCCAAATAGCGGTTTGCAGTTTTTTTAAAATAAATTTTTATTAAGTTTTACACAAATATCTCCAATTAACAATTTCCCAATTAACATATTTTCATCTTTTTGACTTCCCTCAGCTTCTCTGACAATCATCCGTATTTAAATTTATTATCTACGCATTCTCCAAAATTAGTATCGCCTTTTAAGATACCTTTACAAATATATTTGCATTCTTGCAATATTCCTTATTCTTTCACAAAGCTTCTTTAAAACCCACTAGCGTTGTTTGCTCATGACATACACTCTTCAAATACTCAGAAAATTTCCCCCAATCCTCAATGAACTTGTGATCTCGTTGATATCTTATTTTTCCAGTTAGTTTGTCCAGTTCTGCATATTCCGTTAACTTCATTCTCCATTCCTCAAGAGTCGGTAGTTCTTCCTGCTTCCATTTTTGGGCCATTAATATTCTTGCTGCAGTTGTTGCATACTGAAAGAGTTTATGATCCTTTCTATTTATTTCATTTCTTGCGGTTTGCAGTTTTGAGTGCTGCAGGTGCTTCCGTTCTGGGTTTCTCTGCAGATGTCGGGGGTGAAGGCAACACAGATGTCACCATTCCCTCAGCTTCTAAGAAACTTGAGAGCTGTTCCTCCATTTTTCTTAAACTATTTACTGAGCTCTATTAGGAAAACAAATTAAGAGATGTTTTTAAATAGTGAGCTTTTTTTGTTTGAAATCACAACTCCCACTTTTAACAGCTGAATCAAGTGGCCAGTAATTGTTTGTTTCCTATTAAATTGAATTAATTTGGCAATGATTTTTAATAATTTGAAAATCAATAAAAATAATTGAAAAAAGTAATTGTTTGCTTCCTGTTTAAGTATTTGACCAATAAGTTCCACCTCCCCAATTTTCCTTGTTTTCCAGTGCAAAGCAGCCAAAGTACAAGACAGATGTACTCATGGTAAAAATCAACAAGGTTCTCTTTGGGCTTTATATGTGCACCAAAAATAACAGCTAGCAAGGAAATAACATTAAAGAGAGAGATCTTTAATCCAGGACCCCTGGATGGTTAAGTCCAGTCAAAGGTGACTATGGGATGCTTTTCAGGCCGAGGGAGCCAGCATTTGTCCACAGACAGCTTTCCAGGTCATGTGGCCAGCAGGACTAAACCACTTCTGGCTCAATGGGAAGCTGTGCTCCTAGATACTCTGCCAGTATATGGAGAGAGGGGTGTCATGGTGGTGACTGCTTAGGACCATATGGCAGAACAAAATCTTGCTCCTTTCTAAGCCCTTTTCTAGGGCTGGGTGGTATCAATATAACATTCAGAACTGTTTTTTGAAGTCTGTATCATGATAACCGTTTAATGATTTATTTCTTGGCAATATATCACAAATCGGGGGGGGGGGGGGATGTGCTATGCACATATAGCCAGCCAGTGCTGCTTTTGATTCCTGTGCAGTTCAGCTCTCTGCTACCTCCTGCAGGGGCAGTGAGTCACAAGGCACTGGCAAAAGCAGCCAGCAGAAACTTCCCTCAGATGCTCTTGCTTTAAGTAGGCTAGTAGGTGGTGCACCAGGCTGGTAGGTGGCTTATGGAGATGCCGGTCTGAGCTGGCTCTGGGCTTCTTGGTGGAAGCCCCTTTCCCCCTTCCTTTCTCCTGTGAAACGTTATTTACTTCAGAATAAAAACAAAAACTTTGCCCTACTGTTTAAGCTTCTTTCCTCACTTCTCCCCTTCTGCATGTTTGTGTGTGATAGTCTCCCCACCCTTGTTATCCTTCCCATTTTCTCCTCACCCATGAACTCTCCCAATTCTCCCCTCCCCCCTTTGCTTTCTCACATTGTTTCACCAACCCTATACTTCCTTATGTGCTGCTACTGCTTCCTTTTTATTCCCTCCCACCTACCCCACTGGCAAAAAAAGGAAAGGGGAGAAGTGTTTTTATTTTCTGGGGGTGTTTATGTTGTTTGTTCCCCCTAAATAGTTCCCCTCCATATAAAAAGGAAGATTTTAGGAAGAGGTAAGTAAAAATTTATCATTTTTAGACCCGTTAGTAGTAGCAGTTGCCAAGACATTACCACATTTGCCTCCACATAGCTCCATCCTTATTTCAGACATTTTGATGTATTGGTATATCACAGTGTTGAAAACCAGATACCGCCCAGCTTAGCCAGTATTCCTTGGACGCCCTAACCCAGGCTTCCTCAACCTCGGCCCTCCAGATGTTTTTGGCCCACAACTCCCATGATCCCTAGCTAGCAGGACCAGTGGTCAGGGATGGTGGGAATTGTAGTCTCAAAACATCTGGAGGGCCGAAGTTGAGGAAGCCTGCCCTAACCTATGATCTAGGATGTGCTGTACACTTCTCAATAGTTGAGCAGAAAACAGTTTTATTGTTAGAGATTCTTGCTTTTAGTCAATGCTAAAAATGATTCCTGTACAACAGATTAAGAATGAAGTGTAATTTGCTCCTGGATACACAAGCTTCTGACATACGGGGGGGGGGGGACAGGAAAAACCCTCTAGCTAGGCTAAATGGAAGGCTAGAGTTTAACACACCTTATCTGAACTCTCTTTAAGCATTTTCTGCTGGTTTTCCCCTGTGGAGAAGTGATTTTTGGCTTACCGAAAATATTGTGATATCTAGGATATTAGTGTAGGTATGATTGTGGACTAGTGTGTCAACTCTAAAACAAATGGTAGTTGTCCACTGGTGAGCAGCAGCAGCTCATGATATTATATAAACAAGTTATTTCTAATGAGTCTAAACCATGGGTAGGCAAACTAAGGCCCGGGGGCGAAATCCAGCCCAATCGCCTTTTAAATCTGGCCCATGGATGGTCTGGCAATTAGCATGTTTTTACATGAGTAGAATGTGTCCTTTTATTTAAAATGCATCTCTGGGTTATTTGTGGGGCATAGGAATTTGTTCATTTCCCCACCCCCACCCCCCAAAAAATATAGTCCAGCCCGCCACAAGGTCTGAGGGACAGTGGACCGGCCCCCTGCTGTAAAAGTTTGCTGACCCCTTCTGTAAACAGTTTAAAAATGAATGTCAATACAAAGTCCACCATCATTATACCCAGATGGTAGGGGGAGACTTGCTGAGAATGGGAATTTCTCCCGCTAACAAATCAATCATTCAGAAACAGATGGGTTTTAAATCCTGCCACAAGTTAATAAAATATTTGGGAGTGCAGATAATTAAAAATCTGTCAACTCTAAGGAAAGCAGGCTTTACACCATTAGTTTTACATGTACAACGGGATTTTAGATCTTGTAAAGACCTACATTTATCATAGTTAGGATGTACAGCTGCTGTAAATACAGCTTTCCTTCTGAAAGCTTGGTTTCTCTTTCAAGTGTTGCCTGTCATAAGATTGTCAAGCTGGCAGGCACTCCAAGGGTCATCTAGCCCAACCCCCTGCAACGCAGGAATCTCAACTAAGGCATCCCTGACAGATGGCCATCCAACCTCTGCTTAAAAACCTCCCTTCCAGGAAGACAGTTCCACTGTTGAACAGCTCTTATGGTCAGGAAGTTCCTTTTAATGTTTAGTTGGGATCTCCTTTCTTGTAACTTTAATCCATTGGTTCGGGTTCTACCCTCTGGAGAGGAGAAAACAAGCTTGCTCCCTCTTCCATGTGCCTCCCTTTAGATGTCACTCTCCTTCATGGTCATCTGTGATGATGGTGATTCCTGCATTGCATGGATTAAACTAGATGAGTCTTGGGGGTCCCTTCCAACTCTACAGTTGTGATTCTAAAACTTCCTTGTGTGGTTCAGGGAAGGAAGGGTTTCTGTTAAGCTTCATTGTTTGTACCCTACTAACTTATCCCCATTTCTAGGACACTTGCTTTAAGCTGTTACAGGCCTGAATGGGCTGTTGCCCTCTTCCCTACATTTTCCTTGTTGGTTTTTTTTATTTTTGTTAACTGACCCTAGCATTGTGTGTCAACTCTGTTGGGTTGGCACGATTTCTTGTCTGTCTAGGCTTGACTCCCATCAGCTTTCTGTAAATTCTGGGATTTGTCAGGTTATCTTGGGGTGTATATTTTAAAATCATCTTTAATTTGCAGATTTAAATGCTGCTGTGTCTCCTGAGTATGTAGAAACCACTACCTTGTTTTTCAGTGGTTCCCTTTCACTTCCAGGCTGGCAGGTACTCGGTCATCAGAGTTTGCTATTAGGCCAGGGGATGGTGATAATTGAAGGCAATTGAAACATCAAATGTTAACATGTCAGTAGAAGCAAAGGTGAATAGAGGAAGATTGAGGGGAATTTGCCTGTTTGAACCTGTAGCAGTTGCTGATATCCTGGAAATAGGAATTGGAATTAGGGGGGGATACATCCCATGAGGTTAAAAGGCTCTCTGCTTCAGGACTGGCAGCCTTCTAGTACCATATTGCACAGTGGGAAAAGTTTTTGATTGGGTGGGAAAGGGAGAAAGTGTCCTCCAAGAGTGCCAGAAATGTACTGTGTGAGATGTTTGTTCCAGGCTGACTAGAACCCTGATTTGGAGCACTCCTATTGGGGACTAAGGATAAACTGCAATATATTGTAGGTTTCCTATGGAATTTATTATAATGCCTATGCGGAAAGGTAACAGCTAGAGATGTTCTGGAAGGGGAGGAGGCAAATGTTGCTCCCAGCTGAGCCAGTGAAGTGAGCTTTGCTTCTGGTAGAATGATCACAAGTTAGGAGCCCTGCAGAAAGTCTCAGTAAGCTCTTCTGCTGTCTGGTAGATTTATCCTGTTCCTTTGACTAGTGTAGCAAACTGGAGTACTTACAATGAGATTTCCTGTCAGGAACATCAGAACAGGCCTGCTGTGACCTTGACCTGGCCTGGGCTGAGCCCAAGTCCCGTAAAATAGTGGAGCGTTCCCTGCTTGGTCATGCCCCCCCCCCCCAGTGCCCAGCTATGATGTACTTGATGAGTGCTGGAAAGAAGGTTGCAGACTGAACTGGAAGCAAGTTGCACTACCCTTAGCCCAAGGTTGGGGAGGGATGGTCTGTTGACATTTGAAAGACCAGCAGGAGACATGAAATCCTCGCTGGGAGCTGGCCAAAGGACAGTCCAGTGGAAGGACAGAGCAGTGGGCCAAAGCCTATATAAGAATATATTTTCTGCCTATGATGACAATGCTCAGGTGTGGTCATTGCCTAATGCTCCGGCTGCTGATTTTGAGATCCACCGATTTATATGTGAAAAGGGAAGCAGCTGATGATACATGCCTGCCCCTTCTGTCAGCATATTTCTACTGGAAAGGAAAAGATTGGGGGTCAGGAGGTGCTTGGAATGCCTTCCAGCCATGGGGCACAAACCTGTCTCCTCCCTGGCAAGGGAGAGGCAAGGAGATCAAATTAATTGTGGGTATGTAAGCTTGAAAGGGGTGAACTAACAGGAATGAAAGGACTGCCTGTTAATGAAGGACAAGTATGCCTGCAACATTTATAAAAGAAGTTTTACATGCTTGATCCCTGTCCTATGAACATGTTCCTGCTGGACTAGGTGTTGCAGGGCCTTCACTTTTCTGTTCTTTCCAGGGGACACAGTTATATATTTGGCAGATGTTGCCGTACTCCTTTCCAGAGGAGCCCCCTGCCCCTTGGAAGCTTGCGGATAAGCTGGGTCCTTTGCAACTGGAGGGTCAACACCTGTCAGTCCTTCAGTCCACTTCAGATTATGTTTCTCTCTCTCTCTCACTTTGCTTCTTTTGCAGTCCTCTGTCTGTGCCAAAATAGTCCAACTGCTTGGTCAGAATGAAGTAGACCATCGCCAGAAACAGGTGGTGATTCTGAGCCAAGACAGCTTCTATCGTGTGCTCAGTACAGAGCAAAAAGCCAAAGCTCTCAAAGGCCAGTTCAACTTTGACCACCCAGGTAACTCATCATGAAGCCTGGGAAGGGGCATAGGCTTTTTCCTTAGCTTCTACTTAGACTTCCCAAAGACGGAACTGGGAAATTGCAATGTCAAAACAACCTGCCCTGCTCAAGAGAGATCATTTGAGAGCTGTTGAGAGGAGGCCCCACCTTGACAATAGGATAGATTGTTATTGGTGCTGTTGTTATTATTATTTATTAAATTTATATGCTGCCCTTCATCCATAGAGCTTAGAACAGTTCACAGCAAAAAAATGCAAGATAAAAACACAAATACATAAAAGAAGAAGAAAAACAAAACAATAACCCTTCCCCCTGCAAACCTCTTATGTTCATCCTGCTACTTTAAATTTGCTTGGAGTACAAGCTTAACCAATTCTTTCTTCCCTTCAGCTACCCAAGTTACATAATATACAATGTTCTGATCATTCATGATACTGATTATTAAAGTTATAACAATAAGTAATGAATAATTTTTGATTATTCTGTAGATGAAGTGGCTACCTAAATTAACAGGTTACAGGCCTCAGAAAAAGAGAGGTAGAGCTGATCCACAGCTATCAAAAATTAAATTAAAGCAATGATATACAGTATAGTGGAAAACAATATAAAGCCAAGGTGAAACTACGAGCAAAGAGCAAAGAAGCAGGGAGGAAGAACAAAGTAGAAACCAGGCCTCCTGTTGGCCCCCCTCCAATTGTACAGGTACCAAAGCTGAAGAGGCCTTTTCACTCATTCCCAAGCTCCAGATTTCCCACTGCAGTGGAAAGTTCTGTGTAAACTTATTTCAGATAGAAAGGAACCATGAGAGCAAAGTTAATCTTGTTCACTCTGATGAAAGGACTGTTCCTCCACTGAGTGTGACAACCATTTCTCCCAAGCTTGAAACTACAGAATTGGAGAGGAATTATCTGGCAGCTACCCAGTGATTCCCCCCCACCAATACCCAGAGGCTGTTTGGCCAAGGCTCCTGGATCACCTTTGCCAGGTAGAGCCAAAATGGCAGGCCCCCCTCCCTTTCCTGTTCCAGAGCAGGAAATAAGAGTTTGGGGGCTTTCTTGACTGGTGCTGCAGTCAGAGCCCACTAATTCCAAGCCATCCTTTCATTCAGAGGCTTCCTTGGCCACTGCTGTCAAGTGGGACTGGGTAGAAACCTGGCAGGCACAATTTCTGGTTAGCCAAAAATTGTATCTTTCTCGTGATCCAGAAGACTTCACCTAACTAGGAAGGTTTTGTGGGACGTTTATGCTTTCCTCTGAGGCTTCCTCTGCCTCACTAGGGAGACCTACCTCGCACTGAGAGACACAGCTGTTTAACTTCCCCTCTCTCATTCTTGCTACAGATGCCTTTGACAATGAACTGATCGTCAAAACTCTTAGGGAGATATTGGAAGGGAAAACAGTTCAGATCCCCGTTTATGACTTTGTCTCTCATTCTCGGTAAGTCTGCTTCTCCCCTCTTTTGCTCTGTGCTTTGGATGTGGCGCTTTCCGTCTGCATTGCTTCTCATTAGCAGATCCTTCCAGTGAGCCCATGGTGGAAAACATTTGCATAAAATGTAAATGCTGCATCTTGCCCCGAAACCAACCTTTAATATCTAATGGTCTAGTCGAAGGAAAATTGTAAAACAGTTCTTCCTGCTTCCCTCCTGTTTATCAGAGGTAAACACTAATCTAGTGTTTGCTTTGGTAGAAGAAAACAGAGGTGGACTCCCATGTTGTGTCGGGTGCGTTCCCTGCAATGAAATGACAAGAAAGGAGCTGTTGCCTTCATTCAGTTTCACTATTCCAAGTCCAGTGAATTGTAGCCTAGTGGTCTTCAACTGGTGGGTCGGGCCCCACACATGGGTCACACCCCGATCCAAGGCTGGTCGCGACATGAGCACTCCAGTATGCAACTACATGGTAAAAGATTAAGAAATGGTTCCCGAAAGGCATGTTTGCTCTAGACGTGGGTCTGAGAAGGTAGGAGGTACTTGGTCTAGAGTTTATTTTTGGGCAACTCCATGGCAATGATGACGACGAGACATAATTTCCTCTCCTCCCCCATTGCATCTGCCCTCTTCCTGCCAACAGACCAGAGCTATTCCAAATGGTGAGGGGCCTTTTAAAGCTGGACTCCTCAGAGAAGTTGAAGGGATCCATGGAAGCAGACTGTGAACATTGTGCGTGCATCTTGTGAATGAAATCTCTTACATCCTCTCAGTTTAGGCTCCTTTGGTACAGGGCCACTTATCAATGTGGATGGGTTCTTTTCATGTTTCTATGTTTGCTTTTTAGTTTGCATAACCTGAGGAGGTAGCAAGTTGTGACATATCAGCAGGGAGCTTTCCCTGATCTCCTTTTTGTACTGTTTTCTCAGAAAAGAATCCTGAATCCAGTCAGACTGAAAGAGCGTTAGACTCGTAATCTGGTGAACCGGGTTCGCCTCTCCGCTCCTTCACATGCAGCTGCTGGGTGACCTTGGGCTAGTCATACTTCTCTGAAGTCTCTCAGCCCCACTTGCCTCACAGAGTGTTTGTTGTGGGGGAGGAAGGGAAAGGAGAATGTTAGCCGCTTTGAGACTCCTTAGGGTAGTGATAAAGCGGGATATCAAATCCAAACTCTTCTTCTTGACAAATCCAAGACTGTCCATTCTAAGCCCTACAGACAAGGATCATTCCCAGTAGGAAAAAATAAAAAGGAAGCAACTTTAGTTTTGCATTCCCAGATCCCACAGAACATTGTAAACTATCATTGGAGGCACAGTTGTGCAGTCTTAGCACTTGGGGAAGATATCAGTGAGAAATTTAACAGAAATGCCTTTTTAAACCAATAAATCCATTTTTGGGGGTGGGGAGAAGGCAGCAAATCACACATACAGATTTTATGGGGTGTGACTTATCAAGTATTGTGGCTGCATAATTCCATTACACCCAAATAACAGATTAATTTAGAAACTCAGAGTTTGCTTTAAAAACTGGGTGATGAAAGGTGTCTTCCTCTTTGGGGGAAAAAGTTATAGATATTTCCAATTAAATACCTTTCCCAGTGGTCTCCAGTTCCTGTCTTCTCCTCACCCTCCCTGCCCCACCACCTTTTGTATACAGTCATACCTTGGAAGTAGAACTGCTTAGTTCTCGAACGTTTTGGCTCCCGAACGACAAAACCCGGAAGTGAGTGTTCTGGTTTTCAAATGTTCTTTTGGAAACCAAATATCCAACAGGGCTTCCGTGGCTTCCGATTGGCTGCAGGAAGTTCCTGCAGCCAATCAGAAGCTGCGCTTTGGTTTTAGAATGTTTTGGAAGTCGAATGGACTTCTGGAACAGATTCCGTTTGACTTCCAAGGTAGGACTGTATATTGGTTTCTCTTGTTCCAATACTTTTGTGTAGTTTTCCAGTGCTGATAAAAAATATTTGAACATGCAGTGTTAAGGTCTCTCACCACTATTCAAGTTTAGATTATAAACACCTTCAGATTTGTTATCTTTGCTTATGAAACCAAGGATCCATGGGTAGTGTTGTAGAAATAAACAAAAACCACTGGAAACATCTAAAGTAATTTTTAGTGACATTTCTGATGCTAAAATTCAGTAGTTAGATTCTTTAGTCTTATAATTCTGTTGTTTTTGTAGTGTATGGCTCAAGACATAGGTAAAGGGACCCCTGACCATTAGGTCCAGTCGTGACCGACTCTGGGGTTGTGGCGCTCATCTCGCTTTATTGGCCGACGGAGCCAGCGTACAGCTTCCGGGTCATGTGGCCAGTAGGACTAAGCCACTTCTGGTGAACCAGAGCAGCGCACGGAAACACCGTTTACCTTCCCGCTAGAGCGGTACCTATTTATCTACTTGCACTTTGACGTGCTTTCGAACTGCTAGGTTGGCAGGAGCAGGGACTGAGCAATGGGAGCTCACCCCGTCACGGGGATTCGAACCGCCAACCACCTGATCGGCAAGTCCTAGGCTCTGTGATTTAACCCACAGCGCCACCCGCGTCCCTTGGCTCAAGACATACTACCTCACAAAATGTTTGAAAAACAGAATATTGGGATGCCTTCAAACTTGCACATTTATTAGGGCATAAGCTTTTATGGACCAAAGTTCATTTCATCAGTTATATGCCTCTCACTTGAGGATTACTCTGCACCCATCTAAGAATCATGCGCATATCTGGTGCCTTAAAAGAAGCAGCTGAGAACTTTAAAAAGTTTGCAACAAAAGTCTTTAACTCTTTGGAGGAGTGACTCCATGTGTCAAAAATGAGGCTGCTTCCTGCAGATCTTTTGTCTGTCTGTTCCTAAACTACCATTTTTAGTTCATGGATCTGTGAGAACTTTCGAGTCCTCAGTTGTAGATCACGGGCATACTGAGTTCTGAGTGATAGGCTTGGGAAAGAGAAAAAAACAATCCTTTATGTGCTCATCCCTTCCTTTTCTTGAAGTTAAACCAATCAAAGTCCACAGGTTTTTTCACTTATTTCTTGGGCTGAAAAGAATTCTCAGGAAATTGCAGTCCTATGTGGATGGAGCAACAAACTGCTCCCAATCATTTTATTTATATAAATAATTATATGCCATGTTTTGGCTCTATGTTACCTAAACATATACAAATAAATAAAACTAATTTAAATGTGAACAATAGCCTAACAAAAAAAAACAAAAACAGGAGCATCATAAGAGCTTTGGATCAGACCCTGTTGTCATCTGCATGGCTTTCCTGACCATGCATTAATCTCTTTTGCGCATATTAACAGCAAAGAAGAGGCAGTGACTGTGTACCCTGCTGATGTGGTGTTATTTGAGGGCATCCTGGCCTTCTACAACCAAGAGGTTCGGGACCTATTCCAGATGAAGCTCTTTGTGGACACAGATGCAGACACCCGACTCTCCCGCAGGGGTAAGTTGGTAGCCTTTTCAGATGAAGAGGGGAGTAAAAAATTTTATTTTAAAAATGAAGTTCACAACAGTACAAAAGCAAAGCATTGCACTTGAGGATAACGTAGTGGTGGTGGTGAGGGAAAACCTTGTTTTCCTATAGTTGTCAGGCTTCCATGTTGGCCAATCTGAGCTTTCTGCTCTCCTACTTTCAATGCCCACCGGGTTCTGGGGGGTGGGGGGTGGAATGCTTTCTAAAGACACTGAGTCTTGTCAGCTGTCTCTCCCCTGGTGCTGCTCCTGCTTCCTATTCCTCTCCCAATATTTCCCAGCTTCTCCCCTCTGCAGCCTTTCAGCTGTGACCTCTCGCAAACTCCTGTTGTCAATCTACGCTGTCTCCTTCTTCTCTGGTAGGTTCAGGTGGAGGAGGCGGTATCCACCATTCCTCCGCCTCCTCTACCCAGTCCCTGACAAGAGTGGAGAAAGGGGGTACTTTGTGGGTTGTCATTACCCACACTTTTGAAAGGGTACATCTAGGGGCAGGGCAGCCCCCTTGCCCGTTCAACTTCTGCCAGCTCCACTGCAAGACACTGTTGCTTCCTCAGCCAGCAGCCCCCAGGCACAGCACAGAAAAGTTGGGAAAGCCATTTTGAAAAACCTTTACTTTGTCTTCCTACACTCAATCTGTTCCTCCGCCCCCTGCTTTTTGGCTTCTGCCTCCAGCAGTAGTTTTCTCTCTCCCTCCCGCTCTCTTCAGCTGCCTCCTTCCCCCAGGGCCTTGCAAACCTCTGGAGGCTCCTGGTGGTTCAGGGTGGAGGAGGTGGAAAATGGATGGAGAACAGTGGAGCATTTACTGTGAAGATGGAGCTCGCCTGGATGAACATTGGCCCCCTGGGGCGCCTGTACAGGGTACCCCGGGAGTTCATCACCCCAGGAGGTTACTCCCTGGCTGCAGAGTTTGTGGGGCACCTGCAAAGGCCCATTTGGGTGCTGTCTCTCCCTGGGATGTGACTTTTGCCCCCAAGGGGCTAGCCTGGCTTGTATAGGTTTTGGGCCTCCCCTTCCCTCCTGCAGACCCCATGGTCCTGCAGACCCCATGGTCCAGCAGCATCTCCCAGTTGGAAGGACGCCTCCAGTTGGGAGGGGCAGCAGCTTCCTCATGCGATTAACCTGGAGGCAGGTACAGCTAAGAGCTGTTGGGGCTGCTGAGCCCACCGTCTGTGGAGGCTACTGTTCAGTACCGTGGGAGTGGCCCTGTGGTGTCTTACATGCATCTTGTTCCGCATTGCAGAAGTCTCATACTCCTTTCCAAGCTGGCTTTGAGTAGTGCAGTGTTGTATTTTCCCCACCCAGCACAAGTTCCCGTTCTTATTAACTTCTTGGGGCGGGGGGGGGCACGGGACACTTTGGTATTCAAGTTTCCTTTGTTTAAAGAAAAACTATCTCTTGCAGAAAAGAAAAAGAAAAAGCAAGCCGCTTAGAGCACCATATTCTGTTTGGCTGGGCAACCTGTCAGTGTAGCTGTGTTCTAGCTCTGCTGCTGTCAGTCTCCTCCTCATGGTTTCTTTCCCCCCTGCAGTTCTCCGAGACATAAGCGAGAGAGGCAGGGACCTGGAGCAGATCTTATCTCAGTATATTACATTTGTGAAGCCAGCCTTTGAAGAATTCTGCTTGCCTGTGAGTAAAGGATATGGTAGCCCCAGGGCTTTTGCATCTGTCAGTGCTGGGCTGGCCTCTTTGTGAGTGCCTGGGAGGCTCACAAGGGGGAAAGATTTGTTGGGTGCTTTCTCTTCCCAGTTAGAGCTTTGTATTCCTGTCCATGAGAGAGATTAACTTTGGATATTTTTGTGCTGGACATTCCACAAACAGGTGCTCAAAATAAATTGTGGCATATGAAGTTGGTTTTTTGCAGGCTCTTTGCACTTGTCACAATTTCTCACACTTTTATCTGCTACCATAAGGGCTGAGGGCTTTCTGTGAATGCATCCCTGCTGCAATTCCAGGGTCTCTTTCTGCAGAGCTTCCTCAAGTGATCCTGCAACAGCTGCCATATTATTTAAGTTTTGTCACACTTGAAAGATGTAACAAGTGTATCATGGCATAAACTTCCGTAGACTAGATACTGTGTAAAAAGTGCACACAAATCCATATCTCATGGGTGTGCATGTTTTTTCCTTGTTATATAACTTTATTATCATTAATAATAATAACTTAAAATTAATTTTCTCTATGTCTCCAGTTCAGGGAAGGGCTATCAGTGGCTACTCCGCACTGTGTGTGTGTTCTGTCTCCACTGTCAGGCAATATGTCTCTGAATTGCAGTTTCTGGGAATGACAGGTGGAGAGAGTTATGCTCTGGCTCTGGGAGGCCACTGTGAGTGCTGAACTAGTTGGGCCTTTGGCCTGATCCAGCAGGCTCTCCTTATGTACTTAAGGGGCCACAAAGTCTCCTCTTTTTTGCTGTGAAATGTGGAAGCTGGCAGCAGCTCTGCCAGGGGAAAAGGGGAGCAAGGAAATGTATTTTCAGCATTCATTACTTCATCAGCTGTTCGAGCTGAGGAGAAAAAATTCTAAAGCAGTTCTCTCAAACGGGTATGGGTAACAGCTCTGGATTTCACCTGCAGCACCCTGTAATGTGATTTTATCTTTCTGGCAGACCAAGAAGTATGCTGATGTGATTATCCCAAGGGGCGTGGATAATCTTGGTGAGTAGTTGACGTTCCAAGTACAATACTTGCTTTTGACTTGTGCAGCTGTTTCTGGAGAATGTGAAACTGGAGAGGGTAATTATGAGGATTTGGGTTTCTACAGCCTTGGGAACAATGCAACAATTTATTTTCTTATTCCTGCATTGCAGGGGGTGGGATTAGATGACTCTTGGGGTCCCTTCCAACTCTGCAAGAAAAGGATAGATTTGTTGAGAGAGGACCATGGTGTGGAGTAGAGTGAGATGTTGAGTATGTGTGGAGGGTGATGAGGCATTTTGAAGGAAACTTGGGACTCTATGTGGACTATATTCTAATCACTCCTCCTCTTCTCTGCCCAGTGGCCATCAATCTGATTGTGCAGCACATCCAGGACATTCTGAACGGAGGCCTTGGCAAGCGCCAGCCCAACGGCTGCCTGAATGGCTACACTCCTCCCCGCCTGCAACAGCACTCAGAAGCAAGCAGCCGGCCACATTGACCTCAGGGCTGCTGCCTTAGGAACTGAATGCCCTTGGTTCCTGCCCTGTATTTACAGCCCCATGTACAAACACGCTTGCCGGGCTTGGTGGCTTCTTTTCTGACTGATGGATAGATTGATGAGTCTGTGCTAAGGACTCTTGCTTCCATGGTCAGATTTTGCCTTCCTAGGGTGGCTCTGCTCCAAACTCCAACACGGGGCAATACATTCCTACAGTGAGGATGCTGATGATTTCTAGGTTTTGTGGAATGGAAAGGTGGCATCTCTGTCTTTGGGGAAGATGGTGCTGTGTGCAAGGCATTGGGGGAAGGAATCGAACCAGAACTGGGTGCCCAAATGGCTCTGCCACTAGCTTCATATCACATCTGGACCTCAGGTTTGTATTATCAGCTAAGAAGGGAGGGAAGGGGGTAAGGAAAGCACCATTTTTGGCTTGTGCTTTCAGAAATGTAGATCATTGGGCTCTGCTATGATGAGAGATGGGGGAGCTGTTACGAGAAAAAGGTTTCAACTGAAGTCTCACCTGGGCTCAGAATGCCCGTTTTCATCCCCCTACTGCTGAGCAATAGTTCTGCAACGGGCTAATCTTAAAAGTGATGAGAGCAAGGCAGACACAGCTCCCGAGTGCTGCTTGGCTTTAAGCCTGCACCCATGTGACTATATGGCCACATACTCTCTGCCTTCCCAAGTATTCCTGAGCCAGCCTCAGAACTGGTATTCATCTGATGCCTTTGGATCACCAGAAGTTCTGCATGTTCATCCTAGTGGTGCTAAACACAAGAGTGTTGTGTGTCCATCCCAGCCAGGGAGCAATGTATAGATACTGACTTGGATGAGCAGGGCTAATAGTGAGCATTTCTGACTGGGCCCTGGGAATGAATGGGGAGTGACCAGGACACAGGAAAAGGGGTGTGTGTGCCATGGTGCTCAGTGTAGGGTTGTGCTGATACAGATTGAAGCAGTCAACAATGTTTTCTACCACCCCCACCCACCTTAATGGTGTGGTTGGAGAGAGAAGGTGCTTGTATGTCCTCTGGTGTTTTGGGTCCTGGCTGGCTGACAAGCCACAGCTAAATATTAGCAGCTTCCAGCTCTTGTCCTAGAAGGGGAATAGGAAGAGCCACTTGTTTTGCCTGCAAGTCTAGGAGGCTTGTTCTTCAGGGTTTAGATGGAATTTCTGGATAAGGTCAGGTGGGAGAACTCTTGGGACTTTGCTCTTTTCCGTAATTATTGCTTTCAAGATGTAATATTCAGACTTAATAAAGGTGGAATGAAAAGTGTATTGTGGTTTTTGTTTATAATTTTGGTCACGCTGATTACTCTTTCCTAGGCGTAACATCAGGTGCTCTAGAATTCTGTATTTAAAAAGATCTCCTGTAGCATACACATTGAACTCATCTGTATGCATGAGTTCTGTTTGCACACATAAACTATGCCATTCTACATGCATTATCGTAACATGCCTTGCAAAATTTAGAATGGTCTCTTTTTCTGAACAATGAATGAGGGCTGGGAACATGTGACAAAAGGAGAATGGGCTGTTGCTGCACCTAAAAATAAAGTTGCGAAAGGTGCAGAAAAAGGCAACCCAAATCATGAAGAGGCTGGAGCAAGTCACCTGTGGGGGAGACGTTACAGCATCTGGAGCTGTTTAGTTTAGAAGGAAGTTTGGGGGAGAAATGAAAGGGCTTTCACAAAATGATGCATGCTGTGGAGAAAGGGGCCAGTGAGATCCTGAGCTTCCCCCACTTTGGACCTCCTGTCTCCGAGCTCCCCGCTCGCATGTTAACCCAGAACCACTTTGATTTTGTTCTTTGGCACACCACCCTTAACCGGTTGAGATGGCATGAAACACTTGCTCAGCAGAAAGGCAAGGCCAGTTTCTGTCCATGATACCAGACATTTTTAGCTGGGCTGAAGCTGTCTTTCTCTAGCATTGAATGGATTAACTTGAGTGACAGCCCAAGCCAACCATCTGGCTCGCCCCCCCCCCCCCCGCTTGCCTGCAACAGCAGATTAGTTGGGGCCGAGCGGGAGGGAGACCCAAAGGATGCCTGTCATGGTAATGGGAGGAGAGGATTTCTGAAGTTTGCCCTGCACCAGTTGCACCATCATTTTCTAATAGATGAATTTGGTTGTGTGATAGATTGGATTTCTCTGTTAATAAATACCATAATTTCCTATGGTTGTCTGTTATAGCAAAACAACTGAGTTTTGTAGTGCCTAAAAGATTTTCAGTTTGATATTCAGTTTTTCTTTCCAATCTTGAGACCACAGTATCCTTGACTGTGTATTGGGAGGTGCTGTATTTCAATCCTGCCCTTCCCCCCTGTGCAGTTGAGTACATACCGAGTAGGGCAAGGGGAGTGCTTTTTGCCCCCCCCGGCACTTCTGCTATGGGATCCCACAGGGCACTATTTTGTCCCCAAATCCTATTTAACGTCAACATGAGCCTGATATTGGTAACTGTTTTAGAGCGCAGTGTGGTCAGTATTCTGATGGCGCACACCTGTTTCTCCTTAACATTTGCATAGGGCGTGGCTGAGCAAGCCCTGGACCCAGGGCCAGAATGTAGTGGCAGACTGGAAGAGGGCCAACAAATGGAGTGTGACTGGGTAGGCGGCTCCCAGGTACCCTTCATCTACCAGGGTTGTAATTCTGTCAAAAAACGAGATCAGGTTAGTCTGACATGACTTATTTTTCAGAAATCCATGCTGACTATTGGTGATCACAGCATTCCTTTCTAGGTGCTCACAGACTGTTTGCTTAATGATCTGCTCCAGAATCTTCCCTGGTATTGATGTCAGACTGACTGGGCGGTAATTATTTGGGTCCTCTCTTTCCCCTTTTTGAAAATAGGGACAACATTTGCCCTCCTCCAGTCTGCCGGGACTTCGCCTGTTCTCCAGGAATTCTCAAAGATGACTGCCAGTGGTTCTGAGATCACATCTGCCAGTTCTTTTAATACTCATGGATGCAGTTCATCTGGCCCTGGAGACTTGAATACATCTAAACTAGCCAAGTATTCTTGTACTATCTCCTTAGTTATTCTGGGCTGTGTTTCCTTTGCTGAATCATTTGCTTCAAATTCTTCAGGTCGGGCATTGTTTTCTTTATGGGAGAAGACTGAGGCAAAGAAGGCATTGAGGAGTTCAGCCCTTTCTGTGTCCCCTGTTTGCATTTCACCATCTTCTCCTCTGAGTGACCCCACTGTTTCTTTGTTCTTCCTTTTGCTACGAACATACCCATAAAAGCCTTTTTTGTTGCTTTTAACCTCTCTAGCAAGCCCGAGTTCATTCTGTGCTTTAGCTTTTCCGACTTTATGTCTACACGTGCTGGCTATTTGTTTGAATTCCTCTTTGGTGGTTTCCCCCCTTTTCCATTTTTTGTACACATCCTTTTTTAATCTTAACTCAGTTAAAAGTTCTTTAGATAACCACCCTGGCTTCTTTAGGCACCTTCCATGTTTCCGTCTCATTGGTATTGCCTGAAGTTGTGCTTTTACTATCTCCCTCTTAACAAACTCGTGACCTAATGGTCAGGGGTCCCTTTAGCTTTACCTTTTATGTTTCAGAAGCCCAAATGGGTTCAGCCAGAAGTCAGGTATTTAGCGTTCCCAGTGTCATACCGTGAAATGCCCTTCCAGCAGAGATTTGGCAAGCACCCTTGCAGCTGGTTTTCAGATGTCTCTTTAAGACCCTTTTGCCAACAGGCCTATTCAGTTGTTTAAAGTTTATCAGGCTGAGTTGGTCATTTTTAGCAGGACATTAGCCTGGAACTTTGAGGGGGCCCTTCCTCCTCTGGAGTTGGTCTCCCAGCCCCAAATGGCAGTGCTGCCTTCCCCCCACTCCCTGGTCTCCTGAACTTAAGGGGATAATTTCTCCATCAACCGCCTCATTATTTGAAATTTGCCAGAGAAGCCCTACTGAAGAGTTCCATCTTACAAATGCTTAAAATGTTTTTCAAGGTATCTACGAGGAAAAAGACACACATGTGTTGGGTTAGGCATCATGTTAACATCTTTGAACCATAACCAAGAAATGAGAAAATCAAAGGTTCTGCAGATGTGAGACAGATCATCGGAGCCTCTAGTTTAGTCATTTTCCTGGTTGATGAATGTCCACGGAATCCTCTCCCAAATGTTACTGACATTTGGATGCCAGAGCTTTAAACCTGCCCCATCTCCCCTAAATAAAGGAAACAGCCTTCTGTTTGCAATACATGATATATTTGACAATTTGTTTAAAACCCCAGAAAAGTGGAATGCAACATTGCCTGACCCTCTATAAAATTCAGAGATAAAGAGCAATCCCCTTCCCATTTCAGATTAAAGTCAGTGTTTTAAGGCACTCTGCAAAGCCCGCTTGCCTCTTCCTTCCCTGCTTCCAGTCTTTTCAAAATGGCAGAATACCTGATTTTTCTTTCCAAAGTGACTTCCACATGCTCCTGCTCCTATAAATATCTCTGGAAACTGGCAACATCTAATACTGCAGGAGTAAAAAACACACACACACACACACCACAAAGGGAGAAGGAAGAAAACTGAGGGTGCAAGGGCAGAGGCAGTTTTAGAGTATTATGACCAGTTTGGCTGCACTGGACACCACACTGCACAGGGCACCACCACGATGCTGTAGAACAGAGCCCCAAGAGATGGGGCTGCCAAATTTTAGTGACATGCTGGCCAGCACTGAAATTTGAGAGCCCAAAATCTGTTACTGGTGAGGGCGATCCAAAAAGAGCAAAGGTATGAAAGGAGAATCACATCAAAAGGAATAGATTCAACCCTCTTTCTCCAACCCCCTCAACTGATTTAATGGAAGTTGTATTCATAGCCACCAATCCTGTTGATAAAGGACAACGACAAGGTTGAAGCTTAAGACAACAAATAGCACATGTGAGAAAATCATCCCTCCCTATGTATAGCTCTCTGTTTCAGTACAACCAACCCCACCCTCTGTTTTCTGTAGACCTTTCATACTCAAGAGCTCACCTGAGGAGGGTGCATGTGTCTCTTAATTGAAAAAAATAACTTAAAATAAATAGATCAAATAAATAAGCTGAGTAAGTACCCTTCAGTTTAAAGCAGTTCATGTTCAAGTCCAGAACACAAAGTGTGCTTGCTTCCCTGATGCACAACATTAAGATAAGCACAGAATTTGGCATGGAGCTACGCAGAGTGGAGTTGTGGAGGGCTGCTTTCTCTAGGCCCATCTACACTTCCATTTACCCTGCTGCTCCCCCCACCCCTGGGAAAACCTGTGGGTTAGCACTGAATTGGAACAAACAGCCGTTGGGTTTTCTGCAGATGTAGTGCTAAAAGAGCAGGCTTCCTGGGGGATGCAGCAGGGCAGAGGCAAAACTACTCAGACCTGTGCTTGCTAAGCAGAGGACAAGTGTGGGATAAGCCCAGGGTCCAGCACGGGAACAGCTTTCTTGCAAAAAGGGCAAGGCGTTTTTAGCAGAGTTGCCGCCACACAGCTCTGAGATCTGTGAGAGCCAAGGGGGAGGCTGCTCTACTCTTGAGGCCCCAGAAGATGGATCTGAAAAGTCCATAAGGGTTTACTGGCTCTAGTGGTGAAGGCAGACTGCCCAGCCTGCTGCAACAGATGTCTTGGGGATGCGGCTCCTATGCATCCACCCTGGAGGCTGGAGCTCATTGTGCAAAGGCACAGGTGTGACATGCATTTGCACAAAAGACAGCTGGGCACTGAAGAATGTTAATGTCCAGTTTCAGAGCTGGAGAAAGTTTGTGAGTCCCCATTCTACAAACAGGCTCTATTTTTATCCCTGAGAGATGTTGGATCCTTTCGAAACAGCCTTCTGCACCCTGGTGCTCTCAGCCTGCAGTTTGGACTATAAGCATGTTGCTGGAGATGATGGAGTTTGGTCTAAAACAGCAGGAGCACATTGGGGGAGGCTGCTTCAAGAAGATGGGGGAACCATTTCAAAACAGACATGGCCAACTGGTAAGATTGCATACATTTGGTAGAGGCAACGATTACAGGTTGGTAGGATCCAGAAAGTCCACTTAACTGACCCAAGGTGCAATTTGCCACACAGTTCCCTGCAACTTAACCCACTGAATCCAATTTATAGCAAGTTGCAAGTGGGATCCAGTAAAATGTTCTAAGATAGCCCGAAGAACTGGGGAAAGCAAAGACTGCCAAGGCTGCCAGCCCCTAGGAAGAAAGTTGAAGCAGTGCAGGCAGGATGTTTTATTGTGCCAATGCCTGTTGCTGGATAATGTGCACAAAACTTAGCAGAGTAGAAAGGAAGCTCATTCTCAGCCATAGTTTTTGTCTTCTAAGGTGGAGTGGATAGCGGCTGAATCATATAACTGAAAAGCCATGAATTCATTGGTCTAAAAGTCAGGCTTCCTCAATCTCGGCCTTCCAGATGTTTTTGGCCTACAACTCCCATGATCCTAGCTAGCAGGACCAGTGGTCAGGGATGATGGGAATTGAAGGGCCAAGGTTGAGGAAGCCTGGTCTAAATCGTCACTGAGGTTGCAGCAGTTGGGGAGGAGTGAAGGGGCCACAACTCTAATAGTGTGCACCAGCACACTGAGTGTTCACCTTTAAACTGTCATTTATTTAGCTATCGTTTAAAAATACATGCAAATGAGGCCATTATATCCAAGTTAATGCTTATATTTTTATGTCTATATAAATTCCTAACCAATACAACCTCAACATTAAGGAAAAAATTGACAACTTTATAGTGCTAAGCTCCTTGCTCTCTTCCAGCCTCGTTGCAGACACCAAAAACACTTTCTTAAAACAACAACAGCAGTGCTTCCAAAACCTATTAAGGGCTAGGAACTATTGAGAATGCAAAATGTGCCCATTTTGTACATCCTTAATGCAAAATAATTTAATCAAAAGAGAATGCTCAACAGTTATGAAATGAGGGGAGCATTAGTTTTTAGAAATAGCATTGTCCTATGCACAGGTGAGAATTAGGAAGGGGTGCTGTTTAACAGAAAGGCTTGCATATTTACACTGGCAGATGTCAGCCCCATAAAGATCTGGTTGGCTGTTTTCAATCAATATGTAGTATCAGTCATCCTCACCTCTTTGACTGTTGGCCATAGTCTTTTGGCTTTCCATTTCCTCTAAAGATGCTAGTCTTTTTTTATATGAGAAAAGGGGGGGGGCTTAATGAAACCCACAAGCCACCCTGAGTCACCCCAATTTTAGCCCAATCATGCTTTCTGCAGCCTTTAGAAACAGGAGCTAAGGGGGCCAATGAAAGGGTAAGGGGTCAGGCCTTCTCTTGCCCCCAATGTAATCTGAGAACTGGCCTGGTACCTTCTCTGCATTTTTGTTGCTTTCCTAGGACTCCATTCCATTCTAAATATACCCATTTCCTGGGATCCTCTACCTATTGTATGTCAGAACAGCTGACCCAGGCACTGCCAGAGACCGTTCTGATGACCCACTAATCCAGTATCTGAACCAGTTGTGCTAAATGTTTCAAAAAAAATATTTTTGTTATTGACAAAAAGCAGCCTGGAGTGGGGGCCAGTTTTGACTTGGGCCTGAAATTAGCTAGTGGGCTACACACCTGCATTCCTTCACAGCTGGGCATTACAATCAAACAAAGACTAAATTGCTTACAATATTAGTCTCTGCTTTGAACATCTTGGGCTCATTCTCCCTGAACATTCCCTGCACCTTAAGTTGTATCTATTGAGTTCCATGCTCTCGCTCACCCAAGAAGCAGTGAGGTCCTGCAATGTGCCTAAGAGGGACCTCTTAAATCACCACCCTGATTGATCTTCACTTGAGCAACACACTTAAAATACACACCCAAAGACTTTTTAGTTACAGTATCTCAAACAGTGAAGTAGCTTGAAGTAAAGTCAAGTTGCAAGGAGAACGGATACCAATTATCAGTTTTGCTGGCTAAGCCAAACTTGAAGGCCCCAACCCGCCCCCCCCCTGGGCAAGTTGGTGTCAACCCTTGCTCAAGGTGCCACTAAAATCTGAAAGACCAAATTCCACCCCGACACGGCTCTCCAGGGTATATTTGCCATGTAGCTGGCAAACAACCTCCAACCTTCCTCACAGCTTTGGAGGTGGTGGGGACTGCCAAGCAACTAGCAGGCAGATCTCTGCCTACACCTGCAGGTTCAAACCCTGGAGGCGGGCCATTCCTCCTGCCCAAAGGTAGCACAACACTTATCATGGCAAGTGGGATTGTTGGAATAGCCATGTCTAATGTACACAACACCACTTACTATACTGCACAGATATGGGTTCCATCTTTTATATCCCAAAGCCAAGTAACAGGACATCAGTATTAGTTGTCAATCAGATCTCTATTCTACTGCACCAATGCATGTTTGCTAGCTTGCATTTCTGGCCTGGGGACAGGCTGTCTGCAAATCTTCAATGGGGGCAGTTTTTGGTTTCTCACACAGGCCTTTTAACGCTGCCAGGGACAAACAATATTGTTGTCCATCTTCAAAAAGAAACAACTGCTGAGAAGCAGCATTCTGACCAGGGGGCCAGGACCATGTAAAAGAACAAGCATTAAGCACATGATAGCCAGAAAAGGGAACTGGGGTGCATGCACACCTCTCTCCTAATGAGTTTCTTCAATACACCAAAAAGGCTCATCTGTGGGATCAGACCAAAGGCCAATCTAGCCCTGCAGGTTGTTCCCCCAGCCACAGGTCTATGGGAAGCCAGGGAGCAGACATGAGGGCAACAGCCCCCTCCCACTGATGCTGCCCAGCAACTGGACTTCAGTCCAATGTCTGTGCGAAGCCCACTGAACACGGCAATTTACTCTGTGCTGGGTGAAAAAGTACCAGTCTCCCATTCTTCTGCTTAATTGGATGGGTCTTAGATTGGAGTGTTGTGAGAGAGGAAGAAAGACTTGCCATCCCCCTGGGGTCAGATCCCTCCTTCAGGGGATGAGGCCACAGAGCTGAAGTGGTAGAGGAATTTCTGCAAGAGGACCTAGTTAGGCCAGGATGTCTCCCGCCTGAAGATATGCTGTTGCCCTCTTCTACCTCAGAAGCCTTTGTGGAACCTCTGTACTGCTGAGGCCATGTTTCAAAACAGAACAACTTCTCATCACTTTCTCTACACCATACATAATTTTTGACCCCTCTATCATGTCCTTCCTTATGTCTTTCTTTCATGTAAATAGTCCCAAATGTTGTAAGCCTTCCTCATGGCAGAGTTGCTCCAGTCCCCTGATCATGGCTGCCCTTACTTTAAGTTAGATATTCAAGTACCAACATTTAGGGTGTGATTGGGGCGGGGGTATTCCATACTATAATTCACTGTTCCTTTCCTTTTCTGCAACGTTGTTTATTTTCTTTTTCCCAGAATTAGGATAATTAATTTTAAATGAGATATTTTATAAGAAAATATATATTTAAAACTGCACTACCTTTCAATAAGCTGTTCCATTTTAATTTTCAGAAACAGCAGAAAATAATAAAACTCTCCATTCAGCTTTTTGGGAGGCCATTATAATCCTTTGTGCAGAACATTTCCAGGAAGAGTTTGTCCTAGTCTTTCAGAGCATTAGGCTCCTCAAACAGTCACTGGTTTGCTGAGGTAATGGAAATAGCAGTTGCTCCCAGCCAGGGCCAAGCAAAGGCACAGGTCTTGAGAATCCACACAGGCTGGGCAGGAAGACTTTGGTTACATTCCCCCAATGTTCTTTATCAGAGATGAAAACATGGGCAGACTATCACGGATGAGGACACATGAATAGCCAAGGTTGTAGGGCAAGTGTCAGGGAGATAAAGCTCAGGATGAACTTAGGCTTGTGAGAAAGGTTAAAAACAACAAGAAGGAGCCAGTCTGGAGCAAGTGGAAGAACAAGAAAACCATAGATCAGTTGAATGGAAATGTTAGTGGGAGGCAGGGAGAAGATGGGACTGCTCAACTCCCACTTCACCTCTATCTTCTCCCAAAAGTAAAATTCTGCCAAAAATAAAAAATAAAAAGATAGACGAAATAATTAAGGGAATTATTACTCAAGATGCAAACAGCAACACCTAGCTGCCCTAAATGTGGTCCAGGGTCACATGAGCTGCATTGCAGGGATAATGCAGTGGTACCTCTGGATGTGAACGGCATCCATTCCGGAGCCCCATTTGCATCCTGAAGTGAACATAACACACGACTGCGCGGGTCGTGTTTTGCTGCTTCTGTGCATGGGCGTGATGTCATTTTGAGCATCTGCGCATGTGGCAGCGCAACCCGAAAATGCTTAACCTGAAGCATATTCATCCCAAGGTATGACTGTATCAGAGTCCCTGTAATTTTTGAGACTTATTGGAGAACAGGTGGCATGCTAGGTGACTGATGGCGGGCAAATTCCCCCCTTCTGAAGATAGCGACACAAAGGGTGATTGATGGCAAGTTCACTTGGCATCAATGCTTAGAAAAATTCTAAACAGATTATTAACAGTTGGTCTGTCTTTAAAAAAGCACAATGGTTACAAAGAGCCAGCAAGAGTTCATGTCAAGCTAATTTCATCTCCTTTTGGGCTGCAGCTAATGGCTTGCTAGATCAGGGGTGCAGATGTGCACAAAGTATCTTAACGATTTTTAACAAGCTCTCTCATATTTTGATGGAAAGCTAGGTACTGTTCCCAAAGAGTGCTCTTCAATGGGTCATCAACCTAGAAACCCTCAGGGTTTCCCTAAACCCAGTGCTGTCCAATGTTTGCTCATCACATTTCTAAATGACACTAAACTGAGAGTTCTTGCTAATACTTAGATGCAGGAATCAAGGTGATCTTGGCAGGATCTGGGCCAAAACTAACAAAACCAAACAAGCAAAACGAATTTCAACGAAAATGAATATGAAGTTCTGCATTATGGTAGGCTAACTAAGGTGCCCAAATAAAGGATAGGTGATACCTGGCTTGGCAGCAGTACATGTAGAAAGGATCTAGGGGTTTTAGTAGCTAAACATGATTCAGCAGGATGAAGTGGCAGCTAAAAAAGCTAAGGCAATTCTAAGCTACATCAACAGAAATATAGTGCCCAGATCACGACAAATACCCCTCTATTCTGCTCTGATCAGACCTGCCTGGGCACTTCAGCTGAAGAGCTGAGTGAGGAACCTGGAGACTAATGAAATCATAGCTCTAAAAGAGATGGGACTAGATGAAGAACTCAGTGGAAAATGTATCACTCTTTAGGAGTGCCAATCTCTGTTCACTTGAGAATTTAAATTATTAAGGCCAGTAGCTGACCACTTGCAGAATTATGGTGGGAATCCACAAAAAGGCCCCATGTGCTGTGCTATTATGGATTCTGCAACCAATTGTTTGTTATACAGTAATTCACAACATAAATCTTCAACTTCTGTTTATCTCTCATCTACATTTTCTATCTGAAGTAGTATGTTCACATTATTCTGGGAGTTAATGTCAGTAGTTTTCATCTTCTACACACTTTTCTACACTAATTTTGCTCAAAAGCCTTTTAATGCTCCATTTCCACAGTTGGAGAACCAAAAACCAAAGCTTGGAGCTATAATCACTGACGCACTGTGTTCCTCCTCCCAGTTTTCCAGAACGGGTGTTGGCTGAGAGTCAGCAATAGAGCAGAAAGAGAAGTAAGCTGACTGCACATCTCTGGAGATTTCACAGGAGCTAAACTCCATAGGTTCTCTTCCCTTTCCTGCTAGGACACCATCACCATCATAAGCAAAGATGCTACCAATCTGTGGTTCTGACAAATGCTCAAGAGAAGTTCCCATTACCTTCCAATCTTCATTTATCCTACATAAAATCAAAAATTCCTCCTCAAATATGGGATGATCTAATAATACTTTCCTTAACTACATTAAATATGGGAAAGGAATAATTTTCAGAAAACCTTCCCTCTATGTCATGCATTTTCAAATAGTGTTGGACAAGGACTTGGCAACCCAGACACAAATCCCCACTCAGCCATGAAGGTAATTTCATGATCTTGGACAAGTCATACTCTCTCAGCCTAAGCTACTTCACAGAGCTGTTGTGAAGACAAAATGAGGGAGCCATGTATGCCATCCTCCGTTCCTTGGAGGAAAGTGGTAAATAAATAAATAAATAAATATAAATAAATAAATAAGTAAGTAGGTCAGTCAGTCAGTGGCATCTAACCTTGTGAGTTTCTGTCCAGCTCTGACTGCCCATTAACAAGATAACGCTTTTGCTCCAGGTGGTGTTCTTTCTCCCAGTCTTTTCTCCACCATGAGCAAAACTGTCACTGATTGGGAGGATATGGAAAGAAGTAGTGTTTCCAGCATTACCCATTTTCCTTGTTCAATGGCAATCTCAATCTTCCTATGGCAGAAACAACATACCAAGATTGTTAGAATCCAACCCGCCCCCCGCCCCCCAAACACTGAGCAATATTGTACCTGGGCTTTTCTGGGTGCCAGATATAACCCTTTCCCACTGTGCTGGAGAAACATACTGTGCACAGACAATCTTCTGAAATACAGATTAACTGTGCTTGGATAAAAAGCAGAACTGGGGATGGTGTGTGGTTTTTCATTTTGTTTTGTTTTTAAGGTGTAGCCAGTTGATTTGCCTTGCATTTCACCCACAGCATAGAAAACTATGGCAGAACTCCTACACTTACAACTACTTGAAACACACCGAGAAACATGCAAAAGGTCTGAACCCGATGAGGCCGAATCAATTAGCCCCAGAAAGAGGGAGAGTGGGTGATATTATTGGTAGTTCAAAATGTGTTTTAGTTCAGCACCATGGACAGTTTCCTCGGGATAAAGCTGCACTTTCTACAAATGTGAAGCTTAACAGACGGCATTCTTGTCCCCCCCTTTGTAAACATTTTCTTCCTTCTAATGAGCAGGTGATAATATTGATTATCAATCAAAAATGCATAGGTATCATGTTGTGGGAATATGCCATCCCTTCCTGTCTTAACCCAAAGAGCAGGCATTGCACTGAATGTCTGGTAAGAACAGCCTCCAGGACTACATCTAGTTGGCTGGGAAGCAGCATTGGCCACAGGCACTGGAAATCAAACTCTGGATCTCTGTGTTTCAGCCTCTTTCCACATGAGAACACACTCAAAGTGTGAAACAACCTAAATCTTCCGAAGTCCATACGTCCAGCTACTCTACTGTGGCCTAGCACTGGCCATTGCGATCTCACGCTGTCTTGAAGAAGCCCTCTTTGCATTTGTATCGCAAAAGGCAGGTGAACACAGAGGTCTTCTTTGGCTCAGTTATCCATGCCAGTGGTGGCAAAAGCCCTCATTGATACCATTAAGTGTATTTTTTATTTGGGTGGTATCACTACCAAAGGCGGTCCTCTTTTGGGTCTCCACATAAGGACCTGGGCATCATTGGCATTGGGTTTCACTAGTGCATTTGGTGGGATGGGTTCCATTCTGCTCAAAATTTTGGGCTGCTCCTGCTGAGTCCTCCCCACTAGCCGGGCTCGCTTGCCCAAGAGTTGCATGGGATCAACTTCAATGTCTACTCGCATCCTCCACTTTATAGTCTGCAAAATAATCTTTTCCTTGGTGGTCATATTCATGGCTACTAGCCACGTCGTAAAGCTTTGGTCCCGTTTGATCCTGGTTAGTAGTGGCACGTTGCTGTCACTCACAGGAACAGCCCATGTTACACTGGGGTAGAAATTGTCATTCATACTGACGGAGAACCTGGAGACCTTATTGGTGGGGCCAATCAAGGTCACTGTTTCTGTGGTGTTCCCATACCAGGGGTAGCTCACTCCATCAGAGTCACTGATGGCTTTTACACGCCCTTCTCTCAAGTCTGGAAGTTCCCAGCTTGACCTAGAGGGGCAAAGCAAAAACAAAATAAAAACATGGGTTAAGAGCTGTATTAACAGTTGCTAAGAATGTTTAAGAGCAAGAGGGAAGAGGGGTGAAATAGGAGGGCAAGGGGAATGAAAGACTAAAAATACAATAAAAGGTATAGAAAAAATACTAAAAGTGAGTCCTATGTTTCAGGCTGGATCTAAATGCAGTGGTGCCCCGCAAGACGAATGCCTCGCAAGACGGAAAACCCGCTAGACGAAAGGGTTTTCCGTTTTGGAGGTGCTTCGCAAAACGAATTTCCTATGGGCTCGCTTTGCAAGATGAAAATGTCTTGCGAGTTCCTGCGGGGGTTTTTTCCTTCCCCCCCCCTTTTCCCCAAGCCGCTAAGCCCTTATCAGCTGATCCGCTAAGCCGCTTAACAGCTGATCGCTAAGCCGCTTATCAGCTGATCCGCTAAGCCGCTTAACAGCTGATCCGTTAAGCCACTAAGCCGCTTATCAGCTGATCCGCTAAGCTGCTTAACAGCTGATCCGTTAAGCCACTAAGCCGCTTATCAGCTGATCCGTTAAGCCACTAAGCCGCTTATCAGCTGATCCGCTAAACCCGCTAATAGCGCTAATCTGCTAATGGGCTTGCTTCGCAAGACGAAAAAACCGCAAGACGAAGAGACTCGCGGAACGGATTCTTTTCGTCTTGCGAGGCACCACTGTGTATTTCCCAGGCCTGGAAAGATTAAAAACTACCACTCTAAATGGCAAAAGAGCTGAAGTAAAATGATGTACAACACTTCAGCAGCAGACAGCCTTCTAAGCAAATAGCTTTGGCTAGTATGTATTGATTGTGACACAACCTTCTCACATAGACAGCATCCCTTCACTGGCAACTTTTGCAACGATGCCACTGAAGCAGCAGGAAGCTGACTGTGCCCAACACTTTCAAGCACGCTAATACATCAACCTCAGGGATTCCAGTAGGATGGATTCAGATGGATTCAGGTTTGGATCCACTTTTATCTATCTACCCCATTTCACAGTATGAGAACAAAGGGAACCCAAGAGAAAGAGAACAGGGATAGCAATTACTTTAGTGCTACACCAAGAGCATCGTTAACCTGTCCCCTTCTAATTGAACTGCTGCTAATCACTCTTCTGGTAAAGTGTAGTGCTGCTCTTTGACATACTACGTCACTCTCTAAAATAGGGATAAGGAACCTGTGGCCCTCCCAGTGCTGTCGCCATCCAACTCTCATTAGGCCAATTGCCAGCGATGATAGGAGTTGTGCTCCAGAAACATCTGGTGGGTCACAGATGTTTTCTGCTCTAAAATCTGACCTTCACACTAGGGGAACATAGAAGGCTATGCAGTAGATCTATGAGAACCCAACAGGGAGCACCCGCAAGAGCTTCTAAGATGCAGGTTCTCTCTCTCACACATGTGCATACCTCAATTTCTACCCCATTCCATTGTTCACTTAAATAACAAAGAGTCTTCCAGCACCTCCAATATTAATATATCTACTGTGGCAGGATCTTACTGCAACTGAAAAACAAACATTGTTCTGGAACAATGTCCTTTGGACAGATGAGACCAAAGTGGAGATGTTTGGCCGTAATGCACAGCACCATGTTTGGTGAAAACCAAACACAGCATATCAGCACAAACAACTCATGCCAACTGTCAAGCACGGTGGTGGAGGGATGATGATTTGGGCTTGTTTTGCAGCCACAGGACCTTGCAGTCATTGAGTCCGCCATGAACTATATACTAAAGTATTCTAGAGTCAAATGTGAGGCCATCTGCCCAACAGCTGAAGCTTGGATGAAATTGGGTCATGCAACAGAACAATGATACCAAGTTCACCAGCAAATCTACAACAGAATGGCTGAAAAAGAACAGAATCAAGGGGTTGCAATGGCCGAGTCAGAAGAGTGGGCCAAAATTCCTCCACAACGATGTGAGAGACAGATTAAGTCCTACAGAAAACAATTAGTTCAAGTTATTGCTGCTAAAGGTGGTTCTACAATTTTAAGACCTTCTAAAGAACAGATGATTATGTCCTTAAGTGCAAAACCACAGAATTCAAAGAGGGTGTACTTTCTTTTTCCCACGATTGTATGTTCTATGCTGAACTGCCTTTGAACAACTGTTCAGAAACTTTCAAAATGTGGTGAGCAATTTATGACTGGGAATGAGCCTTGGGCCTATCAGCAGCAATCTATGTCAGGGAAGACTTCAAAATGCTGGTCTTGACCTTTAAATCACAAATAGCCTTCATTTGATTTAAGGATCAACTCTACCTTTTGCATGGAGGCCACGTTCCCCACAAATGTCAAGCACAATGCCTTTTATCTGGTGGCAGTGTCACTGGGGAACTCCCACAATGCAACTGCTTCCCCAAAGAACCTTGCCAGGGCTGCCACAGTCTTTACTATCAGAAGGGGGGGGGGAGGAGAGGGTGACAATTAACAAGCTGGCAAAGGGTTTCTTTTGTAGAATCTGTCATACATATGTTGCTACTATCCCTCAGCTCCTCATATGGGGACAATCCATTGACTTCTCTTACAGAACTGCTGTAAGGATTTCTGAAATAAAAGTACAATACAATGTAAAAATCAAATATCATTATGATTGCTGATTAGGAAGGATAAGAGCTCAAGAGTATCAAGTTATTCCAAATCATCATGAGGCCCAAGACAACCACATGAAAAGAAGCTCCAAAGTGCTGTTGAGTCTTCTAGCAACAGGAGTAATTCACTGCCAGGACAGAACATTCACTTTCCTGATGCTACACTTAAAGGGGGACGTGTAGCTTTGCAGTGGTTGGCACAGCAGTGCACTGTCCAAGGTGCTTTCTTGCAGGAGGAGAAGGGTGCCTGGTGACATGAGGACAGGTGCACTCACCTGCCCAGGTGGGCTCAATTAGCACTGCTCACAAAGGACCATGTTGCTGTAGGTGTTGGAGCATCGAAAGGGGAGGGGAAGAGACACCCACAGAGAAGCAGCTGAGGGCCAAGCTACACGAGAGGACAGAAGACCCGCAACTCACCAACCTCTCCCATTTTCACTTTTACTTGAGAGCTGCCACGGGGCTTGTATTTCAACTGTAGACATTTCAGCAATTTCCTCCCTGGGTTTGCTGCGATTTGGGCTGCTTGGCCCCAGAAAACTCTAGGCGAGGAGGAGCAGCCTTTGCCCAAGACAGCAGCTAAGGAAGGTGCTGCTCCCAAGGGCGCCGTCCCACCCCGCCCCCGGGCCGAGGGGGCGCTCTTGCTCCCGGGGCAGCCTCGGCCGGCCCAGCTGTCCTGCCCGGTGTCTTCCGCCGCGGCGGCCTCTCCCTTTGGGGTCCATGAGCGGGGGGGGGGGGGCAGCCATCTTTGTGGGAGGGCGCAGGGTTCCTATGGCGACCCGGTGAGCCCCCCCCCCTTCCCGGCGCCACTCACATGCCCAGGTCGCTGTAGGTGTTGTAGAACTCCATGTGGTTGCAGGCCTGGATCCAGCCCACCACCCAGGTGTGGCGCCGCGGGATGGGCGGCATGAGGACGCGCGCGGCGGCGCGGAAGTAGGGCGTCCGGTAGCGCAGCACGATGGGCGAGGTCTCCTCCAGGGCCGTGGCGCCCGGCTCGATGCACGCCGACACGTCCGACACCACGATGTGCTCCCGCCGCACGCGCGCCTTGCACGCCACGCTCTGCAGGCAGCCCATGGCCCGGACCCGCCGCCCCCGCTAGCCCGCCCGCCCCCCGGGGGCCCCGCCGCCCCCGCCCGCCGCCCCCGAGCATCGCAGCCCGCCCGCCCGCCCGGCGGCTCCACCTGCTCGCCGGGCCCGCCACTCGCCGGCGGCTTCCTCTCCGACGCCGAGCAGGGCGCGCCGGGGACACGTGTGAGGGAAGGAGTCACGTGAAGGGAAGGAGAAGCGGGTCAGAGCAGCGGCGCCCAAGCGCGCAGGGCCGCCGCGGGGAAGGATGCTGGCGGGCGGGCGGCGGCTGGGGGCTCCCCCAAGAGGCGCGGGCGGAAGCCAAAGGGAAGCCGCACAGGGAAACACCTGTAGCCTTGCACCGGGTGCTGTTGGATGGGGGGGGGGGTGTTTGTTAAAATATCGTTTTTATTGCTTTCCCCATTGTTTATTAAATTTCTATACCGCCCTTCATGGGAAGATCACAGGGCAGTTTACAGTATAAAAGCAACAACACACACATGACAAACAAAACACACCCCACCCCACCGCGCCAAAAGACACCATTTAAAAGGCCATAAATTGTTTCATGAGCCAAGGCTTCAGAAAAGGGGAGCGTTTTCACCTGGTGCCAAAGACAGTAAGGAAGGTGCCAGGTGAGCCTCCCTGGGGAGAGCAGCATCCCACCAATGGGAAGCCCGTCCTTGTGGCTCTCCAGACCTCGTGGAGGAGGCACACCAAGAAGGGCATCTGAGGATGATGCTGGCAGGGTCTGGGCTGATTCAGATGGACAGAGGCGGTCCTGGAAGTATTGTGGTCCTGAGCACTTCAAATTGGGCCTGGAAACTAACAGGCAGCTAATCCGGTCAGGCCATGTTCGGTGTAATATGCTCAAACCATCTTGTCCTGGTGAACAATCTGGTCGCCAAATTCTGCACAAGCTGAAGGCAAGACAGCGGTCCAGCACTTCCACTGCCTTACCTGCAGATGTATAGGAGAAGCGGGGCTGTTTGTCATTAGTATATTGGTGACAAAACTCCAGATAACCCCACTCAGCAGTTTCATGCATATGTTAAATAGCATGAGGAATAGAATCAAATCCCAAGGAACTCCACACTGAAGACTCCACAGGGCCAAAGAGCACTCTTCAAGCCTCCCTGTCTGGAAGAGACCATCCAAGTAGGACAGAACCATCACAAAGTGGCACCACCCATTCTGCCACTCCAGAAGGATACCATGGTCAATGGTAGTGGTTTTCAACCAGTGTGCCGTGGCACCCTGGGGTGCCTTGAATGGTGATCAGGGGTACAGTGGGCAACCCTGGCTTCTGTTCCTCTTTCCTCCCCTCCCTCCCCTGAGGCTCTCTTGCGTCTCTGCCTCCCAAAGGCTGGCACAGCTGTTTGTGGCAGTAGCCCTGGTTGTAAGCTCCATAGGTGAATGGTGCCTCTGGGGCTGGCCAGGGGGTGCTGGTTGCCAGGAGCTGAGGCAGCCTTGGAGTACGCAAGCAAGTGGTTGAGGGAGCCCAGCCAGCCAGTCTGCCAGTCCTTGCTGTTGGGAATGGACAGCAAGTCCCAGGCCCCTGTGGGGCAGTGTTAGGAGCCACCTCTCTTTTGGGCAGGGGGGCACCTCAGAGACCAGGGGTGGTGGCAGCTGCTGCCCAAAGGACTCCCGAGGAGAGGAGGCTGAGGGAATACTCCCCAAGGGAGGGTTTTTGGAAAAGGGTGAGAGGCTGCCAGCTCTGCAGGCAAGGGGTGACATAACAGCTCCTGAGCCCCATGGGTCAAGGGCAGGGGTCGGCAACCTAAGGGCCATGGGTCGGTAGCGGCCCACAAGGCTTGTCTAACTGGCCCATGGTGACCCATGCCGCCCCCCGCTGCCCTCTCTTACAGGTGCGGCGCGGGGACTGACTTCTGGGTTGATGGCGCCTGTGCACATGCACATGGGCGCTCCTCCGACCCAGATGTGTGCTGGAAATAGCGTGTGTGCAAGCATGCAGTACAGAGAAGCACTCGTGCGCATGTGCACATGCTATTTCCGGCGCACTTCAAGGTTGTAGGAGCGCCGGAAATAGTGTGCACGCACATGCATGGGCGCTCCTCCTACCCGGAAGAGCGTGCGTGCGCACACGCTCCAGCCCATCCTCCAACAGATGGCGCATCAACTGGCTCATCCTCCAATTAAGGTTGCCGACCTCTGATCAAGGGAGCTGTGGACTCAAAAAGCTTGAAAACCTCTGGTCATTGGTATCAAATGCTGCTGAGAGATAAAGGAGAATTAGCAAAAACACGTTTCTCCTGTCTCTTTCTCAACAGAGGTCATCATACTGAGGAACCAAAGCAGTTTCTTTGCCCAAGTTGGGCCTAAACCCTGATTGAAATGGATCTAGAAAATCAATTTCCTACAAGAGGCCTCGGATCCAGTCCACAAATACCCATATATAAACCTCGCCCAAGATGAGGAGATTGGCAGCTGGCCGGTAATTACTTAGATTTTTGGATTGCAGGGGGGTTTCTGGAGGACTGGTGTTACCACGGCCTCCTTCAAGCAGGCAGGGACCAGCCCCTCTTGCAAAGAGCCATTAACCACCTCCCTGGCCCGGCCAGCTGTCCCCCTCCTGCTAGTTCTTATCAGCCAAGAGGGACAAGGGTCCAGAGTGCAAGTGGCCACCCTGATTGATCCAAGCACCTTGCCCATGTCATTTGGCCATTCTAATTGAAACTCTTCCAACACTACAGGGCTAGACAATGCTCACAACAGCCCCTGAAATTCATCTGCTAAAGCAGCAGAGTCAAGGTGCTGGCAGAAGCAAACAATCTTATCCTCAAAATGCCTTGCAAACAAGTCACAGTGAGCTACCATCAGTTTCTGCCACCTCCTTGGGGCCAAAGTGTACAACGCATGGTACTAACCAGAAAAGCTCTACTGCAGGGGTCAGCAAGGTTTATTTTGCCTGGGCCAGATCGGTCCCGCGGAAATCCCTCCATGAGCCGGATTGCGTGTGTGCGTCTGTGCAGTGGAAGTGAGTCCCCATGCTGTGCTGTGCCAGTTTAGCGCAGCGCGCGAGCGAGTGCCTCAATTCAGGGATGGCTCATGGGCCGGTCAAATGACCTCCACGGGCCGCTTCCGGCTCATGGGCCTTAGGTTGCTGACCCCAGCTCTACTGGATGGCACACAAAGTAAACCCCGCCCCCCGCCTACCATATCAGGACAGACTTGAGAATTGGAGAGGGGGAGTTGACTGTGGTTTATAGGGATTCTCTCTGTCCAGTTGGGGGGAATCTAGAGTGTGCATTCCTGGCCACTGGTGGAGGAAAGGGAGTGCGGAGGGAGCAGACCGCCCCCAGCACTACTATTCCAACAGGGTGCCATCGCAGAGCGCCCCCCCGACACACACCGCGCGCACCCCTGCGCTGGACGCCACACCCCCAGGACGCATGCCACGCCTCTGGGGATGGTGTGCCACGCCCTCGGGATGCGTGCCACGCCCCCTGGGGCACCAGCCACGCCCCCACCTGCTCTCTGCCCCCAGTAGCAGAGCATGCAGCTTCACCAGTGTTCCTGGCATTGGGCAATTGGGACAGATTAAGGATTCTGCTGGTTTACTGCCCACCTCGCTGCCCAGCAGCCCCCCTGCCTGAGCTGATGGAGCTGACCTCGGTGGTGAGGAGGAGGCGGCGACTGGCTCTGGGATGGCTCAGGACTTCATGGCTGCCATGACAACCATGAATTATGTGATGTGTGAGGGAGAGGGAGATTTCTCTATCAACTTTTCCCACGGCATGCATAGTTTTATGAATCATGTCCCCTCTTAGTCCCTTTTCTATAAACCAAATTATCTCAAACACTGCAGCCTTCCCTTTGTGCCATCCGCTTGATCATTTTTGTGCCCCTTTTCTGAACCTTTTCCAACTCTACAATATCCTTATTAAGGTGAAGCAACCAGAAATGTACACAGCATTCCAAATGTGGTCAAACCATAGATTTGTATAACGGCATTCCAATATCAGCAGTTTTATTGTCCAATCCTTTCCTAATGATCCCTGGCATGGAATTTGCCCTTTTCACAGCGGCCAGACGCTCACTGAGTTGACACCTCCAACAAGCTATCCTAGGATTCCTGGTAAGTCAGCACTGGCTCAGACCCTATGAATGTATAATTAATGTGAAATTAAGAGTTTGGGGTTTGGGGGTTTTTTTGAGCCGAAATGCATCCTTCTACACTTTTAAAATAATGAATTGCATTTGCCATTTCCCCACCCATTCACTCAGTTTTGAGAGGTCCTTTTGGAGCTCTTCACAATCTCTACTTGTTTTAATGACTCAGAACATTTTAGAGTCATCAGCAAACTTGACTACCTCATCCCGAACTCTTGATAATTTATGATCAAGTTAAAAAGCACAGGTCTCAATAACAATCCTTAGGGAACCCCATTCTATGATGGCTAAGCTTGCTTTTGTGAGGTACCTTGTTGGATGTTTCTTGAGAGACCAAGTACACTGTGTCACCCATGTCACCTCTGTCGATATGCTTGTTGACACTCTCAAAAAGCTCCAATAGGTTCGTGAGAAGAAGCCATGATGGCTCTGCTTCAGTAAGTCTTCTATATTATTTTATCCTTAACAAGACTTCCCACTGGTTTTCCAGGGACAGGTGTCAAACTAACCAACCTTTAATTTCTAGGACGCCCATGGTTTCCTTTTTAAAAACTGGTGTTCCATTGGTTCCTTTCTAGTTCTCAGGTATGACTGGTTCGAGTTCAGGTATGCTAGATCTAACCACTTGGCTTCTTAGAGCTATTTTGAAAAGTGCTCTTTTTCTTTGACATCAAGTCATCAAGTTGTAAGAAAGTTTGAAGGAACCTCTGCAAATCATTGCCAGCTTGTTCTACTGTGCATTTTTGTTGTGGATGTTCATTGTAAGGTTTTGATGAAATGCTTTTATTGTTGCTGCTATTCCAATCTCTGGTTCCTGGCACCATCTAGTGGCTAAAACAAAGTAAATCCCTGCAGGGCGTAAGCATCTGAGTATG